AAGATAAATTCGATCAAAAGAAAAAGAATTCAAGAGTAATAGACGATTATAGATGCGACTTTACTAATTAGGAACATTATTAGGATGTACATTTTGGTAGCCGCAAGAGTGACCCTGACGTAGTAGATATTTGTAAAAACAATATTATTTCTCTTAACAAGACTACTACTTTCGAATACAGAACGGTAAGACTATGGAGGTGCAATGAATAAAGTAAAACCAGAAAACGAAGTAAAGTAATGATAAGCTTAAAAGCCCGCATGGTTAGCTTAATTTGTATGTGTCAAGGGGACTAGTAAAACCTAAGTTTGCACAATCTGTAGAGGACAGAGCTGTATTATCAAAAATTAAAAGTATTCATGCCTAGTAAGTACAAACTAGACATGGATACTTTTAATTATTGATAACACAGCTTTGTCCTTTTATAACATAAGATTGTTATTTAAAAAAAATTATAAATTATAGCTTTTATCCTTCGGAGGTATCGGCAAAGTAAACTGAACAAGTTTACAAATTTGGTAACATAGTTGAGATTGCAATAAATGGCAGACGCAACTTTGTTCTTGGAAGTAGATCAACATCAAAAAATCTTTATTAACTGATGAGAAAAAAGTTTAAAAGAGAAAAAGTGCAAATGAACCAAACATAGCTCATCTAAAGGCAAAAGTCTTTCAGGGTAAATAAAGCTGTACGATTATAGCTATACAGTTAAAAAATATTTATAAAATAAAATATTTATAAAATAAAATTATACTTAATAAAATATTTTCTAGAAACTTAATAAAATAACTGGATATCAGTAATTCCCTGATTTCTGCTGTTCTTTTAAATTAGCATAAAATGGAAAGTGTTTTAAAAAGGTCCACTACGTAATAGTTAACCCATAAGTTAAAAATAAATTAAAAATTCAGTAATACTGACTAGGGCAAAGTAAAATAAAATTTTTTTCTAAATAAATTCTAATAGTTAACAAAAATTGTCACTTGAGTAGGTGCCTTTACAAAAAAAAAAATTTTATTTTGGATGACCTCTTCTGTTCTCTACAGGCGATTTAATTTTGGAAAATTTTGATTTTTTGGTAAAATATTGATATTTTTTGCAAATAATTTTTTCACAAATATCTTATCCTAGAGTGTATTATACTATTGGAAAGTACATTCATATCCAAGTCTAACAGTATAAAAATTATTAAAATATACAAAATATTGATAAAGTAGTGATTTTTCAAAGAATTCATACTTAGCGATAAGTTTCGCTTGCCCGAGAGCCGTTATAAGTAACATAGTTCAGAAATCCTTTAAAAATTGATATTAAATTAAAAGTATTTAAATTGAAGTATTGCAAATAATGTTTGATTAAGTATTCTAGTCATTCTAGTATTTTGAAAATTTAAATAAACGATAAATTTATGAATTTTCTTTAAAAAAATCCCAAAAGTCACAAGCCACGAATGCATGAAAAATAATAAAAAAGTTTAAAAAATTTAGTTAAACAATATTGTTTGTAAGATTTAGTTTTTTAATATATTGCCCTATAATGCTGAAGTCAGTTTGTCATCTTGTGCAGTATTCTTGTTTTGTGTTGAACACAGGCATTAACATTCTTGCAGCATTCCTTGCTCTTGTTTAAGAATCTTTTAACAGCCTGCGTATAGCATGGAAAATGAGGAAATTCAATAACAGTTGTTTCTCTACTACTAACAAATGACTCCAAATTATCATCCGATAAATATTTTAAAACAAGTGGCTCGGTAACTGTACCTGATTCACAGTCAATTAACTCAATGTTGTCTTTAGCATCCATGTTAAAAGTTGGTACCTGAAACACCCTGATGCCGTTTTTGGGTCGTTTCGGCTGCTTGTTTGCTCGAGTTCACATTTTTCGCTGCAATCCCAGCTCTCACACATGCCTTCTGTTGTCATTTATCATACTTAGCAGAATTATCTCAGGGTGGTGAACCCATTACGTTGAATTATTGGATCAACAATGGCTTTAAGATTATCTGGTAAATAGTGTACTTTTTGAATTGTCATCTACAAGTGCCAAGCATCATCCTTACATGAAATTTTTCTCTAGTTGTTAACCGCATTGGTGCATAGAAATTCATAATAAATTCAGTCACTACTTTCAGATTATAAGCTGGGTGTATTGTAGCAATATACAGTCTAAGAACTCTATTAGCTAGTGTGACCCAGCAAGACATATCAAGATTTTCAAAGAAATATCGTAACGGTAATTCGTTTGCATGTAGCATGCAAACAAACCATTGCAATGGCGCTCAACCTTGTCGAAATCTTGATATTCTGGCTTTATATTAGGCTTTTTTTTTAGATTTTGGATATCGAACAAGTTTTGAATAGTTTTCATGACGAGAGTTGATAATTTACACAACACAAGTCTTCGAAACAGTTGATTTTGTTGAACAGATGACTTTGAAACAGAATGCTTGCCCAACACCATATTTTGTCGACTTTGGATGCCAGAATTTCCAATACCTCTAAGACGGTACTTTTTGTTTGTGGACCCTTCTCAGTTTTAAGTCATGTTGAATCCACATGTATTCCATAAAAATATCCGTTTTTGTCGGAAGAACGCTCAACTTCATATCTTTTCAGATTGGCAAATATAGGACAAGCATGAGGTTTTCTCAATGTAACGTCTATTTTTGATGTCATGTACTCACATGCAAGCAAAATAAAAAATTATGAGACCAAAAAACTATTTACCAAGCAATAAAGTTACACTTGAATTTGTAGTATCATTAAAAAATCTCAAAAAAATTTTTTCTGAACCTAATTGAATGCAAATAATTAAAAATATATAGGTAGCCTAATAATAGTAACTTTATCGTTGGGTATATCTAAACAGCAATATGTTACAAACACATTTATTTAAAGATACCAAATTAAAAAAAACGCATTCTGCTCTGTATATATAGAGTAAATATGAGTTGATAATGCATATATTTTACTAAAATGATATAGCGCTTTATTTTGTCTAATGTAACTACTTGGATTTCATTTAACTTGAAATTTCTTTTAAAAAAATCATAAATATACATTTCTTATGTATATATATATATATATATATATATATATATATATATATATATATATATATATATATATATATATATATATATATATATATATATATATATATATATATATATATATATATATATATATATATATATATATATATATATATATATATATATATATATATATATATATATATATATATATATATATATGTATAAAATTTTCAAAATGCTACAATGACGAGAAAGCAAATTCAAACATTCTTTTAAATATTTCAATTTAAAAGAATGTTTGAATTTGCTACATGTCATTTAATATAAATTTTCAAAGGATATCTGAGTTATGTTATTTATAACGGTTTTCTAGCATTCGAGACTTTATTAATCATTACTTTATTAATCCTTTGAACATTTTATTTATTTTTATATTTTTAGACTTGAATTTAAATGCACTTTCAAATACTATAATAGACTCTATGATAAAACATTTGGGAAAGAATTGATTTGCAAAAAATATCGACTTTTTACAAAAACTATTAAAATTTTCAAAAATTAAATCGCTGGTAAAGGGCACAAGACATCATCCAAAATGAAAGAAATATTTTTGTCAAGACACCAATTAAAGTGACAACTTTTTGTAACTATCAGAATTGACCTGGAAAAAACGTTTTTCTACATAAATTCTAGTTATTACATTCTTAAACAAACATTCTTAAACAAATATAAACAATTATTATAATAAAATCTTAGTTATAGTATATCACAAGACGAATTTTTAACATTATTCCCTGTGGGCATTTTTTTTTAAAGTTACGTTCTAAATGTACATTAAATGTATTTTAGAGGCTTTCTAAACTTTCTTTACGAAAGTACGTTTAAAAAAAGTTTAAACGACATTTAGAACGTACCTTTACAAATAAATGTCTGAAGGGTTATTTATAATGATTAATTTATAAGGTTATTTGTTACAAATTGTATAAACCAATATTTGTTAAAGTTATTATGAAATAATGAGGGAATATATAAGGAAAAAACAATCAAAGTAGCTAAATAAAGTAGCTAAATTTAAAACTAATTTTGAGCTTAAACTCTAAGCTCTAAACTGAGAATGGTTGGTACCTAATACATTTTGTTTAATATATTACGCAGTTTTTTTGCGTTTAAGTTTATATTAAAAACTATATTAAGGTAGTCACCAAGTAAAAAATAGTTTTTTAAAAAGTGTAGTTTTAAAGAGAAATTTGTGCTTTTTTAAAAAAAATCACCAGATAAAACCAAGAGTCACCAAGTAAAAAAGAGTTTTTTAAAAAGTGTAGTTTTAAAGTTAAATTTGCGCTCTTTTAGAAAAAATATATTTTAAATTCTTTTTTAAATAACATTTTTTTTAAATTTACTTTTTTCAAAGATGTATACTTGTTTTACGTTTTGAAACCTTTTTTATTTTGGAAGCTTTCTCTGTTTGTGATTGTTTATACTTAAAACACACATCTGAGCTATTTATCATTTTTTTTTTTTTTGATATTCTAGGCTTTGTTCATCTGTATACAAACTATATGTCAACCAAAATCAATTGTTTCAGATTATATGTGTGATTTTTTTTTAAACTATGCGATAATTTTTGTTAAGCTTTTTTAACCTTTTTTTAAACTCCTAAATTATGCCATTAGGTAATTTAAAATTAATTTTTTTTACATTAGCCTGTAAACCAGCGTTTTAATATATTGAATATTTTAATAAATATCCTGTTTGCAAATCAAAGTTTATACAAAAATATTTACAGATAGCTCATTATTTTAAGAAAGCAATGTTTTAAAAATATTTTTGCTGATTCAACATTGGGACGTTAAGACATTTTTCCAATTTCTTTTTGGCGTAGTATAAATATACTTTTTTAATGTTTTAAAAAATAAAGTTAACTTTGCAACAAATTTATTGTTATTATTATTTTTTTAATTAGACTGTCACATTAAGAAGAAGTAAAACTATGGGTAATCAAAGAAGATGTATATCTACTAAAACTAATCGTTATCCTAATCATCTAACACATGGCTTACTAGCTAAACATTGTGCATCTGAGACAGATTATGAATCAGGAAACCCAAAAATTAAGCCAGGTGACAAAGTTTTAGTTTCTTTGGAAAACTCAGAACATTTATCTTTTAATGAGTTTCATGGTGAAGCTTTTGATTTTAATGAACACCTTAAGGAATGGGAGATATTAGAAGTTATAGATCAAGCTCAGACTGGATATTTAGGAATAATCTATGTTAATGAACATAAAAAGCAATTAGTTTTGGCGCATAGATCTACTAATTTTTTACTTAGTTTAACGGGAAATCTATTAAAACAGTCAGGTATGCAACAAGATATAGAAGGAGTGCTTATGGGTAATATTTTGTTACATCAAGCACATGGTCATTTTGCCACTGGTAAAGCTGTAAATCTTATCAAAACTACTCACAAAGATTATACATTGACATTTACTGGACATTCACTTGGAGCGTGGTTAGCCAGTCTCAGCGTATTTTATTGCCATGACGATTTTCACTATGAGCATGCACGAGCTATCACATTTGATGGACCTGGTGCTTATGAAATGATGGAAAGAATGAGATCAGGTGATATTAAAGGAATTAGTACTATCCATAAGATCAAGTTAGAACATTTAGATATAATTTCCTACCTTTCCGCTCCAAATATTGTTAATTGTACCAATAAGCATGTTGGGACAGTATATAGGCTGTTTCCAAGTAATATAAAAGATACAATAAAAAAACAAGTGACACAACGTGGTGGTAGGGAACTCAATAAATTTTTGACAGAAGATATTGTTGATCAAATACCAAGACCAATGCTTGTAAATTGTGGGCATGACTTAGAGTATATATTACCCCATTTTGATCCAACTGCGGGAAAACCTAAAGTGTGCAAGTTAATAGAAAAATGGCCATCTATTATTTATAGTGATTTTGGTAACAATTCTAGTAATTTTAGTATTTGGAAAAGTGTGGTTAATGTTGGAACAGGTTTAGTATTACCTCAAGGGATGCAGATAGTAGCAACTGGCGTAAAAATTATTATTGGGGCAGTTCAAAGAGTTTTTAACTGCGAAAACACAACTCTAGATAGTGTAGCACATTTAGCAGTGGTCTATTCCAAAGGAAAAATTGATTTACATCAATATTGGCTTGTACATGAGCATTTTGACAAAGATTGCCGTTTTCAGGTTGACGTTAAAAATTCAGTCGATAAATTCTTTTTGCAATTTAAGGCTCAGTATAAAGAATCAGATGCCGTTCCTTGGAAAAGCAAGAAAACCGGTACTAAAACTGATAAGTTTTTAAAAATTTTGCAAACACAAACTAAGAAAATACAAGGAAGGTTGTTAGTAGATCTTGCAAAAAAATATAAATACAGTGTGACCGATAACTATTTTACAATTAAAGAAGAATACCGTAATAGCTTTACTATGGATGATATTAGAGACAAGATTGGAGAACTATGGCGTAGTGATTCATATTTTGAGCAATATTTCAATAATATTGGTAAAGCAAGGCTTAGCGAAAACATTGAAGAAGAATCTCCTGAACTAGCGGTAGAAACTGACGAAATAGCGGAAATGTGTGGAAATCATAAAGTTGTTGTAATTAAAGGCATGCCAGGTATAGGAAAAACCTCATTAGCAAAAGCATATGCTAGAGATTTTAAAGATGAGTTTACTACAATACTGCTGTCTGCTAGCTCATTTAGTGTGTTGAAAAAATCCTTAGAAGACTGCATACCTAATAGTTTAAAAGGTTCTAGTAATAAAGATCCCAATATAGATGTTTTAATTGAGCTTCTAAGTGAAACAAAACAACCAGTACTTTTTATACTTGATAACGTTAAAGATTATGCCGATATATTAAAATTTGTTGAAGGATTTAGTAATTTAACCAACGTTAAGCTCATTATAACTACTCAACATAATAAACTAGGAATTAATGTGCCAGAAATATCATTAGAATATACATCTGATGACGCTGCAAGGGCTAAGCTACGAAAAAAGGTACAGGAAACTCTGACGAATTGCTTGGCAGTAAATGAGCAAACTATAAACAATACTGTTGAGAGACCTACATGTAACCTAGTGAAGTTTCTCTCCTTTATTAAATCAGGTACTATCTCTAAGCAACAATTAGTAAATAGTTTATCTTATTGTTATCCACCTGAGGAAACAAGATTAGCTATAGACAAGCTACTTAGCTTATCCTTAATTACCATAGATAATGCTCAATATATTAGTACGAGTATGATAGTGCAAGAACTTGCCATGGAACTCTCCGACTACCAATCTGCAGCAAACTTTTTACAAATTGTGTCTTTATTTAAATCAAGAAATATTTTAATAGTACCCATACTTTCAAAGTTGTTAACTTATGAACTTGTACAGAAAGTTGAAGAAGTTAAACAATTATTATCAAGTTTAGAGGTACAATACAAGTATAACATGGCAAGTACTTTGACATTACTACTAAAAGAAGCACAAACTAGCTTGCAATCAGAGCAACGTGAGCAAATTATAAACACTTTAAAATATTTAAAGCATTTTATGACAGAGATAGATACAGAATTACAATCTTTGTTGACATTTTTAACAAATAGTTGGTCAGAGGCACATAAGCAAGGAGTTGAAAAGGCATTTTTAGTTAAAAATGGCTCCCTAATAAAGAACTTCCTTAAGACATTTAGTCTTTGTAAGCTACATGCACAGCAATGTTTCTCATGCGATCAGGTTGCCCAGGGTACTGAGCATGTTCTTGTAATAGGACCTACAGGGAGCGGTAAAAGTACTGTAATTGACCATCTTATTGAAAAAGCTTTAGAATGTGTTAGAGTTGGTCGTAATGGTGCAGAAACTGTGATAAAATTAATGCAAGCAGAAGATAATTGTTTATTAGGAACAGGAAATAGTACGGTGGCAGAGATTGGCAATAATCCAATAAGTTCACAAACGGATTCTATTACCCCATATTACAATATCAATAAAGGCATCACATATTGGGATTTTCCAGGTTTTTTTGATAGTAGGGGAGAAATGAAAAAAATGCATCATGCCTTTCTTATGCAATCTTTTAGCAAAGTAGTACCAAAGTTTAAGATACTTTTGGTTATAGAAGTAGCAATAATAAGTGCTATGAAAGGTGAAGGTTTCATAAATTTGTTAAATAGTTTAAGTCAATTATGTTCCGCAGACCAAATTCATGATAGTTTATCACTACTAATTACAAAATGTGATCCGTTTGAGCAAAATTCCGTTGATACTCAAAACCAGTTAGATGAGGAACAAACTTATTATGTGAAAGAAAAATTTTCTAAGTTTTTAGAAAAGCATAAAGCAAGCAAGTGCACAAGTATTTTAGAGTTACTTACACGTGATAATATGAAAAAAAAAATAGCTTTTTTTTTTAAAGTTAAAAAAGGCCCAATTACAAAAGATTTTTTTCAAGGTTTAGATTCTGCAGTAGAGGCAAGTCAACCTGCAAATATAGACTTTCATTTAAGTCTAGACGCTACAACAATGAAAGAAATTACTACCCTTTCACATTTGCTGAATTCCTATGCTCAACATATTACTCAAGAGAGAGCTGATACCCAAATTGCAGAAGTGAAACAAAAGATTCAACAAGACGGTTTTCAAAAAAAAGATCTATTTAAAATCAAAAAATTTTCAGTTCCTAACATAAATGAAAGGCAATATATTGAAGGATTCAGACATGAAACTATATTCAATAATATAATGGCAACGCTGAAGTTTTTCCATGTTTTAAATCCGGCATGTAAACCTAATCTGGAAAGTTGGATACAACCATTTACTAAATTTTATACTGAATATGATAAACTAGTCCAAGAAAACACTGGAGATACAAAAACAGCTGGAATTATGCTGTTTAAAGCCCCGATTCTAACAGCTTCGGAAGTGAAAAAAGCATATGGAAGCCCAAGGCCAGAAATCACTGCAGTAAAAGTTTATTCCTACCTATTTATTGTAGATCAAGATTTAGAACTTCCTGGTATAAACTTAGCTATTGCAAGTCATGAATGGAGAGTTATTGGTGATCGAAAGATTAGTCTAAAAGGTGATTGTACTGAAAGAATTATAGATGGTAAATGTGTTAAAATTATAGATTCTGGAAGTTTTTATGGATATGCAGGACAAATTAAAGGTGGTAAAATTATGTTTGATTTGGACGGCGTTGATGGAGAAGAGGGTAAGTTTGATCTTTCACATAAAGACAAAGAAATAGAAAAGATAGAGGAAGAGTTGAAAATATTAGATGCTCAAATAAATGCAGTCACACATTTAAAATCTCTCTACACTCTGGGGTTAGAAAAGCAGATAAACAAATTAACGGAGAAAGAAAAGCTTTGCAGGAAAGCGATAAAAGATATTGAAGTTAAAATTGCAGATCTAGAAAACAAACTTAGCAATCCTTTGTCAGAGACTAAAAGAGAGGAAAACGCAACTAATGTACAACAAGAGAGAATCAAAAAAAAAAAGAAAGCTGAGGATCTTCAAGAGATACTAAAAGAATTAACAACTGTTAAAAAGTTGCAAGAACTAGTTAACATTCACTCTGATTATCAGCAACTTTGTAAGGAATATGTGCCACTTACAGAGGCTATTATTGATGAAGATGCTAAACATCGTCTTAGTGAGGAAGTTATAAAAGTACGTAAAAAAATTGATAACGTTACTGAAATGTTGACTCAAGTACTACAAGTTCAGGAAGAACAAAATTTAAATAAGTATCAAGATTTACAAAGTTTTTCCCAAAAAGTTAAGGCCATTGTTCTTGGCTTTGAATCTGTAGCACTTCAACGCGATAAAGAATATTCTGTTTGGCTAGAGCAACGTAAGAAAGTAGAAGTTGAACTTTTATGTAAACATTTTATAGCTGTGAATGATGTACAATTAGAATATAACGCTCAAGATATAAATAACTTATTTGAACACGATTCTATAAAAAATGATCTGGAAATTAGAAGTAAAGCACTAATTGAATTAAAAGAAACATACAAAAAGCAGGTAACAGAGTTACAACAAGATGTAGTAGACTTTATCAAACACCATGAAACACGCCAGCATTATAAAGCTCAAAAAAAACAAAAACGAGGTGAACTTAGACAACATCAACAATACTTAGAAGAAACGTTATCTGCTAAGATTGAAGCTAAAGAGTTAAATGAGAAAATTAATGAACTGACAGCAGCTACTTATAGAAAAAATTTAGCATCTAGAGAATTGAATATAATTAAAGGCAAAAAAGATTCTACAGTTTCAAACACATCTGTTTTAAATGAAAAAGTAGGAGTAAAAGAAATTTCGGCTTCAAAATTAACTCATAAGTTATTAAGATCTGTAAACAATGACGAATTTACTAAACAGTCTGCAGAACAAAAAAGTAAGTTAGAAGAGGAATTGTCACAACTACAAGAAACCAAAGATCGTACAAAAGAAATAGCGCAAAAAATAGAACAATATGCTGAAGTTAAAGTAAAAATAGAAATTTTTGAGGTTAAAAAACTGGTAAATATGTTAGTTAACAGGTACCATCTTGCTGAAGAATGTAAATATCAGCTAGAAGATAATGATAAGGATAAGTTAGAACAAGAATTCAAGGACTCAAAAGTAAAGTTAATGTTATTATGGGAAGAAGATCATTGGTTTGGTTCTTTGCGTAGTATTACAGATGATAAGCTAGAGACTTACTCAAACGAACTAGCAACTGTTGTTCAAGAGACTTATAAAAAACTAGCAAATTTAGAGAATAGACTCGAATATGCTAGAGTATACACAGAAAGTTTATCTGAGGCAGTAAAGAAGTACCAAGAAGCAGAAAAACAATTCCAAATAGCTAAAAAAGATTATCAGCAATGGGTAAAAAACCACCCAGACACTTTAAGTGATACTATTAAAGTTTATAATGAGTACATAAAATGTGATGCACAAGTTAAAGAGGCATTTAATGAAGAAGCTAAAAGCGCAGAGCGTTTGTTACGTAAAGAAGTGAACTTGTTAGAAAGGATTGAACGTAAATGGGACAATAGAAACCTGTTCAGTAAATGTGCTTACGTAGCTAAAGAAATATTGCTGTTTAATAGACAGTTTTATGAAACATATAAACTTTCTGGTTCAGAAGGTAGTATAGGAGGAGATAGTGGGGCATATAGATTCAAATATAACTCTGAAGATTCAGAGACCTCTCACACAGTCATTCATACACAAAAGCCAGGTCAGGGTGGTAAACATTCAGCTATTCTAGAAGGTACATATATTAGTGAATACTGCTTTCCATTTTTTAGAGGTATCAAGGAGAAGGCTAAAATAAAGGAAAGTTTTGATATTCATGGAGTTGCTGCTATGGCTTTTAAATCAGGATTTATAAATACTATAGCGTTTGTGGCATCCTTCACTGATGATATTGCCCAGTTTGCTTTTAAAGGTTTTATTACCAAAGCTACTACAGGTTTAGCTTTAGGAGCTCTTACTATAGGTGGGCAGTGTTTACTCTCTCCTGCTATAGCTAATCTTAGTTCACATTGGGTTGACGGACCATATAAAACCAAGTCGAAGCCAGCTAAAGATGGTAAAGAGGGGAAAATTGATGAAGAATTATCAAAGAAAAATATCACAGACTACTTTCACTATGTGCAAGAAGAAATATCCGAAGAATTAAAGTCATTTTTTCCAAATATTACTAATAAAAAATTACTAGACGCAAATGAAACCCATGATGAATACGTACTTGTATGATAATACAAAACTTGCAACTAATTCATTAAACATAAGTATAAGATTATTTCAAAATTGGTACTAACGGTAAAAGTTTGGTTAGTGGCAATAACTATGTTTAAATAAGAAATAACTATAAACATTTTTTGACTTTAGACTGAACTTTTTGCAGACGTTTTTTATACACGTTTTTGGATTTTTATACAAATATGAAATAGATTTAAATTCCAAAAATCTAGATAATAAACTAAACCTTTGATTTTGGAGATCTTGCTTTTCTGTTAAAACTGTTAAATAGTCAAAATTTAAAAATTTTATATCAATATAAAAAAATTAGGAGTAATATAGTTATTTGTTTAAAACAATAAATGATACTGAACTATTACACAATACTTTATTATTTAATTTAATATATAATAACAAATGAAACTTTTTCTAGAAAAATAAAATAAAATAACTTGCTAATCAAGAAATTTGTATAAGGGAGAAGTTCTATCGATTGAAAAAAACTTAAGAAAGCAAAAATTTAGTATTTTATTAAAAAAAATTTAGTGCAGTCAAATTTACTGAAGATAACACAAGCGGAAAAATTCCTTAGCAATTTAGAGCAATGACCAGAATATTCATCAAGCAAGCAACAACAACAACATTTTTGTGGCTGAATTATAAATGCTAGGTATTTTAACTTTACATTTGAAATCCTAACCATAACAGCTCAAAAAAGCTCCATAAATGTAGTTTTTAGATGTTAAACGACACAAACGACATAAGTTTTTCTTCTAGAAGTTTTATCATTTTGTCTAGATTTACTGTTTCATTATTTTTTAAATGTTTTACTAAAACCTAAATGATCCCAAGCTACAGCAAACTTCAAATTTCTTCGTTACAATCTGTAGAACATTTGCAGCCAACAGTATTATGTACAAAATGTTAATCATTGAACTATTATTGCTAATAATTATAAAAGCTAAACGTTTTACAGCACGCCAACGAAGATTATTTTGATAAGTTTTTTCCTTAACAACGCAATAATAAACATATTGTATCGCGTCCTTTAATTGGTGATATGCTTCCTAACAGTTTTTTTATGATCTTTTCAATATTTATGTCATTTAGTATGTTACAAATATGTTCACATTTAACTTTTTTTTTATACTCACGCAAAGCACAACTTAGTCTTGCGTAATGATTATGTGACAAGAGTTTAGGAAATTAAAATTGTTAGTGTATTTTCCTCTATTAGTAAAAATAATAAAATCCTCACATTCACTTTGTAATAAATATAATATATAGTTTACTAATTTGGTTTTTAAGTTTGATAAATCCTTCATAAGAAGATGTTAGTCTTAAAGAGTTTGCAATTAACTTAATCTCAATTAACTTAGTTAATTGATTATTTCATTGACAAAATCAATTAATATATCTAATATGTTGCCATAAATCATACTGAATTGTAAATAACCTTTATATTCATTTAGATAGATAATTTCACAATAACACATTTTGTGGTTATAACAAGTTACAATATCTTTAAGATGTTGAATTGAAATTGGCCTGAGGTTTCTGATACTAGTTACCTTTCAAAATCATAATTAATATAACATAAAATTAAATATATTGTAATCCTATAAGTGATCATGTTAATGGCAACTCGTATTTGACTGCTATAATGAATTAAAATTGGCTATATTTAAATTTTGTAAATGTTAATGGAAAAAGGATGTTTTTCCTGAAATATATGAGATAGCCAAAGTTAAACCTATATTTAAAACAGTTGATAAAATAAATATTGCCAATTACAGACAAATATCAATACTCTACATTTTTTCTAATATTTTTGAACAAATTGCGTTCAATAGATAATATACTGTTGTAAAAGATGATGATCTATTTTGTTTAAAGCAGTTTGGGTTTTTTTGCAAGCGGAGAGTTAACGTTAGATGTATTTATTAACCTCTTTAAGGCGATAACACAGTGAATACAAAACACATGTAAAAAAAACCTAAGATTTATGGTATAAAAAGCATTTCAAACAGGTGGACAGAATTCTAGATAAACATACGAAATCCATATAATATGGAAATAATAAAAAAAACAATTTTATCTTTGACATTTTGTAGAGTGCTTCGAGGGCCTATCTTTGGGTCTCTTTTTTACCTTATATATCTGAAATATTTCTGAAGAGTTTCAAATATATCAACAAGTATGTTTGATAACGATAGTAACTTTTTGATCCCTGACGGTAAAGATATGCTTTAACAGTCCTTTCAAATAAGAAATGAGTTAGAAAAAACTTCAGTATAGTTTAAAGCAAACAACATTCCTATTAATTCTAAAAAAACAACGTTTTCTTTATTCTATCTTTTAAATAAAACAAAAAGGATTTCTATACTTATTCCAAAACCAATTTATGAAATAACAGAAGTTAGTCGCAAAACATTTTTGTGTTTTCATTTAGGAAACATTACCTGGAATAAATATATTGCCTGTATCGGCAATAAAATATCAAAAAGTATTAAAATTATTTACGGAAGTAAAAAGACTAAACACTGCGTGGGGTTAGACCTAACCCTAGAGTGATCTGAATTTAAAAATGTAAATGCGTCAAAAAAAATCTTCTTGACTATTTAAATTAAAGAAAGGCCGTAACTCTAATTTGTTATATAAGAAATTCGGGCTTTTAAACCAAAGATCGTTATTTTGAAGGGTATTAAGCTTACAACCACAAGATATAATATCTGCGATATTTCTCTCCCTTTCAATAAAATTCCAAAAATTAATTTTATATAAAGAACGAATTTTTTCTAAACGTTTTTGAATAAAAGTTTCATATTTTTTATTTACATTGTTAACCTAATTTAGACAAATGATAGAATCAGAAAAAAGTTCACTTAAAAAATGTCTTAAACACAACTCTTTAATACAACCGAAAAATTATTAAAGAACAATAGAGTTGCACTTAATTCTAGTCTAAGAATTATATTTTCAACAAAGTTTTTAAAAACTCTTCTATCTCTGTTTTTAAGAAAGAGATAAGACAAAATAACAACTCAATAAAGCAACAATATAAAATGCGTCTATCAAGCACAAACTCTCTTTTACAACTCTAAAAAAAAGTTATACTTACAAATATTACGCCATGCGGCACGGAGGAGCGCTTAAGCGCCAAAACTCATCCGAGTCAGATTTTACACACTCCCCCCGTTGACTAGGGTTAGGGTTAGGGTCAGGGTTAGGGTTAAAGGCTGTTCAAACGAGGGTACATTTGATGGGACATTCCGTGGAACATGGAACATGAACAAATATCCTCTCGTGTGAACGCAAATGGAACATATATTCAAGAAACATTTGAGGAAATTTTGTACCGTCCCGCCAACTCACAACAAATAAATGTTCCGGAACATTTATTTAGCTTTGTATAAAAAATGGTGCCTGTTTTCAACTATTTTTAAAATATGCGTATGCATATAAGCTAAATGATTCAATAAAAATGCATTGCAAGATGCAAATTTGTTGTGAAAGTGAAACTCAAACTTTTTTTTTTACAAAGTTGTTCTCACCTTAATCAGAGTTTTTAGTCCTTGATCTCTGCATTGTCCTTGATCTCTGCATCGTCCTTGATCTCTGCATTGTCCTTGATCTCTGCATTGTCCTTGATCTCTGCATTGTCCTTGATCTCTGCATCGTCCTTGATCTCTGCATTGTCCTTGATCTCTGCATTGTCCTTGATCTCTGCATCGTCCTTGATCTCTGCATCGTCCTTGATCTCTGCATTGTCCTTGATCTCTGCATCGTCCTTGATCTCTGCATTGTCCTTGATCTCTGCATCGTCCTTGATCTCTGCATTGTCCTTGATCTCTGCATTGTCCTTGATCTCTGCATTGTCCTTGATCTCTGCATTGTCCTTGATCTCTGCATTGTCCTTGATCTCTGCATTGTCCTTGATCTCTGCATTGTCCTTGATCTCTGCATTGTCCTTGATCTCTGCATTGTCCTAGGTCTTGGTTATATATCAAGACAAGATTATCGATATACTATTTGTTTTTCAACATGTTGCCTTAAAACTTTTAGTTTTTGCCTTCCATCTTTTTTATTGAATTCAAAACGATATTATATTGAATTTTTAACCATATTTACAATTTGTATAAATAAAGTCAAAATTTAATTATTAGTGTATTAATAATTTAAAAAGAAGTTATATATGTGTGTTTAAAAACTTAATCTTAAAATATAACATTACAAGACAGTATTATTCTTATTAAGATCAGTATAATTCAAGGTAACATTTAACTTGCGTTAAAAAAGTTTAATTTTCATTGTTTAATAGTTTTTATTTAATTATTTTCATTGTAAGCATTGCTATTAATGCATTTTTAATAAACTTATAGTAATTTTATTTATAAAATTCAACTTTGAACTAATAAGCACAGTTGCTTATCATTGGCCTTGCCAATAGTGATAACAATAATAAAAGTAATAATTATTATTATTGTTATTATTATTTTTGCTATTATTAATATTATCAAGATTATTATATAGTAAATTATTATACTACAGTTGTTTACAAGGCAAAAAGTAGCAAGGCCATTACAACAAGTTACAAGACCAAAAACAAAAGTTACTAGACCAAGTTTCAAGGTCAAGGCCAAGATTTAGAGTTTCAAGGCCAAAACGGACGCAAAGATTTTTAAGACTTAAGACTTCGATTTTTGCCGAAACTTCGAAATTTACGTAAAAGTAGACCAAGTTTATGTTCAGATTTCTACAAAATCAATAAGAAAATATGTTTTTTTTTAGGGCCTAAACAATTAAGGCCAAAGCCAAAATTTTTAAGGCCAAGGCCAACAGTTTCAAGGCTAAGGGCCTTGGCCTTGGTAATGGAAATTTTAAGGCCAGGCCAAGAACAAGGACTAAAAACTCTGTTATATAATAACTGCTTTGCAATAATTCAATAGATTATCATTTCAATTAATTAACTTGTTTAAATAATACAGTTTACATTTTTTATTATAAATTTATGATAATTATATTTTATGCTATAGGTGCTATGGGCATATGATGTATGCACTAATAGTACATAATATATGCCTATAGCACTGCATTTACAATATTTTTATCATTTTAGATATTTTAGTATAAAATGGCAAACAAAAATTCACCAAAGATAGACGATTCAAGAACATCTAAAAAAATAATTAAAGAACTGAACTTTTATGATATTGAGAATTAATTATTATCAGGAATTTTTCCTGAACATTTACAAGGAAAAGAAAACCTAGGCATTAAAACAAACTTCAAAAAACAAAGTGACAGGTTTGTAATTGTTAATGGTATGCTACATTACAAATATAGAAAAATCATGAAAGTTACTTCTGGTCCAGAGACTTAATGCGTTGTCAAAGATCAAATGTCTCGTAATCAGTACAAAAAAGCTGCACACGATGGGTTACGCACATCAACTGAATCAAATGCTATTGGTGGACATGTTGGGAGAGATAAAAGAATATGGGAATTGATTGATTCAGGATATTGGTGACCAAATACGAATAAAGACGTCCAAAACTATGTTGCCACTTGTGAATCTTGTCAAAAATCAAATTCAAAAATGAAAAAAGTTTTTCTAGAATTGCATCCAATACCAGTTCCAACAAAAATTTGGCATCAAGTTGGTGTTGACCTCTGTAGTCTTTCTAAAAATCCAGAAGGTTATGTTGGAAATGTGTAGTTATTGATTACTTTTCAAAATGGATTAAAACAAAGCCTATTTATAATAAAAGTGCTGAAGAGGTATCCAGATTTCTTTATGAACTTATATGTTGACATCGTTGTACCTCAATTCAAATTAATGATCAAGGTCGAGAATTTTGTAATAAAGTTTCTGAAAATTTGCTAAATCTTACTGGAACCTGTCAACGTATTACTTCGGCTTACCATCCTTAAGCAAATGGCCTCGTTAAAAGAACTAATAGAACTATACAGGGTTCTATGCTTAAAGTGCTGAACGGAGAGCAAGAAAAAGGCCTCATTCATTAGATGGCATTTATTTACATTTCAAACAACTCGCAACAAGTCAACCGGTGTCACTCCCTTACAAGTTATGTATGCAAGGGAGCCAGTACATGATGTACCTGTTGATTTAGACATAGAAGAAGGTATTTATCTTAATAAACGAATGGAATAAACTTATTAAATTTTATTTTATACATTTAGTTGTTTTTTTTAAGGTATTTTGGAACAGGCTGATTTGCTTGAAAACTTAAAAGGAATTAAAAACATTGAAAGTATAATTCATGATAAAGTAGAAAAAAATATAAAGAAATCTCAATTGCGACAAAAGAAGCACTATGGAAACGTCACAAAAACCAAATCCAATTCAATATAGGCGATTAAGTTTTTGTTTATAATTTTAGAAGAGCTGATAGAAAAGGTGATAAAGGGAAATCTGTTTGGGATGGACTGTACGAAGTTATAGAAACATTTATTGATAAAGGATTTTATTAGCTAAAACAAAAAAATGGTGAAACACTTTATACCAAGCATCATTGTTCAAACATGAAACTTTCAAAGAATCTAAAGTTGAAATACTTCAAAAATCATGTGATGAGGTGTCTGAGATTAAATCTGAATCTTTAGAAATTGTTGAAGTTGTTATCAGCAAAACAAACTCTTTTATACCTACTAATAGTAAATGGAGAACAAAGAAATGCTCTAAAAAACTAATGAAACACCTTTTAAAAAAGGTTTTGCTGTACGAAAAAAAAAGTTACGATTGGGAAAACCGATTAGTGTTGATAAAATTGAAGTTGATGGAAATTGCTTATTTCGAGCTTTAAGTCAGTAAGTTTGTCCAAGTCAAAAGTTTTATAAAATACTGCGTCAACTAGCAATTGATACTCTTTTAAAAGCGGAATATAGAAATGCTTTTGATGCTTATATATCAAAACCAGTTTTAAAATACATTAGTGATTCAAAAATGGAGACTGATCAAATACGGGGCACTGATGTCGAAAGATATACATTAGCAAATGCCTTCGGTACACCAATTGCTGTTTACTATAAGCCTCCTGAAGCTTCTGTATTTTCGTGGTTTTTTTACAAACCTCTTCTTCAAAATACAAATGGGTTTAAACTGATCGAAATGAAAAAGAAAATGACCAAATAGTTTATCTGCAAAATACTGGCGAACATTGTGATAGTTTTAGCTGTCAGTTGATTTTTGTTTACATTAAGTTGTGTTTTTATTGACTTTTTAAATGTTTTATATATTTATATTTCTTATTGACTTTATTTTAAGATTGTTTTGACTTTTTTTGTAAATCCAAAATGTTATGCAATTTATCATTTTAAAACTAATCATAGACTTGTTTTATAACTCTCCATTATTAAATTTTGATTTAAGTTTTAGCATACAAGAAATTAAATTTATTGATACTATGTTAATTTAAAATACTATTGTAAATTTATTTTTTTCTGTTGAAACTTTTGATGAAAGCTTCTTAATTCTTAAGTAGTTTAGGTTTGCTTTTTAAACAACAAAATTAATTTGATTAAGGAATACAATTGAAGTTTCTTGTCTTGCAGGTGGCCTCTTTTCTTTTTTAATCGCACGTGTTTTTTTTTTTTAAATGCCAACACAGATTATAAAATACTAATGAGTTAAATTAAAAAAATTAAAATTATAGAAGACAGCCAACCTCAACTAAGATTTGTAGTCTTCTAAAATCAATGGTTTTTTTTTACCCTTGACAGGTACACTTGTCCAGGAACTAAAAAAAGGGTCACTAGTCTGTCACAACGGAATTTTTATGAATAAAAAAAATTAAAATGTCGATGAACTATGAGCGTTAATTAAAATTTTTTATATTAGAAATTTTACCCACATTTGGGTCCTCATAATAGTATTTTTATGAAAACAATAATACTCTAATCAATTACGAGTGTTAGTGAAAATAAGGATACTCAGTCATAAACTTCAAAACAGGTCAAATTTAAGATCATGTTGTAAAAACTCTTCTGTAATGTTATTTAATTAGAAAAAAAAAGTTTAAAAATTTAACCTAAATCGTATTATAAAATTAACTTAATCCAATTATTTCAAAAGCTATTAAAAAAAATAACTTTAAACTAAAAAAATACTCTCTTTTAAAACGTTTTCTTTGCCCTTAGTACATGTTACCTGAGTTAAGTGTTTGGTGCCTAGCCGGTAGAAATTACTGTACGGTGCTTTGCACCTAGGCAGCAAACACATGTGTTATATGTGTGTGTGTATATATATATATATATATATATATATATATATATATATATATATATATATATATATATATATATATACATAAATATTGTTAACGAATATTTATTAAATCACAAAGTTGTAAAACTAAAGAACAAAAAAAAAAAAAAAAAAAAAAAAAAAAAAGATTATTAGGATAAAAACAAAACAAAGAATCTATTTGTAGTTTTATTTCGCATCTATTCGCATTATTTAAGAACCCTCTCCCCTCCACTTTATTTTAGGGATTTAACGGAAGTTTATCGAAGGAAAAACAAGTTTCAAATTTATTTTATTGAAATCAAAATATTATATAGCAAAACGCGTATAAAACTAACATGTTACAGTGCTCCTGTTATCAATTCCAACTTCGGCTGGATCGTATTTGATTGATTTTCAGATGATTTAAATTGGAAGTTTGAAGGAAGATAAAATGTGACGTATTTCAGTTGCTTGAATCAAAACTTGAGAGTTTTGATTCAAACAACTTTTTTTTGGTATCAAAAGTTAAACTAAAACATTTATTAAAAATTGCTTATAAACTTTGAAAGTTTTAATTTGAATCTCTAGCTCAGATAAACCTCCGTTACATCTCTATTCTAAATATAAAAACAATTTTTCATCTTCATTTTCATAAGTTTCGATTTACTTATTATTATTATTATTACTTATTATATTTTTATTATTATTAGTTTACTTTTTTATTTATTTTTATTTATAGTGCACTTTTTTTTAGACGTTATATCAATAAATTATTTACTTATAAAAAAAATAATTTTTTTTCTTATTTTATTTTTCATCATAATTTTAATTTTGCTTTTATAGCGTTAAAAATAAGCACTCCCGCCTTTTGCCAAGATCTTCCAATTAAGACTATGACCATATTTGGAATTAAAAAACTTTCCGTCATTTAATAAAAAATAATATTTCCAACACAATATATTTGTTTTTAAAATAAGGTCGAGTCTAGTCTATTTTAGGTAAATTTTTTTTTACTATTCCAAGTTTTATAACCGAAGCTGTTGATTGATCTTCTAAGCTGTTGATCAATCTTCAATTTCTTTTGTGGAAGAATTATGAAACATCTTGTTTTTTGAAATAATTATTTCTAAAGTTATCTTGCTGTTTTATCCAGTCCATGGATTGGTGGTTTACAGTACTTAATGACTCATTTCCACATTCTTGAAACTAGAAAGTTAATTCTTATCAGAAACAAATTTAAGACAAACTTGTTTATAAACCTATTAGACTAAAAAATGTTAAATTAACCTCAAATTTAGTGGTCTTCACCATAGTGATAAGCCGTCGTGAAATTTTCGTTGTTAGAACCTGTTCACAATTTGCAGTCAATTTGAATCCCGGATATTTAGGGATGATTTCTTCAGAGTAGCTAATTGAAAAATTAATAAATTAGACATGCAGATATTGATTTTATATGATTTTACAAAATATTAATATAACTTCTATGAAAACTGCAGTTTTCAGCATAAAAAAAGAGCTTTAGCTTTCCTGAAGAAATAGCGAAATCAAATTATGAAAATAGGGTGGGGTGGGGTAAAAAAGGGTGGGGTGAGGGTTTGGGTTAGGTAACGTGGATAGAATTTTAAATATATTTTTAATGTAATTTTTTTCTAGTTAATACTATACATTTTGGGTGTATGCTACAACTTTACAATGAGTATAACATAAATATATTTTTCAATAACTAACTTATTTGTTTTAATAAATATTTTTTTAATCAGGATTTAAAGAAAGAGAGTAATTGAATGACAACTTTCTACTTTTTGAAATAGTAGCATGTTTTTGTTTTTAAAAATATTATTTCGTGTATAATTGCTAGTTAATAATCAAATATACCTTATAAATACGATAATAGCTATTATAGACTTATTTGCAAATTAGATGCCCTGTCATTTTATTATTCAGATTCATGTATTTAAAATAGAAAAATGGCATTATTAGATAGTAAGAAAACCAGAAAATATACCAACACCAAGCTTAGTGAATATCTTGGAGATCCAAGAAAGTTTCTCCAAACTGAATTTCTAACATTACATAACTGATTGCAGCGGTGTCTTGATCTGTAACAAGATAAAATAATAGTTTATGAAATAACAATTTATGAAAAAAATTCAAGTTATCAATGTAAGAAATTTTTTAATGTTGTCCATGAAATTGCAGAACGATGGTTTATTTCTAACACAGAGTTCAAAGAGCCTATAGTTTGTGGTACTAAAGCTATAGAACTAAGACTCTGTAGAGATCAGCATTATCTAAAATAGCTTGACAGAAAGCCCAAAAGACTGATAAAGAACACTGGGAATCTAAACTTGATAAACTTTTAGACATTGCTTTTTGCAAATGCAAAACTGTTTACTGCAGTAAGAATGATTCTTGTGATGATCATGCTCATTGCCTTTGCAAATGTGATATTTAAGAACTCCTCAAAAAGCTTTTTTGGATTAAAATCCAGCAAGAAAAACAAGATAATGATTCTTTTATGTAAGGTATTTGTAATGCTGCCCTTTGCCTCTGTCGTTTTTGGTGGGTCATCGACTGCTACTGCTGCTATCATTAATGGTCACCTAAAAGATATTATAAAGGCAAGGAAACTTGTTGAAAATAAAAATAATCTTATTTGTGATAGCAAGAAAGTTTTTGTGCCAAAGAACGTGCTATAAAGTCTTCTAGAGTAGAGGAAAATTTAAACTCTAAAAGAAATACTATCACTGGGAATTTTGATATAAAGATAAAACAATAATCGCTATGCATGATAAAACCACAGGCACCTTCAGTAAAAAAATTATTTAAGAAAACTTTTTAACTGTGACAGAGGAGTCTAGAGGTCGCTATATTACTCATTATACACCAGAGCTTAAATCTAAAATATGTAAACCGGCAAACAATGTTCTATTGGATTATTCAACTGATTAAAGGAAAGAGGTAAAGATCTTAATCTCCAACTAGTTGGTAGTAATACTATAAATGAAATGTGCGGATGGAAAGGTGGAATGCTTCATTTTGTGGAGGAACTTCACCATTAAAATTTTTTTTAGATCTTTTTGCGAGTAGGAATAGTGTCACATAAATTTAATGAAAAGTGTTAAAAACAAAAAAAAAAAATAGTGTTGCAAATAGTAAAAAAGGAATAGTGTCGCAAATAGTTAGTTTCAGCAATTGCTGACTTTGGCTTATCTTTATAGCTTTATATAGATAAAATTTGCTACCAAACACTAAACCGTTAGTCAATGTAGTAGCACTCCTTTGCAGCAGCAGGCTTTAAGATAGTTGTGGTGGTTATTTTAGTATGACATCAGGCGTGTTGTTTAAACACACATTTATAGTTATTAGCATTTTTTTATTTTTGTTACTACTCATTAAATTCCTTTAAGACATTATTCCTTTTTTCTATTTTTGACACTATTCATTAAATTCATTTGCAACACTATTCCTTTTTTTTGTTTTCCGCACTATTTATTAAACTCCTTTGCAACATTATTCCTTTTTTTTATTTTTGACACTATTTATCAAATTCATTTGTGACATTATTCCTTATTCTGTTATGAGACTCAATAATGCGACATCAATGAGAATCAATAATGCGACGATTTGCAACTTAATTCCCTTTTTTACATTTTCGACAATTAAATTTGCAACACTATTCTACCACACCATTTCCACTTTTGCAGAAGCAAGATGATAGGGTTAAAGAAGCCTCTAAACCTTATCTAAAAAGTGAATCCTGGTGGGCTCATCATGAGAATATACTTGTTGCACTTCTCTGTTCAGATAACTCAGAACAAAAGTTATTTGTAGGCAACATAATTTTGGCAATCAGAATGATTATATATTTAGAAGTAACTTTTTGTTATTAATTTAATAGTATTTTGTTACTATTACTGTATTTGTTACTTGGTTGTTTTGTCTTCAAGCTTGTTAAACTTATAAGTTGTTTTTATTGCTTTTAATTGTCTTTACAACTATGACATTTCTACTATTTGAATGAAGGTTGTTTATTTGTTTTTTTAGGGGCAGGAGAAAAGGGATAAGACAATTCCAGTCTTTTTTGGTTAAATTTTATAAAACTTTGGACTACATAATGTGTTTTTTTTTTTAAAAAAAAAGCTTTTTTATTTATGTTAATATAAGCATAAATCGTGATATATCTTGATAATTATAATAAAGTTATCAAATATTGACAGGGAGCAGCTAGGAACCCTTATTATTCTTATACATTACTGGCAAAGAAATCCTGGTGGTTGATGATTATTTTATCTGTTTTATTACTTGTGGTTACTTTTTACTTTATAAGAATTTAATTTGCATTAATAATTATCTAATATTTTTTAAAGATTAAACTTAAAGATCAATTTTTAATAAAAACGTTATATTAAAACCTGATTCCCGGTAGCTAAACATTAATATTTTATTAAAATATTATCAAAATTGTATTCCCCATACCCAAAAACATAGGAATTTAAGTGTGCTATTCAAGATTTTGAAAACTTAAATTTTGACTGAAATGATATATATGCTCAATACAGACAGGGGCTATTCTAGACCGTTTTCGACAGCGCCGACCATATTAGGGTGTCAATTTGGGTGCTTCCCAAATTAAAATTTGAGGACCTCATTTTTTTTTTTTACATTTTTTATGGCAAATATTTTTTTCACAAAAATTTGCCGAATTGTGGCTAAATTTTTTTGTTACGAGGAGGAGGGATCACTGCCCAAATTTTTTTCCTAGAACAGGCCCTGACAGAGTAGAGCAAATTAAATTACGTAAAATTAAATTATATTAAACCTGTTAACAGGTTAACTATTAAACAGGTTAATTATATTAAAAGGTTGCTGTTCAACACTGTATGAAACTAAAATACTGAAAAGTAGGGTAAGGCGGGGCGAGTTCGTCATGTTTTACTTTAACAAAATGAGTTCGCATATAAATAAGTGAACTTTTCTAGTTTAAAAACTTTTTTTTATTAATTAGGGTCTCTATTATGTTAATGTATTGAATCAAAATGAATTCTAAAGTTACTTTAGCGTATAATTTGATTTTTTCATCATCAAGTCATGAGGGGCGAATTCGTCAAATACGGGGCGAATTCGTCAGTACAGCTAAACTAATTTAAAAATTCGTGACTCGGGCGATAGACGAAATTCCTTTCTAGTGGTAAAGGCAACTTACCTAGGAGAAAAAAACTTTGACATAAAACATTTTTGAGGTCACAGTAGGATGATTTCCCTAATCTAGAAGTAAACCTAGAAGTTGCGAGTTCGATTCCCACCGCGTCCCTGGTAGTACTGCGCTTAACTTGTTTTTCTCTCAACTCTATAACTCCAAAACACGAACCTTGATCGTCAAGGTTCGTGTTTCGGAGTTATAGAGTTGAGAGAGGGTTGTAAACACAACTAAAGTAGCCTCCTCGACTGCAGTGGCCTAGGGTAAAAGGACATCAAAAAGGACATCAAAAAGGACATCAATTGTTAAACTTTTTCCAAGAAAATATCAAATAATGATTTTGGCATAAATGAAAACCGTATAACCACGCTAGCGCAAAAAATAGCACGTTAAAGCAACAAAAAATCATATCACTACTATGACTATTTAATTAACAAAAATCATATCACTACTATGACTATTTAAAAATTTACAAGACGTTTATATGTTCATTGCACACAATTTGCACATGTATCAACTCCAAAACATCCTTCGCATGCCCACTGATTGCAATTTAAACATTTAAGCCAATCTTCACTTGCTTCTGCCCAAACAGCTGCACAAACACAACAAAAGTCTTTATCAGTGTTATTTTTTAGAATAAAACTTGAAGAACTTGGGTGATCAGAATCAGCTGAAAAAAAAGTCTTTTTTGATTTGGTTTTAACTGATTTATCGTGATCCTTTTTTGACTTCTGTTTAACACTGACCACATTTTTTATTGCAGCCTTTTTAGCAGGAGGCTCTTTTATTAACTTAACATTACCTGGTGATGTAATAAGAGCAATGTGGCGTTTTGAATGAGTAGGTTTCCTTTTTTTTTCAGGAGAAGGTATAATAGTCCTTAAAATAGATAAATTTTGGTCTCCCTGGTGAATTGTTGCTTTATTAAAAACCTCTGCTTTTTTATATTCGAAATCTTTTACTGGGTTTTCTTAGGGGATGCAAACCACAATGGTAAAACGCATTAACAATCAATCCTCTTTTTGTAAGTATATTTGGCCATATTTTGTTAAAAATAATGTGAAAGTTGCAACGAGGCAAAGAAATATCATCATTTTCAGCTAAGTAATTAGACAAGGCTTCAGACCACATATGTTTAACTACTTTATTAACATGTGTGTCAAGTGGTTGAAGGCGATGTGTACTATGAGGTGGAATGCATATTATTTCAATATCCATCATTGAAAATGATGGATATTGAAATAATATGCATTCCCATTCACAAAAGTGAATGGGAAAAAAGTATTGTTATTTTTGGATGGCCACAAAAGTCACATGACTTTTGTGGCCATCCAAAAATAACAATACTTTTTTCCCATTCACTTTTGTACAAAACTCATTAAAATGATGTAAATAAGCAATACAATGCACTTTTGTACCCAAAGGAAATTTAGATGCATCTGGAATCTTTGTTCCCTTAAATATGAAAAATGGTGGTAAGCTGTCTCCTGCTGCATTAAAAGTGGCCAGGTATGTTGTTAGTGTGCCAGTGGCCAGGTATGTTGTTAGTGTGCCACCAATAGTTAACTTTTGTACCTCATGAGAACCCTTTAATGCTATTACCTTAAAAGAGACATTTGGCACAGATGAAAGGCCAGTTTCATCACAGTTATAAATCAAATTTGGATAATTTTTTATGTCAAGCTGTTCATAAAAAGGTTGTAAATCGTTAAAAAATGTCTGAACGCAATTCTCATTAAATGCTTCTGCTCTTGCTCGAGAAAGCCCTTCAGGAATTCTTAGTGTCAACTGAGTATGCCTTTTTCGGAATGAGAGAAACCAATCACGTGATGCCAAACATTTATTATGCCAACTTTTTGGAATGGACTTCTGTAATAAATGACGTCTACACAAGCTTTTGGCATAGAAATAAGCAGCAGATCTTAACCACATTATTGTGAGAGGAAACCCTCTATCAGCCATATAAAGCAGCCTTTGAACAAGAGTTTCTTCTTGATTTTTAAAGAAAATTGTTTTACCACCTATAGAATGTGTTTGATGTTTTCCCCGTAATTTATCAATCAATGTTGTACGTGGAATATTAAATTGTTTTACTGCAGTTGATATAGTTTCTCCATCTATAATGGTTTGCAGAGCAGCCTGAAAAATTTCTGCATTATAATTTTGTCGCTTTGGTTTATAATTACGTACCATCTATACATTTTAACATGAAAAATAATGTTATTAAAATCTACCATAAGTAATAATACATTCTTAGTTTTTTTTATATCGGTATATATATAAATAAATATATATACAATATGTATATACATATATATATATATACATATATATACACAAAATGTAGTATTTATTATAAACAAGTATGAATGATACATTTGTTTATAATAAATACTACAAAAAATACTTATAACAGATATTTTATACTGTACACACATTTTATACTATATACTTACTATTTACTTTTTACAATATATAATAGTTATACTAAATAGTATAATATTATATATATTTTTTAAAATAGAATAAGATCTTTGCTATATAATATATAATAAAAGTCTTATTTTAATGTAAAATTAGTAAATAATATTAACTATTCTAATAATATTTATTGAATTTCAATAATATTTTAACAATATTTAATACTTATACATATTTTAAATATGTATAAAAATAGGCAGTGCATAGCCTAAAAATATATAACATATATGTTTTATATACTTATTATTTACTGTATATATATTTCAGACTATACATTATAATAAGTTTGTTTACATGTTTCACATCAAAGTCGTGTTTATAATTAAAACTTCAAAAAGTTTTAAAAGCTAACTGTAAATTAATATATTCTGAAAAGCCTTTCTCTTATAAATGTCTAAAGCTTTGGAGCGCATTTTGATCACAATTTGTTTTTCTTTCAAACTGTGCTCGGTAGTTTAAAAATTTGCATGATGAAACAACCTAATTTATTTTTCGTATTAACTTTTCTTCATCGACAAAGTTGCCCCTCATTTGAGCATGTGCTAACAATCATTACGTGACAATTCCAAAGGCAAAAACATAGTAACTTAAATTATTATTTAAAAACTACTGACATCAATCAATCAAAAAATATATACTTTGTGGTCAAAACATTGCGTATTTTGATAATTTTTTGACGATAGGCATTTAAGCAGAAAAATATTTTTTCAACTTCAATGTTTATTAGCAATATTTAAAGAATAATCGGAGGTAAATATATAAAACATTTATTTAGTAATATTCTACAAATATAAGTTGAAAAAGTTTCGAAAAAAACCTAGTTAATAGATTTCTTAGTTTTTATGCATTATTATTTTAAAGCTGAGTCGCATAAGTGACGGATTCGCTCCGTGACGAATTCACCCCGCCTTACCCTAAATGATCAAATTTAATTTTTGTAACTTGTAACTAAATTTTATAATAGCAATATAAACTTTATAATTTTATAATAACATTTTGCACTACACTTTTTGAGTTAGCACCATATTTTATAGGATCATATTGTTATAAAACCTGATAATCCACAAAAAACTTAAAAATTTAAAAAAATTTTATTAATAATATTTTAATAAAATGTAAATTTTTATATTTTGATATACAAATATGTTGTCTGTCAATCGTTATCTTGCTCTATAATCATTTTTTCTCTTCCAGTAACTTCTAACTCTAATTAGTGATTGCTTGCAGCTTTGTTGGAAGCAAAGATGTTTAAAAAAAAAAAAAAAGTAGTAGTAGTAGCCAATGCTAGTTACCTGGTTTCGCACTATCCCTGACAAAATGATAGTTTTTTAACAATCTGCTAATTAAAAAGTAAAGTTTTACTTTTTTTCTGGTAGAAAAAATCAAATTTTTACTTTTAACTGAACATTCGCTATGAAAAAAGTAAAAAAAAAATTTTGGCTGGTTATTTAGATGATTTCTTATCGAAAACTTTGCTTATTCAATAATATTTTTGCGCTTTTTTTATACTGTAAACTAAAGATTGTTATGTTATGTTGTTATGGTCTCAAAACCATTTATACTTTAAAAGTCAAAAACACTTAATTGCTAACCTAAGAATTTCAACTTTCTGTTTTTAAAGGTATTTAATTCTTTTAATATTAAAATAGCCTTGCCAATAAAATCAATTTAATATTTAGCTTGCCTTGCCCATTCATTCTTGCCGATCAAATTTGATTGTCCAGAATTGATATTGGGAGATCAAAACATCATTTTTTTTCAAGTAGAAGATCTTTGATTGGCCATTATTCTTTTTCTTTAAAAGTATTTTAAAATAAACAAAATTAAACTTCACTTTTTGCAAATAAACAGCTTTTGTTGTTGGTAATAATATTTGTCAAAGTAGAGGATCGTTGATTGGCCATTATTTTTTTTCTTTTTAAAGTATTTTAAAATATCTTAAAACAATATTGAACTTCATATGCTAACTAATCACTTTTTTTCTTGGCAATATTTTTGGAGTATTTATTGAATACCTTTATAACTTATAAAGAAGTTAAAAATTAAATTGTACCTTGGTCTAAAAACAGGTAACCAGTATACTAAACGTCCACCAACCACCAAATACTTAAAAGAAAACTTAAATAGATCCATAATAATACTTGAAAGTGCATGGAATTTCTTGGCAGGTATATGTTCTTCACGCCTTAAAAAAAAAAACATGTTAAATAAATCAAAAAAAACACTCAAACTGGTCAAGTGTAATTGAAAGAAATTACATTGTAAAACTTTTATTGTTGAAGTCATATTGTAAATTATAGTAATTGAAGTGCTAAAAGTAATTAAGTCACAAAATAAATGTTTTGAGAAAATCTACTATGATCAGCCATTTTAAATCCTAACTTTAAAGTGTTATATCTCTAATCAAAGTAGACTTTCTCAAAACATTTTTTTTTTTGTGACTTGAGTATTATTAGCATTAAACTCTTCAATTAAAAGAAGTTAAAAAGGTTATCAAGGTTTTGTTACATTTTCAAACTAATGGTGTTGTGATTGTTGTATAATAACCACACCATCACACCTGTAGAAATAAATAGCCTCTAATATAACTTAATCTCTCTGCCCCCTGAGCATTTATATTTTGTCTATGTAAATCAACGGCTCTGTTGGTCACCTATAATGATCATTGTGTCACATAAACAACTACTTTAAAAAAAAATAAAGCCTGCATAGATTCCAAGTATTTAAAGTTAAAGTTGATAGCTCGTTTTGCTTATCTTTATAGCTAAGGGCTTTTTTAGGAGGAAAAAAAAAAAATGAAAAAAAAGGAATAATGAAAGAAAAAATTGCTATCCCATCACAAACCCTAAGTTGATGTAGTGGCACTCCTTTGCAGCAGCAGGCTATAAGATAGTCAAATCTTATAGCCTGTCTATCTTATAGCCAGGCTATAAGATAGACAGGCTATAAGATGGTCAAATTTAACAAAAAGAACAAATATTTTTTATAAATATATAACAACAAAGAACTTTTTCCTTTGATTTTTATCACTCGAATCTAATGACAACTCTCCTCTAGTCATCATTCAAAAAAAAAAAGGTAATCTAATATTAGAAATACAAATTTTATTGCTAATGCTAATTCTCACATAGCATAGATACAAAGTTTCTAGTAGAAAGCATGGATAAAAAGTTTCTAGTAGAAAGCATGGATACAAAGTTTCTAGTAGAAAGCATGGATACAAAGTTTCTAGTAGAAAGCATGGATACAAAGTTTCTAGTAGAAAGCCTGGATACAAAGTTTCTAGTAGCCTATAAGACTATTCACAAAGCCTGTTTAAAGCTACTGTTATGCCAACATTTTTACGCCAACTCACAACATTTTTATTTTAAAGTAAACAGTTTTACTTTAAAATAAAATATGTTATTGCTTGGAAACTATCATTAACTGCAAATGGAAATAAATATAAATATAAACATTAATTTGTGTAGTTCAAACCATTCTCTATTTGAAAAACAATTGAATATATTCCAAATGACTTATTTTAGGACTTTTTGTTGTTCAAGACCTCCAGATAAATATTTTCATACTAATAAAAATAAAAAGTTCAAAAAATAAAAAATAAAATAACAGCGACTAGAGTTTGGGAATATTATTACCTTAAAATTAGAGCCCTAACATTTGTAAAGAAGGGGCAATAATAGCATTTAAAAAAAAAAAAAATCTTCCATTATGAATTTGACACAAACTCATCTGTAAAACTCTCGTTGAGTAAAAAATATTTTAACGTTATCTTGGTTGTCATTTTCAAAAATGCGAACTGTTTCTGATGGACATTAGCAGAAATAAATTATTTCTTACTGTGAGTAATTAAAAGTGAAGGAGACCAAATTTTTAAAATTATTTGAATTTTCAGTTTTGGTTTTGAATGTTCACCTTGTTTTGCTAAATAAGAAATGTTTAAAAATAAAATTCTTATTTTATCATGATTCAAAAAGTCTAAATTAAGTTATTATTTTTTAGTTAGTTAAAGTTTAGTTTTAAATTTTAACCATGTTTTGTCTATTACCATATTTTCCTAGAGAGTTAGGTAGTGAAGGAGAAAAAATAACTTAAAAAACTCAGTAAAACTAATTTATGGAACAGACAGAAATGTTAATAATTATCAAATTATCAAATTTTTACTACCATTACCTTATTTTCCTAGAGAGGTCAGTAGTCATTTACGGAACACACAGAAATTTCAACAATATTATAATAAATGTTAACAGTAAACAAGTTGGACCAAGGAAAAGACCACTGCAAGAAGAAACAAGTTAAGCTAAATACTGCTGATTATAAACTCTGAACAAAACACAAAAGTTGATAAAAATGTTTGATATTTTACAAAATAGGCTAGACTTAAAAATAATTATAAAATGTAAACATTAAATAAGCTGGTGAAAACAGAAAAAAAAAAAGATAAAAAAAATGTTTATGATAATGGTTTTATGATCCTGCTCCATTCATTCATCCTGCTCCATTCATTCATCCTGCTCCATTCTCACCTACACACCATGCATAGCGAAGAAAATTTTAGTAGAAAAAGAGAACTATTTTAACTGCTGTTACTGTTAATATGTTAAAACAAATTTTATTTATTCAGTTGTTATCAGTCATTTAGTTTAAATTTAAAGAAATTGTTTTTGTATATAAATTATTTCAATAGAGAAAAATTGTAATTCATGTTAATTTCAAGGGATTGTGGTTTAAGATCCTGGTCAAGATAAAATATTTAGGCAGCCACTTAGTTTTTACTTTTAAAAGTTGACAAAATATTCCTGTTAGACTGCCAAAAAGGTTGAATTTGGTTGAGAAAATGGTTACCATGGAAACCATTTTCATGTCTCTATATAAATGTATACACTATATTTTTTTCAATAGGAGCTCAAAATCTCAGGTTAAATAATAGGTTGTATTGCTTCCAATTTTGCTTAGAAAACCATGAACTTTTGTATAAAACAAAAGTTAATGATATTTATTGTGTGTATATTTTTAAATATTTGCTTCACTTACCCTTTTTACTTTTTATATTATATTACAAAATGCTAGGTTTAGGAACCTTAAAAAGCTAGGTGAATGAAACTTACAAAAAAAGTTATTTTAATTTGTTTTTTTCTCTATGTTATCAAATAAATAATTTGCTTACATATAGTAGAGCTTACATAGATCTTCTATAACTTCTGTATAGCTGTACTATCAAACTTCTGTCTGTTTTCTTTGTTTGCTTTGAAATCTGTGTTTACTGTAGCAAAGTTCAAGTATGAAAGTGTGTTTTGATAATTCTTTGGAGTTGTGAATAAATAAAAAATGGAAAAGTCTTTTAATCATAGACTTAAGCCGACAAATCAAGATGCAATGTTCTAAGTAATATCATAAAGTAGTGTCAAATCAAAAATAAACATGTTCGGGTGTCAATCAATTCAGGAAAATTTCCACTATTAAAAGATCAAAGAACAATTATCAAATGACTTAATGATGTTATTGAAATTGGAAAGGAGAATATTGTTTTACTTTTACCAAAGTTGAGGAAGTAAAAAAGAATATAAAAAAACAAAAATAGGTAATACACATGATTGAGAAATAAAACTATTTTCTTATTAACTGTTCATGTTAAAAGGAATAAAATCTTTTTTTTTGCATTAAGGAAACGAAACTTGGTTTTTTGGTATTGTAATTTCAATAATTTATTTTGATTCCAAAAAGGTATAAACAAGTAAGAGTTGACAAAGACAATGTTAAATATTTTGGGAGTAAGAAAGCAAGCCTGTAGAAACCTTCATTGACATTAGATCACTTAGCTATTACCAAATGCTCAAAGAGCACTCCCAACAAAGAAGCTTAGCAAATCTTTAGGAAGCGTTGGGATGCAAAATATCAAAAGCACATTACAATAAAAAAGACGAAGAATTGTATCTATAAATTGTGCCCTTAACTGCATAGAAGAAACAGCGTGTAACCATTATAATGAGTTAGCTGAAGAACTTATAAAAAGCAATATTTTGATTGATGCAAACAAATTATAAACAGGTGTATGGTATGGAGATATTGATACCACATGCTTTATAATTATGATGACCCCCCCCCCCCCCAGCAATGTGGAACATCATATTAAAAGGCAAAGGAATATGTATCCACATGGCTCAAAAAGAAGCAGTTAAACGAATTCCAAATCTTCACAAATGATAGTAGCATAGTATGTTCTAGTTTGTAGATCAAATGTTTGACCAGTATTTAGAAAAAACAATATAAAAAGGCCTGTAATTGTCTTCATTCTCCTGACTGATTTGAATGTGATATACTGAGATTTCTATGAAGCAAAAATATTTAACTTTTCATCACAGAAATCAATGAAGTTTATTATATAGTTTTTCAAAATACTAGGTGAAGCACCAAAAAATGCTAGAAAATTTGAAATGAAACTTTGAGATAACTTGATTCATTTTGAGCACTCATCTTTTTAGCACTATTTTTAGAGTCTTAAAGCAACGTTTCTGATAATGTTCTGCAAACTAATTTTCAGAAGGGTTTAAAATTTAAAGGCTATTAGAGTTTCTTCAATGTCTTTTTAATTTAGAATGTTTTTTAAGGATAATAGATATATATTTTTTTATGACTTAACATTAGATCCTCAGATTATGGCTTTCAATATTTAATAGAAAAACTTGAGTTCTATGTTGCTTAATTAAAAACCTAACCTTCTGAGGCCCCAACTGCATTCTGAGGTTCTTTTACCAGTAAATATCAATTCATAACACATTAATTATGATTATTTATTGATTTATGTAATCATTTTGGCAATAAAATTTAAATATGTTATTTTAAAGTTACTTACAAATTTTCTGGAATTTCCCAAGTTGAATCTTTCTTTGAGCCTAGTTTTCTCCCTCCTTCACGTATGCCATATGGTGCTATATATATATATATATATATATATATATATATATATATATATATATATATATATATATATATATATATATATATATATATATTCAATAAAAATTTTTACATTTGTAATACATATATACTAATACACAAAAATAAAAAAATTATTGCAAACAAAAAGTGTAGCAACAAAATAAATTTGATAAGTAAAACTATTTATAACCTTAGTTATAAATAGTTTTACTTATCAACTTTTATTAAATGTCATATTCAGGTCAAAACTTAAAAAGTCAGATTTTCCATTGGCATTATTAAAACAAGGTGAGGTCTAACATCAAATTCAGAACTATCAAAATATTTAAATTTAAATGAGTTTAAGAGACCAGAAAACTGCCTTGCAATAAAAACTTCTTTTATGAGCTTTACAGCAAACATATCTACAAAAATTAATACAAGAGAAGCATAATACGTTTAGTAGTTTAAATTGTTTCAGAAGTTTTAATTTACAAAATATTAAAAAAAAGGCAGAGGAGTCCGAGTTTTGTATCTAATTACTTCACATATATTTTATTAGGCCACTTTCTAAATAGCTAAACGGAAACTTTATTTTTAAATACTATAAAAATATATATAAAAATCGACAAGTTATCGATTTTTATATATTGTCAGTTAAGTTATCAAAAGGAACTACAAGTGAAAACTTTTTGTTAAAATTTTATAAGTTTTTATAGTGGGATGTGATTTAAGAAATATAGTTTTTAGTAAACAAAAAGAGACTTAATGGTTGAAAAGAGATGGAGCCAGGATTGCTCCTTGTTTCTTTTTATTTTATTTGTTACATAAGAATAGTTTACCAAGATTTCTTATCAATATTATTATCATTTACAATGTTATTATCATTTTATTTGAGATACAAATTGATATTTATAACATTTCAAATTAAATTGAAAAAAAAAATTGTTTTTGTTAATTCACCTCCTTAAGGCTGAGAAGGCCACTACAGACGAGGCTACAGACTACTTATTTGTGGTCATAACCCTCTCTCAACTCTATAACTTCGAAATACAAACCTTGATTAACAAGGCCGCTGTGTGGAGAAACAAGTTGAGCGCAATACCAGAGATGTGGTGGGGATCAAACTCAGAACCTCTCTCTTATGAAGTGAGCCCTCTACCACTACACCACTACCGTATGGTAATTACTAGGTATAAAGTATAATTAAATAAAAAATGGCTGCTGGAACAAATTTTAATACTTAATTTAATAAGTTTAATCATTATAATACTTAATTTCACTATTTAAAATATTAAAAACTATTTAAAAAAAATTTTTTTAATATTTTTCTAGAGGTAAATAAATTATTGCCACATTTTTTTTAGCCCAGTTAGAAAAGATTGAAACTATTACTTCTAATCAACTTGGGCCTGCTGAATTGATGGAAACAAAAAGGTTAATAAAAGTAGAAAGTTGCAAACAAAAAATAGTAGAAGAAAAACTAATGAGAGAAAAAAAACACACGACTCGAAACAAACTAATGCTTGAGATAAACAAAACAGCAAATGAAATTTTTGAAGAGAGCAATTTTGATGAAAGTGAGATTTCTATTTAAAACTCCGGTACAAAATGTTTAAAAAAACTATGAAGATATCTCTAATATTGCAATGACCAGTATTAGATATGTTGTTGGTTTAAGAGCACCTGCAGCAATAGCTACTGCAGCATGGGTAGATGGAGGACTTGTATCCAAAAATGACAATAGATTAATAATTGATCACAGTTAAATTGATCATAGTAAAGTTAGAGGAACTAGGGATAAAGTTATGAATAATGTTGCTAATCAGCTTGATAATTACTGTGATAAAGAGATTATAAACTGTATAATTTTAAAGACGAAAAAATCTAACTAAAATATTTTTAACTGTAGATCAGACAGACAGTACTCCGTTAAAGTTCCATAAGAAAATTACACTGTTTGTTCTGGTGATGGGAAGTATTTATTTAATTTCACAACAGCTAAAGAAGCAGAAAAGAAACATGCTGAAATTATAGCAGATAAAATCTTTGATTATACTGAAATGAGAAAAATTTCACACATTTAACAGCAATTAGTGAAGACTCTACAAATGTTAACACAGGTTGGAAAAGAGGAGAAATGCACTTAATGGAGCTAAAGTTATGGCAAAAGTTAAATTGGATAGTCTGTGCTCTTCACACCAATGAATTAACATTAAAACATCTGATTCAATTGTTAGATAGAGAATCTTAAAGTGGTAAAAAATGGATTGGACCTATTAAAAGCAACTCGAATGGAAAGCAAAAAGACTTATGGGGTCTGATATTTTAAAAAATGCTGTTCTGAAGCCTTGCCCATACATGCTCAATGCAATTAAAGTCTGGTGAATTCCCTGGCCAATTAGTCCAGACAATGTTGAACTCCATACTAATGAGATCGATTGTTGCTTTAGCGGTATGGCACTTTGCTCCATGCATAAATACAGAAAATGAACAAAATTTGGTTTCAGGATCTTAAAAGAACCTTTCTCCAGATAAAAATAACAAACAATTAAAATGTTTTATAAAATTTTGAACAGAGCAACTTGGCAACCATGGCAATGAAAAATATGAGGGGGGAGGGGGGTCAGAAATTAATTATACACCTTCTGTGTGTGTGTGTGTGTGTGTGCGTGTGTGTGTGTATTTTATAAATAAAACTGCACATTTTTTACAACTATTAGTTTCATGCTAAATGCAATCATTAGGAAAAAAATCTGATTTTTTCTTGTGAAAAAATAATTTTGTACAAAAAAATAAATTTAAAAAAATCTAATCTTTTGGTTTGTGGTTGTCCAGCAAAAATTTGTTCTCATGGCGACACTTGGATATTAGTTTGCTTTTTTCGTTTAATAATTCTTTGGGATTTTTATACAATAAAATTATTAGTTTATCGTATAAGCATAATAGGCATTTTTTAGTTATGTTGTTGTAGACGGAGGTGCTTTTTATAATAGACTATTTTAAATTGGGTGTTGTTTCTATCTTATCCTTTGTTTCCCATAGGTCTTTTAAAAGAGTGGTTGAATTTTTAAGTTTATTGTTTTTGAATGATTGCTTGTGGTTTGCCCACAAGCAATCATTCGTATACATTTTGTCAGGTGTGTTTGGGAATGATGCAATGCATCTATAAATTACATTTGTTTTTTTGCAATCTGTGTTCATAGGGCAGGTTTCATTTAGTTTACAATTGCAAGCTAAAACCGCAGTTGGGTTCATCAAAATAATTTTAATATTGTGGTTCTTTATGATTTTTGCTATGTTGCTCGTGCAGCTGTAGCTGACTTTTATTGTGTTGCGATTAAATAGTTTATAAAGGGGATTTGGTTTTTAAAAGCGTTTGTCAATTAGTTGTAAGAAAGTTTTGCCTTTGTTTGTCAGGACGCTTTTATTTTATGGTGGGTTAAACCAGATTACATAGATACACACACACACACACACACACACACATATATATATGTATATATATATATATATATATATATATATATATATATATATATATATATATATATATATATAACTATATATATATATATATATATATATATATATATATATATATATATATATATATATATATATATATATAACTATATATATATATATATATATATATATATATATATATATATATATATATATATATATATATATATATATATATATATATATATATATATATATATATATATATATATATATATATATATATGGGGTAATGTGGGTCTATATGTCAATGTATTTTGTGCTATTAAAAATCTTATACTAATACAACAACAATAAATACCTTTAAAAAGAAAATTAGTATAAATTAGAAGTCTGACAATGTTTCTGGATTTATTTTTCTGGAGTCATGTTGCTATGGATTCTTTTAGATGATCATTAAAGAATAATATCATACTTTCAATCAAAACTAGTAAATAATCAGTTTTGAATTATTATTATTATAGTTTTGAATTAGTAGATAATCAGTTTTGACATTAAATTTTTATTAAATAGTTTTGAAGTTTTACTTCAGTTTTGAAGGATTATATTAAATTAACATTAAATTTTTATTATATAAACATAGCATAAATTTGCTATGTTTATATAATATAATCACATATTCAATTAATAGAAATATAACATGATTTGTTATATATATTAGGAAAATTTGTAAAAAAAACAACTATAGAAATTGAACCACAAGAATGCTTTGCATTCCTTGAAAATTAACAAAAAAAAAATGTTCATTTTGCGCTTCTAATTTATCATATTGAACAAGTTTTTTTGCATTAATATATTAAAGTTTGAAGTTTAAACTTTAGATCAATTAATTTAAATACAGTCATATTTTACTTTAAGTTGGTTTCATTTCATTGAAAAATGATAAAAATGTAAATTAGAGCCACATTACCTCTTTTTTTTTCACATTGAACTCTTTTTTTTTCAATATTCATCAATGGTCTACCTGAATATTTGACATTATTTGAATTCACATTATTTGCAGATAACGCAACACTTATGGCAAGTGATACCAATAAAAACCATCTAATAACAAAAACTCAGTTAGCATTTAACAATTTTATTGAGTAATGCTATGCTAATAAACTCGACATGAACTGGGATAAAATTAAAGCAATGATTTTAACAAATAAGCAGATTTTAAAAATAAAACATACATCATTTTTCCATTGTTGATAGCATACTTTTTATTTTGAAATATAAGTTTTTTGTCTGGTGATATATTTGTTGTATATCTTTGTTCATATTAGTGTTTATAAAACAATTTTTTATTATTATTATTATTGTTAAGTACTATTTAGGTGTATTGTCTGTTTTATTTATTTTTAAACATTCTTCTATTAATCTTTATTTTTCTCTTGACAACTGTCAAAATATGCTTTGTTCAAAAAATAATTATTCTTTATTCTAATGTACTTCATTTCTTCCCTCAGGCATTCACTACTCCTGTGTGACGGTTTGGCTAATTTTATATGCCAAAGTTTTTAAATAATATTGGGCCTAGCCTATAAGGGTTAGTGTTATGGTCATCAAGCACAACAATTTTCCAAATCACAATTACTGTCACCACGAAAGAGGATGTTTGTCTCTGGAAGACGCCTAGGCTTGTTTTTTAGTCACAAGTCAGTTGTAAATCCATGCATAGGTGTTTAATCCATCATGGTTTTCTGGAGTATGGCTGGGCTGGCTTGGTGTAGTTCAGAGATAAATCTTTGACGCTGGTTACTAACAACACAAGACTCTACTGAACAACATAAACAGCACAGACTTACACATTACACCTATACACCCTTATGCACATACAGCTTGTTTACATCGTTTGCTTTTTGTTCTTTCATAGATAAACTATTTTTGTTTGAACTCATCCTTACTTAGATAATATTTTGTTTTAATAGATAGTATGTGGTTGAAATGCGGATATAGATTTTCATGTTATGTATATGTGGTTATCATGAGTGATTGAGTTTTTCATTTTAGGATTCATATATATATATATATATATATATATATATATATATATATATATATATATATATATATATATATATATATATATATATATATATATATATATATATATATATATATATATATATATATATATATATATATATATATATTTGTAGAAAATCATTTTGCAAAATTTTTTTTCTGAGCCTTTATTGAATAAACACATTAAAAAAAAAAAAAATTGCAAAGTGATTTTCTACTAATTTGTAAATGCTCTGTTCTTTTAAGAACATTGAGCACTCTTTTTGTGGAAAACATTTTAAATTGTTTATATATATATATATATATATATATATATATATATATATATATATATATATATATATATATATATATATATATATATATATATATATATATATATATGTATATATATAACTACGTATATATAACTATGTATATATAACTATGTATATATATATATATATATATATATATATATATATATATATATATATATATATATATATATATATATATATATATATATATATATATATATATATATATATAGATATATAGATATATATATATATATATATATATATATATATATATATATATATATATATATATATATAGATATATATATATATATATATATATATATATATATATATGAGCAATTCTTATAAACTAGCGGCTTTCGACATTTTTTTGATGATGTATGTTTTTCCTCGTTATTTTCTCATGGTCCCAAAATTACATCTAAATCGGACACTAGAGAAAACTTTACTTCTTTAACAACATTTTTTCCGCTTCAAACATTGTTTTTATATCACGTTTTTATATCATTGTTATATTACCCAAAACTTTAAGTGACTAACAAATACATCTAAAATAATATTACCAACATCAATCATATTAAATGATAAGTTCAAAATATTTAAATAATTAATAAATTTTCTTCGCTTGGTGTCAAAAAGTAAATTACATTTTACCAAACACATATGAGATAAAAGAAAAAGCATACAAAAAATTTTCTCAACAACTAATATTTTGGTCTCGTCTTCGAAGTTTGTTTAATATTCTTCAAAACATTCATTCTACCTAATTTTGATTACTGCTCAAGTCTTATAATTTACTACACAAAAAAAGAAATATAAATCCATAGTAATGCATACTATATGATTTATTTTAACTACTCAAAATTAATATTCAAAATAAAGATATACCTACAAAGATATACCTACAAAGTTCATCATTAAATTGTATGCAGAGCACTAAAACTATGCAATAAAATAATTTATTACAAGAAACCGATGAACTTATTTAAACAATTTGATTTTATTAATCTTGATAACATCAAGTACAACACTCAAAAAAACTTTTTAAACTTCAAAGTACTTACAAACACGATGAAATGTTTTTTTTTTCTTGGTGATAAACTTTGTACTAGAGCAGATAAGACTTAAGGTGGCATTGTTCCTTAATGATACTACCATTTATTCTTGTCATGATGAGAAGCCAACACTCTCTGATTGCTTAGAGGGAAAATTTGAGCATGAAAAGGATCTCACTTCTGCTACAGCACGAGGTTCTCAGTGGCTGGTGAACTTTAACTCAGCTAATCCTCATTGCAACAATCTAGATCTTCCAATATTCATGAATGGTAATATACACAATGAGTCATCTACCCTTCCTCTTCAAGGATTATCTGTTGCTTTTGATCTTTCTTGGAAACCATTGCAAAGTTACCATCTAAGGTTGCATCTCTTTTTTGTGCTTGTCAAATTTTTACTCCTTATTCTATTCATTATCTCTATATATCTCAAATCTGTCCTAATATGGAATACTGTTGCCATATCTGGAGTGGATCGTCAAATGATGCCCTTTCTCTTTTAGACAAGGTGCAAAAAATGCATTGTAAACATAGTTAGACCTGCTCTTGCAGCCAACCTTCAATCATTGTCACATCATTGTAATGCTGATTCTTTTTCTCTTTTCTTTATAATTTTGAATTAAATTGCTTTAGGTGAAACACTAAGATAGGGCCTTGTTGATGTTTTAAAAGGAAATACTCATAGTCTATTTTGATGGAAAACTTGTTGGATAGCTGGAAGACGAAAATGACCTCACAGTTATGTGTGAGAGAATCGCAGTTAGTGTAACAAGTCAAGATTCGGAATGTAGAGATGATTTCTTGCATGGCATAGTACAGACAGAAAATTTAACTGGGTCAGATTATGTTTATTTAACCTTCAATCTCTTGGACTGTTGATATTGTTGAAAATATTGTGGGTGTTTGCTGTGACACAACTGCATCCAACACTGGAAAATTTGCTGGAGGAGTTACAAACCTAATAACTATCCTTAATGGATATTTTCTTATAAATCTTCCCTAATTCTTATAAATATAACCGATCAATGATATGCATATAAAATTTAAAACAGTTAACAAAAAATATTTTAGCTCATCTTAAAACAAAATAAAAAAACTCAATTAACTTATTTTTAAATAGATCTTTTTTTTTTATTACCAATTAATCAATTTCTAATTTAAAACATAAACTTTTAAATAAATAATTCCTCAAAGTTTCCCACTAAACAAAAATCGATTTAAATGTTTCATACAAAGTGCAAACAGCTTTAATATAATTATTTATTGGTTGATTTTTGATTGACCAACCGAAATTCTGGACTTTAAGTAATTATATTTTATGATTGCTTGACTGTTTCATTAAAACAGAGGTCACAGTTTTAATAAACTGAGAACTTGAGGACCAGAAATATTTCCAGATATCTAAATTTGCAATCACTTAATTAAAGCCATAATATTTATGTCAAATATTTACATAATACATATTTGTACATAAATATATTCATAATAAAATTAAGGATATTTTTAAGTTAAATATGTTAATGTATTTTACAAATATTGCCTAATTATCTTCAAGAACAACAAGTAATAAACTAATAAAAATAACACTTATCTAACATGAGCTTCAACTATCATTTTATAAAGCAGGTTTATCAGGAAACTTCTTGATGGAATACAATTCTGTGATAAAAAAAAATTATCAGGATCTTGCTGATAATTCTTTTTATCTAAATTCTTTTTATTCCAGTTGTCTCATTCTTAACTTCTATACTTGCTCTTTGCTAATTTAAAATTTTTTTAAAAATAATTAGGAAAAGGACTAAACTTACGATCAGTAACAATGACATCAAATAATTCATTAGCACGAATTGGCATATGAGTAGCATCACAAGCTAAAATATCCCAATACTTTTTTTCTATCTTGTAATGTTCAAAGTTTGTACGAACAATTTCATTTTGAGCTAAAATAAATTTAAAAACACTTTAAATACGAAGCATAGAAATTAAATTACAAGTTATATATACTTTTTTTATTTTAAGAACAAATAACTACCACTAACTCACTGCTGCAGTGTTAAAAAAATGAGCCACAGAGTAATGGCACTCCATATGTGGTATATTAAATATTAGTATATTTTACCCTTGTTTTAGTTACTAAAGTTATACAAAAAGAGTTACAATGGTTGTACAAGTAATTGGAGCTTTAATAACAGGGATGACTAATTTCCATTTAATTTTTTAACCAGCATGCACAAAAAAAAGTTTTTGAGGTTTTCGAAGCATTTTTATTTTACATAACATAAAATATTTTCCCCTGATCTTCCAGGCCAGTTAAAATTTTATGACTATTTACAAAATTCATAATTCAGAATTTCAAGGTGTGATATTTTAATTCCAAAGAAACATTAATGAACTTTGTTTTGGCTCTATTTTTTTTAAATTTAAAAGAAAAAAATTGATAAAGGTTTTTTAAAAGAAAGTTAGTCAATTTTTTAGTTGTCCATTAATCTACTCACTGCTATAGTAAATAGAAAATAAAAAAAACACTATAACTTTATTTAATTTATCAAACAACAAATAAAAAATCTGATAGCTTTATTTTTTTAAACCATCTTAATTTACACAAACATTTACAAATAAAAACTAAATTAAAATGTCTATTACTTGACAATGCTAAAATATTTTTTACAGTCTCACTGTTAATACTGTATTTTTATGTAAACAAGTGCTTTTCAAAGTTGCTAAATTTCGATTGTCTTAAAAGGCATGTCTCAATTCCCAAAAAGTTTGAAAATATGTAAAACATCAACTATTTGTTACAATTTCTACTAAATCATAAAATATACAACAAAAACATAAACTAAAACAGCGACAACTGCAACATATATATGTATTTGAAAATATCTTTTAATATATATATATTTTTTTATGTTATTTGTTTAGCGATAAAACCTACAGGATCAAATAACCTTTTAAATTGCTTCCAGCTCTCGAAGATTTACCTATAATAAAAAAAAAAGTAATTTATAATATGTAATTAATTTATAAACAATAATAATAAAATAAATATAAATAATAAGAAGAAATTGGTATAAAAAAACACTGGTAATAAGGGTATAATGTAACAATACTTAAAAACAAATCAAAAGAAAAGTAATTAAAAACATAATAACCATGAATAATCATTAAACATTATTAACAATGACTAATAACCATGAATAATCATTAAACATTATCAACAATGACTAATAACCATGACTAATTATTAAACATTATCAACAATGACTAACAACCATGATTGATTATTGACCATTATTAGCAATGACTAACAACCATTAATAACTATTGAATATTATTAGCCATGACTAATAAAGAGTATCCATAACAATACTAACAGAACTAAAAGATTGCTCAAAGGAAATCTAACACTTTGAAGTTATTTTATTCTTTAAAATTTTGAATTTTTTTTAATGGGAAAATTTCTTTCTCTCTCTTTATTTTCAAATATTTTTGTCCTTAGTTTTAAAAATAGATTTTTTATTTTTGGAAATGTGCAAAAAAATCTAATTAAAAAATAATAAGGGTTTACTAGATTGTATTTTTAACTTTTTTTTGTTCTATTATCTTATATCTGGATGGCATTTTGATATTTAACTAAATTTTCTTATATTTGTTTGGAGAAAATATGTAAAAAAATTCAAGAAATTTAAATTAATTATAATTATTATTACAATTATTAATATTAATTTGTAATATTAAATTACTGAGTAAGCAATTGAGCTAGGTTTTTTAAAGATCTTTTCATAAAATTGCATTTAAAATATTTTCATGATATCATTGTCAAACTAATTTTATTTTATAAAAATAGCAACAGTAATGAAAGATCTTCCAAAATTCTTATATTTACATGAACATATATTGCAATGATAATGCAATATATGATAACGCAAATAGAAGAATGATAATGCAATGTTAATGATGATAATGCAACGTTTAATATACACACTTGCAAAAATGCAGAATTTCTTTTTTCTGTAATTTTAAACTATAAATTCTTTATAGCTCTTAAAAACCAAAAAATTTTTTCTACTTGATATTGTAAGTAAGAATGCTAATGGAAGAAGATAAGAAAAGAATGGTAACTTGTAAATTAGTTTTAAACATGAACTCTCCTCAACTTGTATTTGATTTGATTATCTTAAAAACATTCCCAGATGCATCATATGAAGCAAGCGCGCATCATATCAGATGCATCATATGAAGCAAGCGCGCATCATATCAGATGCATCATATGAAGCAAGCGCGCATCATATCAGATGCATCATATGAAGCATGCGCGCATCATATCAGATGCATCATATGAAGCATGTCAAAAACTTATTAAAACTCAAGATGTTAGGAAATTGAGAAACAGAAAAAAGAAATTAAAAGAACAAAGACTTGCTAATAATAGAGAGAAGTCTGATCAGACAATAGTTTGAGCTTTTTAAACAAAACAGTCAACAAATCTAACTTCTATTAATACCACTTTTCTTAATTATTTATATCCTAGTAATGCCTAATGGTGTTATTCACTTGAATTAGCAAAAAAATGCAATTTGTGAACAAGATTGAGATCAGTGTGTTTTTGAGTGTTTTAACACTAATTTAACATATAGTCACAGAAATCTACTACAGTTTGCATAATGTACTTTTTGCTATTTAAAGTCAATGACACCTAGGGTTTCTGAACACTGTTTAACAATAACAGTAAAACAGCTGTTTTTTTTTACGAAAAAACAAAAACAGCAAACAGCTGTTTTTTAAATGACTTTTTTTACAGTTTTTTTTTATTGAAATTGAAGCGACAAAAATTAAAAACTGAAACTTTTGTTATGCATTGGCATAACCATTAAATTCTATTTTAATATTGTAATGAATTTTAACTGCATAAAGTTTTATTCAAACCTAAAAATGTTCGAATTTCTTTATTCGACCACTTTCAGATAAAAGTTTAATTATTTATATTTTAAAAAATAACAATTCCTAAGAAAAAAGTTTATTTTTTAACAACATAACAACACGTTTATTAAAGCCATTTGAATATTTTAAAGCAATTTGAATTGTTATTTATTAATAACAATTTAATAAGTAGTTTAAAATATAGGATAATAAGTAACTTTAATAAATAACTTTAGTTTAGTAGTTATCATTTTTCATAAAAAAACTAAGCACACAGGCAAGTACTAAGGAGTTTCCTATTTTAATAGTTTTTTTTTACTAATCTAGTTACTATTAATTAAATACTGGCATATATTTACATATTTTCAAACTTTAATTTACTTCCAACAAAATTGCAAGCAACCACTATTAAGTTATGAGTTACTTTAAATTGAGAATAAGTAAAAATACTAGAAAATGGTTAGCTGAAGACTTGAAAAGTTGTATGTTGTATATAAAAGGAAAACATGAAGATGGCTAATAGTTATTAGGTTTTTTTGATGAGCAAGGGAAAAATGGATTAATAGAAGTTTTTATAGCATGAAAGGACAGATACAGTAAAAGGATGCAACTTGTTGAATAAGAAACAAGCAAGAATGGGTTTTGGTTTATTGTAATAGAGATGATAGCTTGTTTGAGCATTGACCATGTTTTTACTTGTAGAAAAAAGGAAAGAAATGCAACCTTACAACAATGGGAGAGTGGTCTAGCTTGGTCAGATAAAGCAGGTCTAATTTATTACAATTGTTTTTTCTATGTTAATTTACCTCCCCAAGGCTGTAAATGTCACTACAGACAAGTAGGCTACTTAATTGTGGCTATAAAATATATAACCTTAAAATATATAACTCCGAAACAGGAACCTTGACAACCATGGCCACTGCGCAGAGAAACAAGTTGAGCGCGATACTACCAGAGTGGTGGGGATCGTACTTGGTACCTCTTGATTATGACGCAAGCACTCTACCACCACACCAGGACCGCATTACATATACAATGTGCTTTTAGACTTTGTCTGTGAGCTGTGAGTAAGAGGGTTGTTATTCATCAATATAGGAATACCAACATTACAATATTTTTTTGCAGTAAATAAATGAGTTTTGCTGTTTAACAAAAATTGCAAATTTTAAATCCAGAATTTAAATCTATAAGTCACAGCAAGCCTTAGGCTGTTACAGAAGAGAGAGCTGCTTGTTTTAAGCAATCAAAAAGTGAAGATTTTTTGTCAAGACAAGCGTATAAAGTTAAGCTGTTAACACATAGAGCCACTTAGATGTTAAATTTTCATAAAGATTGATATTGTAAATAAGAAACAATACAGGAGCAAAGATTTAAGGGTACCACAAGATACCTTGTGGTACTCTTTAAGTTACTTGAAATAAAAAGAGTGTAGGCCTTCAAGAATAACTTTATTACTGCAGTTAGTAAGAAATAATTTAATAATCTCAAAACCTTTATATAAAAAAACTAATGACAGAGTAAAGTCTAGAGTTAGAGAGTTCAAAGTTTTTTTCTAGAGTTTTGAAAATATGGAACCACTTTTTAACCACTTTTTAAAAATTAAATATTATATAAATAATAAGATTAAATGTTAGACTTACTTTAGTTAATGACATTGTTGAGGACTAACGAAAAGTCTCTAGAACCTAACATCTGATATAAGATAAAAGATTTAGTAAACTGAGAATAACATCAACATTTTTACATTGGCTTCTTGGAATAATAAAAGGATATTTGTTCTTAAGAGAGATGTTTTGTAAAAAAGCTGAAATGATCAATAAAGCAGCTGCTCAAGATGGTGAAAAATATGGAGTAGAATGAGGTTTGACTTAAATTGAAGAGTAGGAATAAAAGCTTCCAAACTTTTAGTCCAGAAGGAATAAAAGCTTCTGAGATGCGCTTTCTGCATACATATTATGGACCTAAACATTAATGTTTGCTATTTATTTAGATGCTGGCATACAATATCCTTTCATATTTATATAAACTTTAGTATTTATGTTGTAGTATTTGCCAAATAAGAATATTATTGGATGGATGTGTGGTGTGACTCTAGCAAGACAAGAAAAGGAGGCATAATCTTAGACAGATTAGAAAAAACATTATATTGCGCAATGATTGTTAGAAAAGATTAAAATAATTTAGGTATCAGCATCTAGGGAGGTAGCAGCTTCAGTAGAAAATGGTAGTGGTAGAAGTAAAAAAACTTGAGGAGAGTGCCTTATATATTGTATGAATGAGCTTCAGTTAAGAATAAAAATACTCTAGATTGTTTATATTAGAGAAACAACATAAAAAAGGAAGGCTAAAGCCTGATGATGATAATAACCATCATCATCACGCTTTAGCCTTTCTCTTTTATACTGTTGATGATGATGACAATGATGACAATGACAATGACGATAATGATGATGATGGTAATGATGATCATGTTGATCATAATGATGTTTATATATACAATATATTCAAAATAGAACATGAATTTTAAATTAGAAAAATATACTTTAGGATGTATAAATTTTTATGCAGCCCCAGTCACAAACCTGGCCAAGCCATGGTTAAATATCAACCCTAGTCGTTTACTACTTAATATCCTTACTTTCTATTCATATTATCAGCAATGTCAGTCTGGATATACGCAACAAAACAAAAAAAATCCAATTACAAAAGAGTTGGAAGGACAGTGTCAGCGTTGTAACAAAATAATAAAATGCTCAGGAAATTCTACAACTACCTTAAAAAATCACTTAAAAAGTCATGGACTTTATTTAAATAAAGCAACATAATCAATTATACTAACAGATGAGAGAGCAAGTAAGAAGCTGTTGGCGACTGTTGGCACAAAAGAAGCTTCAAAATATTGTTTCTGATTTGGCTACAGATGGCATTTCAGTTCCAGCTATAACCAGAAATAAATACATTCGCCAGTCAATAGCTTGAGATGAATTTAAACTCCCCGCTAATAAAAGTGATGTAATGATATCAAAAGTGATGTAATTGACACTATAAAATCAAAAGTAACCAAATAAGTGAAGTTTAGCATGATTGTCAATGAGGTTTCTACTTTAAGAGGACGAAGATATTTTGGAGTTGATATCATGATAAAACTGACAATATCATGGATAAAACAAAATTAACTCAAATTTTGGGTTCATGCAGTGCACTTGATATGGTTGAAATAATTGAATAACATCTAAATGTGTTTGGAATATTGATGGAAAAAGATATGGTTGCATCTACTCAGGATAAGGCATCTGTAAACAAGATTTGAAATTTAGATGTTATTGGTCAATTTTGTCTTAATTATGGTATACATCTTAGAGTATGTGACACACATGAAAAAACATGATAATAAAGATTTAAGCAACCCCTGTGATGATGATAACAATGAAAATGATTCCTTTGACAAAGGCACCATTTTGAATTTATAAATGATGATTGCAAAGATTATATTGACTACAAAGAATTAACTCTTTTTAAGAATACAAGCCAGCGTACAGAAAACTCACAAAAGCTTTATGATGCATTATTAACAATTGAACACATATCTATAGATGTTGAAAGAGTTAAAAATACACTTGAGTCTTCATTATTTAAAAAACCACTGTTTTTCAGAAACCCTAATAACACCATATGGCATCACTGGGATATAAAGAGTTAAAAATACTATTGAGTCTTCATTATTTCATTGTTTTTTTTTGTTTTTTTTTATAGTTTTATAAAATTCAATTAAGCATTTGAGAATCATTTGATTTTTAAACATTTTAAACTAAGAAAAGATTTATTTATAACTTTTAGATATTTTAGACTTTTGCTTTACTTTAAGCACAATGGAAGTTTACATTAAGGCTAAAAGAAAAATAATATGAAAACCATTGTATAAATATTATCATTATTAACCATTGTATAAATATTATCATTGTTTAAATATTATCATTGTATAAATATTATCAGTTTAACTTAAAAATAATGCAATGCTAAAATTATGATTTTTAATGTGCTTTATAAGTTCATCTAAACCAAAATAAAAAACTTTGTTAAAAATTTTAAAATTATTTTCCTATAAGAACTAATTTTTAATTAAATGTTTTAATAACTTTTAATTAAATGTTATATTAAACATTAAAAATAAGAAAATTTGAACTTAAAATTTTTATCAAATAACTTTTTTTTTTTCAGCTATAATTCTTCTATACCTACTTATAAAGTAACTACATTAATTACTTTATACTTTAGTCCTTAATTTATACTTTGGTTTTTTTTTATTATTTTTTTTTTAATAATAATAAATTTAGTTTTTCTATTTTCTTTCATTTTTTTTAAAATGGTATCTTCATGAAAATTATTAAATATTAAAATTATTATCAAAAATGAACTTTCATTTTAAAACAACCGCTTACAAAAACTTTTTTGCACCTTGTCTTTTTTTTTCTTTTTTCTTTCTTTTTATCAATTATTTATTTCTATATTAATGCAAACTGGTAAGATTATACAACTAATATTACTGTTATATGACTACATTGGTTGCATGACTCTTCCTCAAATCAGTTGATAGAGTTATATAACTGGTAGGGTTATATGACCAATAATTGTTCTATATTATAGCAAAATGATAAGATTATATGACTAATATGATAAAGGTTGACCATTTGACTAATTATGCAGTTAGTAAAGATTAATACTGCTATCTTAAACAGAATTTCAATTTTTTGAAAATCTATATAAAAAAAATTTATATACATTCAAGAGATATAGAAATTTGGAAATGTTGGAAATTTGGGTGAATTTTAACAGCGCTAATACAGTTTCAAGGAGGAATCAATTTTTAATGTTTTTTTAGTATTTTACATTTTGTTTTACAAAAGTACATGCAAAAATCAATACCTCTTCCAAAAACAACATTGAAATCTATGTCACTACCACCAGATATGCCACCAAAATGACTGCACGCCAAAATAATACTAGAATACTAAAAATTGTAAAGCTGTCAAATCTTAACAGAAAAAGTTTATTTAATAAAGATAAATAAAAAGATGTGTAAATAGCATAAATCTTTGTATAGACCTTACACAGTGTAACAATAGCTATTGTTACTATAGTTACAACTATAGTAACTACAAACACAGCTTTTGTTACTATAGACACAGCTTTTGATAAACACACTTAAAATGCTAAAAATTTAAAAACAGATGTACCTTCCAGTTCCAACAAAAGGATCATAACAAAAACTTTTATTTTGTACCTAAATGTAAAAGTTTAAATTGAAACTGACAATTAATGAAATTTAATAAAACTAATGAAATTAATAGAATTAATGAAATTTAGTCAAAGGTGGAACCCAGGGCTATGGAGTTGGAGTCAGGACATTTTTAGCAGAGTAGGAGTTGCTAAAAAATTCAAAGAATTTTCAAAAATTTTTCAAAAAAAGTCAGAGTCGTACCCTAAAAAGTTCAACAATTGGAGTCAGAGTCGGAACTATTTTTTACGACTCCACACCTCTGGTGGAACCTCCAGTTTTTTCTTGGTCGCCACGGAGGCAACTAAAACATTGTATGTGTTTTACTTGAGTAGTCCGCTATGAAAATAAGTAGTCCAGTATTTTTAATTTTTTGATCATTTTTTCTCTACGACAAATGAGAAAATGTAATGAGACAAAAATATATTAATAAAAAAAAAGTGTAAATGATGATTAGGAAATAGCTAAAACGTTAAACAACATAATGGAAAAGAAATTTTTTTATAAAAAGAACACTTTTCTAGTATTTGCACTCAACATTTATTGAATAAAAGTAATATAATTTACAAAGACTTCTTTTCATAAAAAAAATTTTTCATGTCCATCATTAATGTTTTTATTTCATTAATTTTTTTTTGACAAAGTTTAAATAAAAATTTTACTTAAAAAATTAAATGGTTTAAGATTTTAACAACCATTCTCAATTGATTCAAAATGCAACTAATACGTTTAAAAAATGATATATTAGCAGTTTGAATTGAAAGGAAATCTTATTATTTTTTTTAACATCTTCACTTTAAACAAGGCTGCAAACAACCATTGTTAGAGTTAGAAGTTACTGGAAGAGAAAAGACAAAGTTTAAAACGAAAAATATTAATTAATAGACAACTTTAAAAATTGCAAATTCTATGAATGAGGAAAACAAGAAGGAACTAAATTTCAAAGAACTGAAAAACTAAATGAATAAGAATTTTTGGAGCACTTAGGAACAGTCACAATAAAAGGATGAGACTTGATTGAATGATGAGTAACACAAGAACAAATTTTAGTAGATAGCACAAGAGATGCTAGCTCTTTAGAGCAGTGCCCATTATTGTATTTATAGAAAAGAGAAAGAGAACCAACATAACAAATTTGTGACAATGGTTAAAGGTTGGTTGCAAGTGCAGGTCTAACTATGTTTACAATTAGTTTTTTGCATCTTTTCTAAAAGAGAAAGGGTATCATTTGGAGATTCGCTCTAGATATGGCAACAGCATTCCATACAAGGACAAATTTGAGATTTATAGAGATAAAGAATAGAATTAGGAGTAAGAAAGTGGCGAGCACGATAAAGAGATGCAATCTTAGCATATGCTAATTTTGCAATCATTTTGATATGTGGGTTCCAAGAAAGATCGAAAGTAAAAGTTAATACTAGGAGATGAAGGGTAGATGACTCATCGAGTACATTACCCTTCATGAATATAGGAAGATCTAGATTGTTGCAATAACGATCAGCTGAAAAAAAATTCAGTTTTACCTGAGATAAAAGTTCAGCCACTAAGAGCCCCATGCTGTAGCAGAAGTGATATACTTTTTAAACTCAAATTCCTCCTCCAAGCAATCACAGAGTGTTGGCTTCTTATCATGACAAGAATAAATGGTAGTATCATCAGCGAACAATGCCACCTTGGATGTGAGAATTTCTGGTAGATTGTTAAGAAGGGTTCAATAATCTTAAAGATGTTACTTAATACACCATAAGAAGAAAGCTTTTGGAGAAGATTAACATGCTAAACTTTATCAAATGCTTTAGGAATGTTGAGAGCAATAGCCTTAACCTCTCCACATCTATCTAATGCACAATAAAACCTATCAGTTATTACCATCAACAAACCAGCAGTAGAATGAGTAGATCAAAATCCTTATTTGAAACTCATTTATGCGGTAGCGGTCTAGTGGTTGAATCATCCCCGGTCATACCGTCATGTTTTTCAAGGTTCAAAATTCTGAACATACAGAGTTAAGAGAGTCTCAAATCACATTATGTGCTGTGTACAAAAATCATACCAAGTGCTGTGTTCTCAAATCACACCATGTGCTGTATTCTCAAATCACACTATGTGCTGCTTTTCATACATTTTGAAAACAGAGACTTTACTTGTGTCTTTTCAAACTGTTGGTAAGGATGCGTATTTGTAAACATTTTTTGTGACACAATGATTTCTGTAATAGAAATATCTTTTTCATTTTTCATTTTTGTTTTTCATACAAGAACAGTTTAGCAATAATGTCAGAAGTTTACAGATAACTCCTCTAGCCTATTAAACTCCAACAAATCACAACTCTCTCTAGTTTTTTTTGTCCATGAAAATACCCCCATAATCTATAAAAACATATTTTTTTACAACAATAAAAGACGCAGTTTTGTTTTCATTTCCAACGCATTTTCATTTTTATTTTGTCATTTAAAAAATTTAAAAATCAACCCTTTGCAGGCCTAAAATATTAAATCATTAAATTTTTTTTTCAAAACTCATTCAGTAACTGTTTAACTGTTTTTTTTATGAAAATGGTCAATAAAAATGTCACAACTCTTAAGACGCCTCTACAATTACAATGTTTCATGTCTTATGGCGCCCCATTCTCCCCTACTGATTAAAACACACATTGTATAAACTCCGAACCAAACTATGTTCAAGTAGAACTAGGAATATAAATATACACACACATATTTAGGCAAAATGAGATCGACAAAAAATTGAAGACCAGTTTATTGCAGACCATATTTTTGAATTCAACTATTAGAGGTCATTTACAATTTGGCAAAAAAAAATTAATACTAAGGGGTTATTATAAAACGAAGAAAGAAAATACTAAGGGGTTATTATAAAATTAAGAAACGAAGTTAGCAGTTTTTTTTGCTGCTGACCTCAAGTCAAGAGTTAAGTATTTTTAATATCATATAACAACAACCACAATATATATATATATATATATATATACATATATATAGAACACATACTTTTCTTAAGTAGGAATTGTTTGTGATTTTTTTAAGTGTGTTTTTAAATAATCACAAAAAATTCATACTTAACAACGCAATTTCCTAATATTCTTTTTTTTATTATCTTTTTAATTTTTCAGAAAAAGAAAAAAAGAATAATGAAAAGAATTTTTATTTAAAAAATAAAACAAAATGATAAAAGTTTAAAAAATCATAAAACTTTATAAAGTTAAAATTAATATTACTCACTTCGGCAATGTTAGCCATTATAAATGCAAGTTGAGGGTCCATAGAAGTGTTGCCAATAAAATATCTGGTTTTTAAATTAAACACATGGATTTGATTACGTTGACTTACACCAACCTATAATGTAAAAATAACATTCCACAACCTACAGGTTACATTAAACAGTTAAACTATTTTTTTTAATTGAATTTGTGGCAAAGATCCTTAGATTTATTAAACTTGTAGGTAGATAAGTACCGAAATAAAACAAAACTTTATCTTTGTAAATATTTCATTACTATATCTGTCCCTTCATGCTCTAAAAACATTTATTTATCTAGTTTTTTTTTCTCAATCAATGCTTTAGAACACTTTCCTGTCTTCATGTTTTGCAGACTTACACAATTTACAGTTTTTCAAATTAACAAAAATACTGGTTGATTACAGCTTAGTTGGGAGTAAACGATATTACAAGGTGGCAAGCCAATTGCTAATTTAAAATTCCAAGATATTTCTAGGACTTTTTTGAGGAAAACTTCAGGTTTTTCAAGGATATATTGATCATTTCTTGACCAGAAAAAAAAAGAGTTTATTTTAAAAAAATATAAAAATAAAAAACTATTAAATAAACATTAGATGTTACTAATAATGACAGTAACATTAAACAATTTTTGTTTTGTATTACAGAAAACATATAACTATCAAATTCAGCATAAATCTACGCAAAATTAACAATAATAAAATATTGACATAGATGAGTATTTGACTTTATGAAAATCCCGGAAATTTTTTTTCTTTGATAATCCCGGAAAATCTCGGTAAATTGTTTTATTAAAAATTGATCGCATTTAACTGACAAATGGAATTTAGATTATTTTAAAACGGAATTTATACTAATTAATTTTTTACAAAAAGGAATTTCTAATATTCGAAAAAGTTTGAATTAATTAAAAAGCAAAAAAAAAATGAAGAAAAAAATTGTTACAAAAATTGATCTTGTAAAAATTTTAATTATAGAAAACATATTTGTTTAAATGCAAAAGTTGTCGTATGTAAAATTTTATGTAAAAATATATTAATTTTTTTTCAAATTAATATCAAAAAAACATCCGGAATTTCCTGGAAAAATTAAAAGTGTTTTATGTGAATTTCCGGAAAAAACTCATCTATGTATTGAACTATTATAGCAAAAAGCTACAGAACTTGCAGGAGTTATTGCTAAAATAGGACTTATTAGGACTTTTCCAGAATTTAAAGGGCCGATGGCAACCCAGTTTAAAAAAATAAATGTTTATGAGCTACCTATTGCATTTGAGACAACTTTAGCAACCACTCTCACTTAAGTGTAAAGATTTCTCGCAATTCTTTTCCACAATATTTTAAAAACAGTTTTAAATAACCAAGATTGCTAAAGCTTTCAACAAAAATTTTTATGATTGAGTGGTTTAACTGTTAATTTTTGAAACGTAACATTTTGAAAATCTTTTTTTTAAAGGGACTTTGGAACATCATGGATCATTTCAAATCAGGATTTGAAATTTTATTCAAAAATATTAACAAATGACATTTACAGCTTGCTCTAAAAATGTTTGTGTCATCAGCATCACCATTTTTAAAAATGTTTATTTCACCAGCATCACCATTTTTTAGAAATATTTGTGTCATCAGCATCGCCATTTTTAGAAATGTTTGTGTCATCAGCATCACCATTTTTAGAAACGTTTGTGTCCTCAGCATCACCATTTTTGTAAATAATTTCATGTAAAACATACAAAAGTAAAAAAAATAAGGTATTTAAAAAGATTTTTCATTATAGTATCTATGTTGAAGAAAGAGGAAAAGATAGAGGGTGCTAAGGTTATTAGTTACCTACTTTTTACTATGGAGGCAAATTTAGAACCTCTTAAGCTAAAGATCCAATAAGCCCTTGGCAGTTTTGTTGGATTGCAGGTTTTTCAAAAGGAACTATCAGGCACTTAGGATAAGGTATTGAAAAGAACTACTAGACATTCAGGTTAAGGTATTGAAAAGAGAGAGTAATGTGTATTGGGAATATAATCATGTCAGAAATAAGAAAAAAAAATGTATTCCAATATCTGGAATAATGGACTTTGATTATTACTGAAGTAGATTGACCTAAACTTCAACTGGTTAAACTTAATTGGATTGACCTTAGCTTCAACATCATACAACCAACAAAATTGCTTAGCTCTCTGAAACACGATTACTTCCAAGCAACTTTCAAATCCGGTTAGGTAGATTTACATACTAAAGTATTTATAAACACAAAAGATTGAGAGCAAGAATCCAACAAATAATCTCTATTCTTGCCATGTAGTCTTTTTTTAAAAAATGGTAGATGATGTGAAAAAAGGTAGATCTTGTGAACAAAGCTAAAGCCATCATCAACATTTCACTGCTCCATTAAGTTTCCCAAAGAGATTTTATGATGCGCTAATATTTTACAAAACACCATTACTTCACTTAATTATTTTTTTGGTTTAACAAAATTTGCAAAATGAACAAGAAGTTTTTGTCAAACTTATTGTTACAGCAACAAAAAAGATCAAGTGCCCCTATTTTGAATGTAACTCATGCCTTACTTGGTTCCTTGTTGTAACTAAAACTTCAACCCTCTGAATTAGCAAAATGAGGCGGCAATAATTTGCCAACCTCAATTGTTTTGAGATCGGCATCAGTTCGGCAAAAATTATTTCATACAAAGGTTTGACCATAAAACATAGAAACGAGGTTTGCAATTTTTTGTCGACCTCAAACACTTTCAGGTTAGCAGTTAGGTCGGCATTGCTGAATGCCGACCTTAATTCCAAGGGTTGTAACTTAGAATATTTCAAAAGTAAGGTAAAATAAGGTATAACTTGTACTTATAACTTGTTAAAAAAAATTTTTCAAATTAAAACATCATTTGTTTTATTTTTAAATTATATTATTATAAATTATAATTAAAATTACTTAAATCAAACCAGAAAAAATTATAAAAATTACAACTACGTAAAAAAGGTAAGAAATATTTAAAATCTCTCATAATATATATTACTTCAAAGATAAAAATATATAGCTTCCAAAATTTTATATTTAACATTCTAAAACTATTACCAGTTTTCCAAAGTAAATATGACTCGGAATCTTTTCTGTGTTAAAATGTAACATAAGCAAATACACAGCTGTTGGTGACTTTAAGTCAACTTCTCCAGAAAACTCCACATATCTCTGCAGACTCTAAAACAATAAGCAATAAATGACCACATCTATCTATCTACAAATGACCACATCTATCTATAAAATCTACATCAGATGAATGTATGAAAACATTTTCAAAAGAAATAATCAGAAGGAAGTCAAACTTTGAATGAAAAATCTTTATTTTTAAAACTAAAAATCTGAAGAATGAAAAATTAAATATATAAATATTTATTAAAATTAAATAAATAAATATTTTTTAAAAGATTAAAAGTCTTGAATTGCATTTTAAGATTAAACCATTAAATTGCTATTACCAATTAGCAAGAAAATCACGTCATTAAAGTGACCAATGAAATACTGATGTAAATTTTTCAGCTAATTATTATATTAATTAAATTCTTTTTATCATAGCAAAACACTAAACAAGACATAAAGAAGACATAATAAAATAATAAATGAAATAACAAACTGTGTTATTCAATATTGTTAGCTAGTGTTGTTATTCAATGTTGTTGGTAGTGTTGTTATTCAATGTTGTTGCTGCTATAAATCTTAAATGTCATTAAATAAGTATAAAAAAAGTTATAAAACTGTAGTATAAAAACTGTAAAAAAGAAGTTATTAAAATTTTTTCATTGAAAAAAGAATACAACAGTATATTCAATTGCTGATATCAAAAGGTAACAAAAATTGTTGATATTAAAAGGTAACAAAAAGAAAACAGCAATTGTTGGCATCATAACAAAATTTGTTGTTAAAAAATCATAAGATTGTTCATAGAAGTAACAAAATAATTATAAATTAACAAAATGAACTAAAATAAACTTAAAAAAATTTAAAATATTAAAAATAAATAAAATATAATAAATAATGAAAACTGCAAAAGTAATAATAGAAAATTATTGTAAAAAAAAATTTAAATAAATTTCAACCTCCATGTAATGCACTTTTTCTTCCATTGATAATTTTTTATTTGTGGACTCAATTTGGAATTTAAAACTCTCTTTATCTTTTGTATTTATGTTTTTCTTAAAATTGAAAAACTAAATTCTTTTAATTAACCAAATTAATAAAACAATATTTATTAAATTAAATAGAAAAATTAAATCAATATTAAATAAAAAAAATAAAATACAAATTTTTTACCTGCTTAAAATGAGTACCAACATCTTCTAAAGAAACCCCCTCAGCCCAGTATTCAGATATACTTCTATTAAATAAATTATTCAAAACATGAGCATCAAAAAGCAAAAGTACAAACAATCAATGAACACTCAAGTGTTACTAACTTTAATAAGACGCTTCTTGATAATATTTGTTGAACCATGGTAACAGAATCTACAGAAATTATTAGGTATGGCCTCTAAAATAAAATTATGTTAATTGTTATTGTGTTAATTGCTAAGGTCTTATTGAGAGAATTTATGAAAAAAGATTTAGCAATAAAATAATTGAAAAACAGAAAGATTTCAGTTAGTATGATAAATAATTTCTTTAAAACTTAAAAGGAGAAATTCTTCAGAAGCTTTTAAATTCAAAGCTTTTTTAAATATAACAAAATATATTAAGAAATAACAACAAATTTCATGCTTTTTTGGATTTTAAAATCTTAACTTTAGGTAAATGCAGGGCAAAGATCATATCAAAACCATATTAATGTAAATATTTTTATGAAGTGTGCAACATTGTGTGCCTCTATCATTAAATATTATACTCAAAAAGAAAAGATTCTAAAAAATCTTGAAATCTTTCAAAAAAGATATAGATTCTCAGAAGAAATTTAAAAAAAAAATGGTGGTGAATGTGAAACAATCTCTGTGAAATAAAAAATAGCAACAATAAAAAAATTAAATGTGATAGATATAATTTATCTTTTCAAAAGAATTTCAAGACTTTTCAGAGTCTCATCGCTGAATCTATTCTCACAACTACTTAATGTGGAAATCAAGATTTTCTTTTTTTTTTAATTCTTATATTAAAGTGTTAGAAGTTTGCAATGATCTTAAAATTTAAAAAATTTAGCAAGGTTTTGTGGTAGTCTCTTTAAGAAGTGTATGGCTTTCTAGTATATAACTTGATAAAGTAATTTTTCACAACCAGCATTTTTTTCTTTCTTTTAAGTATTCGATGTAATACCTTTAAAATCTTTTATATCGTATCAAGAGATACAAAGTATCTCTTGATACTAAAAACTTTTGAGCGAATGGTATACTGATAGAGGTACACCATATGATAGAGGTGCACCATATGATAGAAGTACACCATATGATAGAGGTACACCATATTGTATACTTGATAAACTAAAGTAATAGATTTTTTGCACAAAAAATTGTGTAAAGAGTTAATAAAAAGATTAATTGTGTAACATAATAAAGGAAGTGACATAAATTGTGCAACCATTTCATAACGAATGTTTAATATATTTTCCATAAATTAAATGCAACTCAATAAAAAAAAAAAAATTACATAGTTTACATTATGTCTGAACAGTAAATGATAATTAGGTGTGTTAAGAAAAAAAATAACTTACTGAAATATCATACTGATCCAAATACATAATAACTTGAATATTAAAAATGTTGCATATCGATTGTAATTCCTAAAATTGTAATAAACTGCTTTTTTTTTTTTTAATAAAATTTAAAAAAAAAAAACTTTTTTTAAAAAATTTTACCTACCCAAGGTCAACTTCACTAAAAGGTCTACTTAAATTGAGAAGATCTTAATTTAACCAGGGATGTGGCAGATCTTAGTTAGGGATGTGGTTTGAACCTCATTTAATATAAATGAGAAAGAAAGGTAGGGTTAACATTTTAAATTTAGATTAATATTTGAAATGTAAACTTTAATTCAGACAATTTTTTTCAAAAAAAGTAAAAAAACAATGAAAAAAAGCATAAATTTTTCTCTTACAATCAATACATTCTTCATACATATATATGCATAAAGGATATCAATTATTTACGTATATACTGCCTGACTGACCAAAAACTAAATAAATATATTTCCCCCATCAGTGATGTTTTATGCGCTACTAAGTTTGCATTTATTGAAGCATATATATATACTTATTAATGTAGTATTGGCATTCAGTTATCTAACTCCAGACCTGTCATTCAGCTATCCAACTGCTGACATTTAGTTGGAATTCAGCTATTAAACTATCGACCAGTCAGTGCCTGAAGTTGGCAATTTTTTTCCAAATTAGTTTTTATGTTGCTGTGTGGAAAATATTATTATTCTTAAATAATTATGAAGATGCTTTTTTATTAAATATTTATTTACTATTTATTAAAGTTGAAAAAAAACTTTGATTTTGATAAACTTTTTTTTCTTGACAAATGCCAACGCATACATTTGTAATTTAAAAAGAGCATCATTAGGCTAGTGCACTTAATTTAATATTAACTTCAAATAAATTAAAAACGACAAAACATTATTTAAACTCTATAGTAATTAAGATAAAAACGAAAAAACAAACGTTTTTTTTTAATTCTGAGGAAAATAACCTAAAAAAAAAATACAACAGCAAAATAAACTTTTTATAAAAAAAATTGTGAAAACAAACATTCTATTTAAATTTAATTATGAATCTTTTACTAAAAAGTCTTTTATTAACAAAACAGTTAATATTAACTAAATAAATACAATTTGAAAAAAAATTAATTAAAACAAAAAAACTAAACATTTAATTAATTTTAAATAAAATTATGGAAGACAAATTAGCATAAATAATGTCTTATTTAAAATATGGGACCTAATTTCAAAAATAGTTATCATTTGATATAATTTTTTAAAATTAAAACGTCTAAAAACATTTTAAAATAAAAATAAAAAAATGGTTTCTTAAAAAAATTTATTTCTATAAAATTATAATTATTTTTCTATAAAATTATAATTACTTTGATATAAGTTCGCTTATTTTAAGAACCAACATGACATTAACAATGTGATATTAACAACATGATATTAACAACATGATATTAACAACATGATATTAACAACATGATATTAACAACATGATATTAACAACATGATATTAACAACATGATATTAACAACGTGATATTAACAACGTGATATTAACAACGTGATAATAACAACATGATAATAACAACATGATATTAACAACATGATATTAACAACATGATATTAACAACATGATATTAACAACGTGATATTAACAACGTGATATTAACAACGTGATAATAACAACATGATAATAACAACATGATATTAACAACATGATATTAACAACATGATATTAACAACATGATATTAACAACGTGATATTAACAACGTGATATTAACAACGTGATAATAACAACATGATAATAACAACATGATATTAACAACATGATATTAACAACATGATATTAACAACATGATATTAACAACGTGATATTAACAACGTGATATTAACAACGTGATAATAACAACATGATAATAACAACATGATATTAACAACATGATATTAACAACATGATATTAACAACATGATATTAACAACATGATATTAACAACGTGATATTAACAACGTGATATTAACAACGTGATAATAACAACATGATAATAACAACATGATATTAACAACATGATATTAACAACATGATATTAACAACATGATATTAACAACGTGATATTAACAACGTGATATTAACAACGTGATAATAACAACATGATAATAACAACATGATATTAACAACATGATATTAACAACATGATATTAACAACATGATATTAACAACGTGATATTAACAACGTGATATTAACAACGTGATAATAACAACATGATAATAACAACATGATATTAACAACATGATATTAACAACATGATATTAACAACATGATATTAACAACGTGATATTAACAACATGATATTAACATCGTGATATTAACAACGTGATATTAACAACATGATATTAACAACATGATATTAACAAAGTGATATCAACAACGTGATATTAACAACGTGATATTAACAACATGATATTAACAACATGATATTAACAACATGATATTAACAACATGATATTAACAACATGATATTAACAACATGATATTAACAACATGATATTAACAACATGATATTAACAACATGATATTAACAACATGATATTAACAACATGATATTAACAACATGATATTAACAACATGATATTAACAACATGATATTAACAACATGATATTAACAACATGATATTAACAACATGATATTAACAACATGATATTAACAACATGATATTAACAACATGATATTAACAACGTGATATTAACAACGTGATATTAACAACGTGATATTAACAACATGATATTAACAAAGTGATATCAACAACGTGATATCACTTTGATATTAACAACATGATATTAACAAAGTGATATTAACAAAGTGATATCAACAACGTGATATTAACAACATGATATTAACAACATGATATTAACAACATGATATTAACAACATGATATTAACAACATGATATTAACAACATGATATTAACAACATGATTTTTCCTTAAAAATATATTTTTTAATTAATTACGTTACTCTACATTATTTACATTATAATGAAAACTTTTGTTGTTTGATGATATTTATATAACTCTATAGATATTTTTAGGCAGTATTTTAATTTTTATTTAAACAGTATTTTAAACATTTTAAAAACTACACACCATTGCACTATGCATTACAAAGCGGAAATAAGATTTTACTTTTCTAAAAATATATTTTAGTTTAAAATATTTTTTAACCGAAACAAGTTAGTATTAACTAAAAAATGTTTATTTTAAATTTTTTTAAACTTTTCTTTTAAAGTGCAAAATTTTTATGGGTAAAAAAAAAAAAGGTTTTCGCTAAATCTTTATATAACAGGATAATTTCCAAATTTTTGTCAATTTTTTTGCATATAAAATAAATGTTAAATTTTGTAAAATAAAAATCAAGAAAAGAAAAAAAAATTATTTAAAACATTGTTTTTGTGTGTCCATAAAGATTGATTAATTGGACCATATTACTACAGAGGTAGCCAGTTTTTGGATGTAAAGCAGTATATTCGTTCCTAGTCCTTAAGTTCTCCAGTTTTGTCTTAATTTTTAAATTAAGCATGGTCTAATGTTTTAAAATGGTTACTTTCCATCTTAGCAAATTTTGTAAGACAATATCCCTCCTAGGCATACCTTACAAATAAAAATGTATTTGTATGTGCTATATTTATGCAGTGCATGTTCATATCACTTTATACTGATTACAAAAAAGTCTGGCTTTGAATTTAAGAAAACCTTTTGAAAAAAGAAATAAGTTATATATATATATATATATATATATATATATATATATATATATATATATATATATATATATATATATATATATATATATATATATATATATATATATATATATATATATATATATATATATATATATATATATATATATATATATATATAATTCATGACTTATTAATAATGACAACTTAATATATAAAAGATTAGAAAAAGATCCTGAAAAAGAGATCAGAACATATGAGAAAGAACAGTAACTAATTAGAAAAGGTGAAAATCTGATTAAAAAGGATAATCAACTTATCAAGCAGGGTGAGTGTAAAATAAAAGGTGATTTACTACTTCACACTTATGTATTCAATATAAGCAGGTATGCATAGATTTCTCTCTCTCTCTATATATATATATATCTATATATATATATATATATACATATATATATATATATATATTTATATATATATATATATATATATATATATATATATATATATATATATATATATATATATATATATATATATATATATATATATATAAAAAGACATACACATGCCTCTTTTAAAATCGATATTTTTGTTACTGTTGTATATGTTTCAATGTATTTCTTTGTTATTTATAGAGTACTACAGAGAAAACCTAAATCAGAATGAATAAGTTATTAGAGACTTATTAATATGAACAGCACAACTATAAGACCAGATATATACATTTTTAATCAGAAATTTGAACATTTATTTGCACTCATTACTAATAATACATTTAAAAAAACAACCTGTGAATAAAATATAAAATATACAACCTGTGTATAAAATATTAAAAAAAACAACCTGTGTATAAAATGATAATTTATTTAGCAAAACATTTAAAAAAGCAAACTGACAATTTTTTTGAAAACTGTTTTCTGAAAGTGACAGTTCTTCAGTTTAAAATAAAGGTAAAATAAACAATGTTTTTTTAAATGTTATGTTTATAGTTTTGATTATTTTTATTTTGTTTTTAACAATAAATTTAAGAAATAACTAGTCTAGGAAGACCGATATCTAAATATATAAATAAAATGTTATACTTGTGAGCTGTTCTGCATTGAATTATTTTTTAAATGGCTATTTTTATAGCTGCAAGATATTAAAAACATTTATTAAAAAAGATTGTTGAGGAACTTTGTAAGAAACCAAAGAGCAAAAAATAAGTTGAAAGCAGATGATGTTATTTATTATTAAATCGTGTTTATGATATAGTTTGTTAAATTCTATAAAATAATGGTCTATAAAATTTCTGGATTAGTCTGGAATTAGTTTAAATGAACCAAAAAAATTACAATAAACTGTTTTTTAAAAAAACAGAATTTTTTATTTAAAATATAGAAATATAATCAAAAATTTGATGTCTTGTGAAAAAATCAGTTCAATCTGTTGAATGCTTTTTTATTAATAAGCCTATTTCCTTTTTTTTGTATTATAGCTATGCATAGTGCATTGTGACATTTAAATTGTGAAGTTTAAATTACAAAGACATAAAAAGCTTATTATTTACAAATCCAGATAAAAGTAAAAAAATAAAGTTTGAATTTTTATAAAACTAACTTTTTTTATCAAAATAATCAAAATATTCAACTATAGAAGAAAAATTCATTTATTGTGTTAATACTACATCAATAAAAGAAATATGTATGTATGTGTGTATATGTATATATATATATATATATATATATATATATATATATATATATATATATATATATATATATATATATATATATATATATATATATATATATATATATATATATACACACGGAAAAAAACACATATATAGACGGAAAAAAAACACATAAAACTTTACGTTGAATTTGTGTTAATAAGGTATATATAAATACAAGGGAGGTAATCCACTGTTTTAGGGTGGTAGCCCTCCCACTAACGGATGCCAATGGAAGCCTCTTGGGCGTTGTTTGTAGTGAATTGCTCTGTTTTTTAAAAAATAAATCTGATGTATTAAGTTTTGATGACAATGTTCAAATTATTTGCGACTTCTACAATGAGGAAGAAATACTTGAAGCCAAAGCAGTGATGTGTCAACTTCTTCCTGAAAAGCGTATTGAAAAAAGACATGGAAGTGATAAATGTAGGGAAACCGTGGAAGATTTGTTAAAGGTGCTTCTCGACCCTAATAATAAGTTGCCTAGTTTCTATGCAGTGAATTTATCTAGATTGCCCCCTGTTGAAATAGAACATATTGATATTAGAGCTTTGCTCCAGGAGGTATATCTTAACTTCGATCAGAAGTAAAACAATTTTTGACTTTTCAGAATGAAATGAAAATTATGATGAATAAAATGAACCACCATGTTTTAAATGAAAACCAAAGTCATCAGACCAAACCAAATTCGCAGATGATGAATACAATAAACTAACATGTATTATATGAAAACCAAATTCAACATGCTTATAAAAATCTTAACAGCAGTTAAACTCTCAATAATGCTGACTATCCTCACCTAACAAAAGAACAACCTATACAAATACAAGCAGAAACATCAGTATGTCAATTTTTCTTAGATATTGTAAGAAATGGTCGAAAACAACCGATAAAGAAAAAGGTAAACGAATAATCTTATTTTAGGTTCTTCTGATTCCAATCAACGACTTAAACCTACACTGAACAACCTTTTCTAAAATAAATGTTGATATTTTTGTTTCACAACTAGATCCTCTAACTAAAGAGAAAGATGTTATTGATTGTACCTATGATATTTTGCAAATTGAAAATGATCACTCTGTAAAATGTGAAAAGTTAAAGTCTAAATATCCTGGATACTCTTCATATTATATATCTGTTTCTGTTGACCATTCTCAGTTAAAAAGGAAAGTAGATTGTCTAATGTCAAATGAAGCCTGGCCAAATGGTCTACTTGTAAGAAGATATTTTAAGCCCAAAAATGACCAAAAATAATAGCTAATCAGTTTGTTCCTTTAACTGTTGCTCGTTTAAAAATAGTGTTTTTGCTATAAAGAGCATGTGTAATGAATATGACTTTATTTTGCTCAAAGAGCATTGGTTATTGCCCTATGAGCTTGGTTTATTAAATAATGTTCATAATGAATTTTATGGTACTGGCTTATCTGCTGTCAATATTTCATCTGATATAATGATTGGAAGACCATATGGTGGTACAGCCATATTATAACGTAAAGATCTTGTTAAAAGTATTCAAATTATTGAATCTTACGAATCCAGAATCTTGTGTCTAAAAATTGTTTTAAATATTGGTCCTATGCTGTTACTAAATGTATACATGGCAACAAATTATAAGGATGAGCATAGTCTCCATAATTACATTGATTTATGCTCAAAAATAAAGTCTATTATAGCTGAGGCAGATGTTATTCATATTATTATTGCTGGTGACTTTAACTGTGAAGAGTCTAAATTTTTTGATGAGTTCTCAAATCTTGAAACAAAAAATAATCTAATTAAATTCGATGTTAATCGTATAAACAACACTTTTACATATGTTATCGATGATGTCTCTTGGTTGGATCACGTTCTGTGCAGCCTAATAATCTGATAATAGATATTTCAGTTCTAACAGATATTATAGCTTCAGATCATAAACCAATAACGTTCTCTCTTTCTTGCTCCTTGGAAAATACAACCAAAATAAAAAATAACAATCCTTATCTGAAATTGTCTAGTAGTAATACTAAATGGCAGACTAGTAATGACAAGTCATTATCCCTTTACGAGAAAAGGTTAGACCTCTTATTACAATCTATATATGTAAACTATAGGTTCATTGTGAACATTACTCCAGCCATCTAAAGACATGGCTACAATTTTCCCATTCAATAAATTACATTTTTCGATTTCTTCTGTGTAAACCCTATCTAATATTTCTCCTCCAATTTCAGTTCTATTAGGTAGAATGTATCCTGGATGAAGCCTAAAACCCTGTCTTAGTTTCCTGTTTTAAGTTCAAATCTTTTTAAAAAAACATTAGTTTGGTTTAAACCAACATTTTTTAAATTGGTTTAAACCATGGTTTAAACCAATGATTTAAACCATTTGGTTAAAACCATGCAACCCTGATTTAAACTATGGATTTTGCATGGGAAGCTAAAATATGGTGATCTTTTTGAGAAAATGAAGAGTACTCGTGCCACTTTTAAACTAGCTATGAGACACTGTAAGAGACATAGTGAGCAAATAAAAGCTGATAAGTGTGCGGAAAATTTTTATAACTCAGATCCAAAAAAGTTTTGGAGCAGTATAAATTGTATCACTAACAAAAAATATCGGTGAGTTACATTACTAGTGGGAGGAGCCTCGGGAGACAATGATATAGCTTATATGTGGAGAGATCACTTTCAAAAAATATATAATTCTATAAAAAATACAGAGTACAAAGACCACTCTGCCGAGAAAATCCAGCTACTTAATAAGGTAATTTAGATATTAACATAAAAGTCAATGATGTTATCGCATCATTAAAAAATCAAAAATCAGGAAAAGCAGCTGGTCCCGATGGTATATGTATGGAAGCTTGTATATATGGTGGAAAAAGATTACATCTTCTAATTAGTATGTTTTTTAATCTCTGTTTAAGACATGGATATCTACCATCCAAGTTCTGTGAATCTTTGATTATTACTTTAGTGAAATGCAAAGTCTCTTTAAAAATCTTTTTTAAAAGAACAACTCTTTTGAGAACAATCACTTTTTCATTATTGCAAGATATCTATGTAAAATTTCTAAGCTCCATTCATTCCCAAGCTCCATTCATTCCCAAGCTTTATTCATCCCAGTTTACTAAATCTCGTAAATAATCTCAAAAGTTAGTTTTCTCTTGAATAATCGTCCCATAATCGTCCTGTCATTCTAGTTAAAAAAGCTTACCTATTGTTAGACATCCAAACTACTCTGGCTTTCGCTGCTAAAGTCAATTCTCAATTTAACATTTTACCAGCTTGTTGTTCAGACAACATTCCTGTCATAGTATTACAAATTTTAATACTTAATTGTTCTCTAGAACTTTCATTAATTTTCTCTTAACTATATAATAAGTGCTTGACTGAATCTTATTTTCCTACCTGCAGGAAAATGGCATCAAATAATTTTATTTTTTAAAACCACTGAAGATCATTCTGACCCCTCTGATAAACATCTGATCAGTCTTCACTCTACTATTAACAAGGTCTTTGAATCTTTATTGAACAAACTTCTAACAATTCATTTCAACCTAATAACTCAGTCTCTGATAATATGATTTTTGATCTTTCACAGCTGACCTGCTAACTTCTGTAACTGAAAGATTTTATTGTGCATTTTTTCTCTTTTCTACAAATACTATGGTTCATGGTCGCTGCTCACAGGAGCTATTATCTCTAGTTCAAACAACTAAAACATATTCTTCTTTTACTTGTCATTCAGCTAAGTCATCTCATTTTACTGTATTTGTCTTTGCATGCTCTAAAAACTTTTATTTGTCTAGTTTAATTTACCTACACTTTATTTTTTTGGAACTCTCTACCATCTTCATGTTTTCTTGACATCTTTTCTTGCGCTTTAACTCTTTTCTTTTTTTCTTCTTCAAAATGGTTGCTTGGAAACTAATGCACTCTTGTTATGAATGAATTTAAATAAAATATAAAAAAAATTTATATGACATTATAAGTAATATTTACTACAAATTTCAACCATCACATAGAAAAAATAAAACTCACTGTTAATCTAAAATCTTCAAACTCTTGAGCGTAGTAACATATAAATTTCATTTTTATTTTAGCTAAAGCAACAACAATCTTGAACTAATTTGTTTAAACATACTTTATACTAAGTAACTTATTTAACAGCTTTAAAACTTTCATAAATTCATGCTAAAATATGTTTTGGATCAATTAAAATTAACCTTGGTTAACCAAACTTTACCTTGTTTAACTTTAATTTATCAAAATTTTGAAATACACAATTCAAATGTGAATAGCTAAGATTAGTTTTAACAAACTATAAAAATTTAAATTAAAAATATAAAAAATACTAATTTTTTTTTTCTTCACTAAATTGTGGAAGCAAGTAAAAAAAACAATAAAAATGAAAACTAATGCATAACATTAATAATTAATTATTAAAAACAATTTTTTGATTTTTTTATATAGACAAACATTCAACTTTTTATGAACAAGGAAAAAAGTAAATAAATTAAGTGAATATTAAGTTGATAATTATTATGATTATTATGATAATTATGATAATACATTATACACATTATAGTTCTGACTGAGTTCATTGAGCACTTTCTTGGTCACTGAACTGAGATTGTGAAATCCACTTATCTTGTTCTGAGTGAGATTGTGAAATACACTCATCTTGCTCAATGAGTGGGTTGTGAAAAATGCGACTTTAGTGAAAAAATAATTGCACTGCACTAATACAATTTTTTTGCAAATAAAAATTTTAAAATCATACTTATTTTTGAAACTTCAAGGGAACTTTGAAAGTAAAAGTAAAATTTTAAATTTAAGAGTCATCTAAATAAACTTATTTGCTAAAAGTTTTATTGAGAAGTTAAATTTGTAATTTTTGCTGTGTTGATTGGAATGCATATAGTGACTAAACTTGTGAGATGGTATTTAAATTTTGCTGTGTTGATTGGAATGCATATAGTGACCAAACTCGTGAGATTTAAATTTTGGTCAAACTAGTTGTTCTCATTTGAGATATTAGTTTGTTTTCATTTTTATGATTCTTTTTTTTAAATTTCTATAATCATCTATGTCATGTATGTAGGCTAAATAAATTGAGAAGTCTAGTAAAAATGTTAATGGAAATGTTTTTAAAATAAAATTTTAAAGATTAAAAAAAAAATTAAAATAAAAATTCTCTTTTTACTTCATGCATAAATATTTTTTCTAAATTTTTTTGTTTACATTTCATGAAAGATCAAAAAAGCAATCAAGCCTTTTTTTGGTCCATTTTATAAAAGATCATAAAAGTAATCAAGTCCTTGGCCAATTTCCCATATTGAAACACCAGTACCAAGCTCTCTTGCAAGATCTAAGCGTGTTGAAATCGACTATAATAAATTGAAACATATATTACACAAGCTACAGCTGTTTTAACAATAATAACAATTGATCTAATTTTTTATTCTAAAAAGTTGATTTTTTACTAATTTATATATATATATATATATATATATATATATATATATATATATATATATATATATATATATATATATATATATATATATATATATATAATATATATATATATATATATATATATATATATATATATATATATATATATATATATATATATATATATATATATATATATATATATATATATATATATATATATATATATATATATATATATATATATATATATATATACCTCCCTAAACTGCACTAATCCATAAAATTTTGAAAACTGACAAAAATATCGATCAACATAAATTTTGAGGCTATAACTCCAATTGAAACGTTATTTTGGCTTAAAAACTCAAAAAATAATATATAAAATTGGGTACTAAAACTTTTTATTTTTTCGTAATGCATTAAACTTAAATTAACTTTCATGCAAAAGAGAGAAAAATCACAAGATAAAAACATGATTTTTAAAATTTGAATTTTTTTTACAAATTTTTTTATTTCTTTTATAAATTCCTGTAAAGGCTGATTTGTAAAATCTAACATTAAAATAGATAAAGTCTGACATAAAATCTGACAAATTGAAAAAAAAAAAAAGAAAAAAACAAGACAAAAAAAATTTAAAATTCTTCTAAAGTTTATTAAAAGATAGAATTATAAAGCAGTACTTAATAAGTTTTATTTAAATCAAAACAAACCAACTTAAGATTCAAACTTCAATGACAATCAGATCTGAAAGAATAGGTGGAGAGCATCTTAAATAGCATGAGTATAAATGAATAGCATGAGTATGAGATAATATTAAAGAATATATTTAAAATTCAGATGCAAATCAGGAAACTATTCAAAACGCAATTCTAATAATCTTTGGTATATCAAAAGAAATACTAAAATACATGAAATACTTGTTTGCAAGAAAATCTGCAGAAGTTTAATACCTTATTATCATAATAATAATAACTTCTATTTAAGCTTTTGTTCTATTAAAATTATTTCCTTTTTTTTTTAAACTAAATTATAATGCTTACTACATATTGAAACAGACAAGCAAATAAGAAAATTACTGATTAAGTAAATACTTTTTTTATTGTTACTTCTAAAAATGTAGTCTATATAGTATACTTCTATACTTAAGTGCCAAAACAAATTAAGTAAAAAATTGAGTTTTGAAGGTTGATACGTTTTAAAAAAATGAGAATTGAGTGTTTAATTGTTTTTGATTGTACTTTGTCTATTCATTAAATCGAAGTTATACAAATATTGAAGCTTTACTGATCCTCCCCCCCCCCCCCTAAGATTAAGCAAAAAAAACCAGCTAAACTTGTTCTTAGTATTGCAATAAAACATGAAGTATTTTTTTAAGTTTCACTGAATTAAGGGAATTAAGATCTTATTCATGGCATTATTTCAAACATAAAGTTCTACAATCATCGCAAAATTATTATTACTGGTTTAGTTCATTAAGACAAAAAGTGAAATAATTTTTAATACATATTTTTTTAATTTTTACTTGTTTCTTTTTAATGTTTTTTCTGTTTAATTGGTTTGAACCAAAATCAAATATGTAAATTATGACAAATTTTGACATCATTTATCACATAGTTTAAGTTCCAATTAAACATATTAACGATTGTCAAGCAACCCTGGGATTTCCGAGGGTTGGTCATGTCAACACAACATAATTTTTGTCCAAATTTCTATTTACTTTTTAATTATGATATAGAATTTAAACTAAAATTGAAAAATCAGCATATTCAAGTCTAACATAAAGAGTTAAATTAATATATATTGATGTTTATTGTACCAAATCAAAATACATAATTATAATGTGATTAGCAACTTTGTGTCTAGTCACATATTATATTTAGACTAGTGTCTAGTTAATTTTTGGTGTAATTAGCAATGTCAACTCTTGATAAATTTATATCATATAAATTTATAATATTTTAGCTACAAAGCATTACAGGATGTCTTATAGAACCAAATAACAATAACAATACGCAATTCCGTATAAAATATATAAACATTAATCTTTTGTATCAGAGGCTTCCCATAAAAAAACTTTTTCTGTACAAACTAAAATAATTTTTAGACTATTTCATAAAAAATATGGCCAATATAACAATTTTACACTTATAAAAAAATTTACATTTGTTAATTTAATATACCATCTAACATTTCTATGTTCATGCAGTTTTTGATTTAACATGTTTATAATTTAACATGTTTTGCATCTTTTTAAACAATTTGTTTTTAAGTTGTTATCACTTATTTGTTACTAGTTTAAATATATACCCTTTATTTAGATGCTGAATAAATATTTGATAATACATAGAAGAAAAAATAACAATTACAAATAAGAGATCTTGTTTTAAGAATTACCTTAATATAAAATCAAGCATGAATTATGGGAGCTAACTTTTTTTACATGCCTTGTAATGTGGTGTAATTAAATCCACTATCAAAAGTACTTTTCAAACAGGAAAACATTGCACACTATGTCTCAAATTAATTTTTTCCATTTTCTTAGTTTACAAAAGTTTACTTGATTTATATTAAAAAAATCTTAAAGAATAATAAGAAATTCTTGCTATTTTTTAGTCGATTTTGCCAGAGCTGAAGCCTTGTTTTAACTTTATTTTAATCGTTAACAAATAATATAACTAAGTATATTAATCATGAAATACTTATTTTAATGTATAAGGCATTTCAACACCACCATACAAATTATAAAGCTATTATTAAAATTGAATAGCAATTTTATAGACATTTGGGCTCTATTTTCTTATTGTGGTATTTCTATCTTAATTATAAAACCTTATAAAATAAGAATAAACAAAGTTTTTAATTTAACTTCGCATGAAAGACATGATCAACATGTTCATCATAAAAAAATGTAAAATCATTTTTAATTACTTCAATGCGTTGTATATTGTTTTAGCTATTGTGTATTAGCTAATGAAAGTTTCATTTCCATTATAAAAATAGTCTACATTTTGTGGAGTAAGATTTGTAAAAATAAATAAACTATCTATATTTTAATAAAAAAAAACTGTTGAGAAAACATTTTCTGCCCATAGTTTTGCTAAAGCATAGTGAATCAAAGAAGTAGCAACTTGGCAATTAAAAATATGTATTGCCAACTTTACTCATATCGGTAAAGATGTGGTTAATTAAATATTAAATAAACTTTTGCTTCTATAGTTAAATGTCAAATTTGTTGATTTAATAATGAAAATCCTTAAGACCTCTAACATTACTTGAGCTTTGACCACATACAAGGAATCTTACAGTAAAAATCCTATTGCGAGGCTCTCAAATGATTTTTTAAGAAATATTAAAATAGTGTTTTTAGCAGGTAATGAAAAAACTCTGTAACTCAGGTAATGAAAGCTTGCAAAAAGCAATCCTCTAAAGCTAAAAGTTTATCTTTTACATTATTTATTTGTACAACTATTTTTGTAATAACATTGACATAAATGAACTCTGTTACTTTCTGTTTAAATTTAACAAAAAAAGGTTGAAAGTTAAAAGTTGTTGGTACAGCAGTTACCACCATTTGTTGATATTATTGAGAAAAATCAAAATGTTCACTACAAATAGTTAAGATTAAGTCCTTCACATGATTTTATATCTAGATCTTGACGGAAACATTTTAAAACCCAAAGTTTGCATCATAGGTTGAACCTAATTTATTTGTATAAAAAGTAAAACAGTATTTTACAAGTCTTATTAAATCTTGATATATTAGTTATCTAATAAACTTGATTTGATTATTTTTATCCTTTTATCATGCGCTTGTTAACACAATTGATGGCTAAACAAAAGGCTGGCATATTTAATATTATAAGTGATTAAAGAAAAAGTAAATATCTTCCTCAAAAGTTAAATCCAATAAGAGGTCGTGCATAAAGTGGGAGGGGGGAGGTCTTCAAAAAGAGGAGGTCTTCAAAAAGGGAGGGGGGAAGTCTTCAAAAAGCGTACAAAAGCATATGGGGGGGGGGGGGCTGAAGAGGATTCACTTTAAAAGTACATACATTGATTTTCTAATTTATTTTAATTAACCAGTTAATAAATAGAAAAGTTAAAATTCTGACTAAAGATCCTAGTTTGCCAACATAAAAAGATGTCTGGTATAGGGAGTAGAGGGTATAGTTCCCCTCAATGCACACACATGCATAGGGGCCCGCAGGATTTTTTGATGTTCCAGATTGGACACCTTCACGCATAGTGCAAACTCTAAACTTAAGTATGTTTATACCTAGACCAAATGAGGAGGCCTTGCAAAAAATTAAGTAGGTGGAGGCTTAGGAGCAAAAAAGCTCTAAAAAGCCCCCCCCCTCCCAAAAAAAAATAAATAAATAAATAAATGAATGAGGGGGTGTAAATTTTGTATGGTCATTACTTTTGTAATTTACAATATTTTTCTACAAAATTTAAAGTCTGTTGATAAATTTAAATTTAGTTTTAGATGGTAAAGTTGAAATTTTATTACAAGAGTGTCCTCACGCTTGGGCAGGGGGTAAGCATTTAAGGGCTTTTTTTTGTTCCCAGGCCTCTGCCATTTTAATTTTTTGCTAAGGCTCCTCATTTGGCATAGTTAAACTTGAGTTTTAGAGCTTGCACAAATTTCACACAATTGGCATAGGCATACTTATGTTTGAAGCTTGTGCAAGGTCCAAACTTTAGTATACCTATGCCAAATGTGTGAAAGTGTCTAGTGAAGAGTCTAGACAGTGAAAAACCCAGACATGTTTTAATACGGTTTTACCGGTATGGGCGCTCAAAAAAAAAGCGCCCATACTGGTAAAACTGTATTTTCCTTTTTAATTTTTCTTTTGATTTTTTATAAAAAATAGAGAAAAAAAATTTAGTTTTAAATGCAGTAGTATATAAATAATTCTCAGTTAATTTAGCTAACTCATTTTTTCTTCAGGAAAATAAAAAGAATTAAAAAGAAATTTTTTAAATAACTACGTGACATAATTTGCCTTCGGTTATTAACTGGACATAACTTTTAAAAAAATGAAAGTTGTTACGAAACTTAATTTTAAAACCATGTTGCAAAATTTTATAACAATGGAATGTATAAAAGATTTGCTGTTTTGAAATGAAAAGCGTTTTTAAATATCCATTTAGCGTAAGGTTAATTTTTGTTTTTGGCAATTAAGAGTAAACAGTTTTTGATAATAAATGAACAAAAGTAAAAAATATCAGTCCTTGTAACTATCGCGCAAGCTTAATTTTTAAATGAATGAACTTTTGATCTTTAGCTTGCTATTTTAGTTTACGCGAGGAAAACGAAAAAACGAAGTATAAACTTTTTCAGACAGTTTTTTTTTCTTTCAATATTCTTTTTAAAATAATAAAAAAAAAGGTTTCAATAACTTAATAAAAGTTTTATTTAGATCTGTTTAAAATAACCCATAGTAAATGTAATTTATTCAAATGAAACTTTTTAAATTATTCTTAATAATTAAAAAAATATTTTTTTTTAAATATGTTTTTAAAAATATAATATAGTTTTTAATCAAAATAATAGAATATTTTTAAAATTATGTTTCCTGTAGTTATCTCTTTAATTATCATTAATTCTTAAATTAATAAAAAAAATCACTTTAAAAATTATAAACCTTAGTAAGAGTTAAATGAACAGATTTACTAATATTTAAATCAAAATTTTAAACTTTAAATAATAGAAAATAAGTTTAAATGCTTATGTTTTTATTCAAATATTTTATTAAAAACATTTATTAAATGCTTATCGAATTTGTTTATTAAATGCTTATGTTTTTAATTCAAATACAAGATGTAAAACTATTTTGTTAAATTCATAAATATTACGCGACATAATATATGTAAATATATTATGTAATGTAAATATTGATTAAAAATTGTTTAAAATATTTTTAATTATTTTTTTAAGTTAATTTCACTAAAATATAGTTAATAACTGTTTAAAATACTTTAAACAATTTTCAATAATTATATACTGATAGCCTGGTATATAAAACAAAAGCATTTATTAAAATCTTAAGTAAAATAGTTTTTTATTTAGCTAAAGTAACATTGTCCACTAGTAAATTCATGTATTCAAAAAATGCCTTTAAATCAACACCTTATTATAGGATAAAACTGAACAAGATAAACATAAATGATTATTAAGAAAATAATGAATAAAAATTATTGTTGCGGCACCCGTTTAACTAGGGGAGAATGAGGGGAGGGGGAAATCAAAAACATAATTCCCCCCTCCCCTCAACGTTGCTGAAAAAAAAAAACCGTATCCGCAAATAAACACTGGGTTCTTCATTGCTAGAACATCAAAAAATCCTGCAGGTGCCCATGCACACATGCCACCCCTTATATACTGGCCCTGAGTAAAGCGTATTTCAGGAAACCTATTTTTTGAGTCGACAAAAAACAGGTTTTAGCAGTGCTGTGGCTAATGGGTCAGAGCCCCCCCCCTTTTTTTTTTTTAAAAACATGTCATTTGGGTTTCAAATCTCCCAAATTTTACCATTAGATTTTGCTTAAATAAAAAGCTCCTTAAATTAGCAAAAGAGCACAAAATCTTTTGCCCCCAATATTTGAAGCTGTTTTTTAAATTGGGATCCTGTGCCGCAAACAAAGAGCTTTTAGGTCGTATAAAGTATCTAAGGTACCTCCTCAACCTTTTTTCCATATACTTTTTTATGGAAAAAAAAAATTGGGGGAGGGGGTTTAAAAACGTACATACTTTTTAAGGGGGAGAAGGACTTAGAAGTACGCATGGCAACTGGGGGAGGGAGGAGGTCAAATTTCAAAATTTTTGGCATACGTACTTTATGGTCAACTTCTAATATAAAATGAAATATACTTAGTACACAACAAAGTGTTTGATAATTTATTATGTTGTTTACAATATGGTTCTGCAAAACATCCAATAATCTAGTGCATGGCCAATTACGCATTAATATATGGATTTTTAACCAGTTGGCAAGCATCTAGTGTCTAACTAATTGATCATACATTATGCATTTATCTATTGCTATGTTTGTTATTAAATTGCATTATTAAAATAATATACCTGCAATGTTGGATAAAACACTGTTGTTTTCAATTTTCTCCCTGACTTTTCTCTAAAAACATTTTCAAGGTTTTTAAACATTTTTTTTCAAGTTAGTTTAAAATAAAAAAAAAAAAGTTTAAAATGAAAAAAAACAAACTAAAATTAACATTTTAAATCACTAAAATTAGACAACTAATTTTTTAGTGACAAAAAAATTTTTTAGTGACAAAGTAATTTTTTAGTGACAAAAAAATTTTTTAGTGACAAAGTAATTTTTTAGTGACAAAATAATTTTTTAGTGACAAAGTAATTTTTTAGTAACAAAAAAATAGCTTAAACAAGGTTTAGAGGAAAAACTGAATAATGCATAGCATAAAACTTACACACATAAATTTTTGATTTTCACCCATTACAAACAAATAAACGCAAGAAAATTAGTTGGTGCATGTACATTTAAGTTTGTGTTGGTTTCCTGTTCAATTATTTTATGTAATACTAAATGTTAATTGGATCAATGGTCTTTAAACAGAATACAGAATATTTAATTAACATAATATATACCAGGAAAGCATTTATAAATGCATTTAAAAATACATTATCTGCAATTTAAATAATTTACCTAATTTAATGCTTCTAAGTAAATTAGGTAAAGTAGGTAAGTAAAAGTATCAACCAAAAGACTGCAGTCATTTTTTCAAAACTTTTTAAACTAGAAAAAGTTTTAATTACTTGAAAAATGCTTCCAAGTTTTTGCAGTCAGTTCAACATAGCATAATAAATCTTTTTAAAACACATTTAAACAAAATTATTATTTGATTTAAATTTAGATGCAAAAATGTATATACGGGTATCAAAAAATCATTTTTTTAATCAAACAAATGGCTGCTATGTCTTAAAAAATAAAACACTTATTGCCATAAAGCACCATATCTTTTAAACACCAAGGAATTTTCATATACTCTCCCTTGTGTTAATAGCTTGTGGTAGCATATTCCAGGACGGTGTGACACTATTAGTACAAAAGTGATGTCGCTCTTCGCAGTCGCAAACAATTTGTCTGTGTAGCTATTTATTATGACTTCTACTGCTATATACATTGTTAGAGAACTTCAGATAAACAAAAAAATTAACATCATCAATTTTATTCACAATTTTAAACTCTTCAATAAGATCTCTTCTTGCTCTTCTCTTTTCCAGTGTTGTCAATCTGATATTTAAGCATTGCTCATTTGGGAGATGTTTGATAGAGGAAACTTTTGTTGTTCAAGTTTCCTCTCAGTTTGTTTCAATTAATGGATTTGAATCCACACATAAAGTAATTAAATATGACATTCCACAAGGTTCTGTTCTTGGATCGTTATTGTTTTTATTATATATAAATGATTTATCTTGTTCATTAAAAAATTCTATGGAACATCATTATACTGATGATACCAATCTTTTATATATCAAAAAATCACTTACAACTCTTTGCAAAAAAGTTAATCAAGATCTTTATCGCTTATGTAACTGGTTAAATAGTAATCTTATTTCTTTGAATGTCAATAAAACTGAATAAATTATTTTTCATTCCCCTCGAAAAACTATTGATAATATCAAAATTGAAACTATTTCCAAATCAAAATATATAAAGTTTTTCTTAGAATATATCTTGATGAAAACCTATCTTGGTATAATCAACTGTACCATCTTAAAAAAAAACTTACATATACCAACAGTATGCTTTCTCTAACTCAGTACTATGTTCTTATCCAAACTCTTTTAATGATTTATTTTTCTTTATTCTCTTCTCACCTGCGCTATTGTTCTATTGTTTGGGATCAAAAAAGAAACTTTTTACTTAATAGCATTGCTAGTTTACAACGCATATGTATTAGAATAATGACGTTTTTTGCCAATGAGATCCAAAAAATTTTCTGAACTAAAAATCCTAATCCTAAATTGTAAAGTTTTACAATTGTTTTTTTATGTTTGACTTTCTCCAAAATAAACTCTTTTTTATTAAAACAAATGAAATTCATATTTATCACATCAGGAATACAGAAAATAGTAAGCTATACTCTTCTATTTTCAACACAATTAAATATGGTAAGTTTTCCATAAACAACAATGTATTTGCGATTGGAACCAATGTATCCCTGCATTAATTAAAGTCTAAAAAAAAATATCCCCTTGTTACAGATTATTTACTGCTCAATAGAATTCAATTTAAAAGTATATTGTTAGAGTGTAATTCTTTATAATTTATCTCTGTACTGTAGTTGTCTTTATTATATGATTTCTTTAACGAGCAGGTGGTTTGATTTTTGCTTTATTTATCATTTATCTATATTATATTTATTTATTACTGTGTTATTATTGCTACTTTTAATGTTATTATTATATTTAATTATTATTTATATGTACATACAATTTATATTGTATTATAAATGTTCATAATATTATTGATACTTTATTATTATTGTTATTATTTTGTATTGTTACTATAATTATTACATATTATTTGTTTAACAATCTTTAGTTGTTTTTTTCGCTCTTATTTATATATATACTTTTTTTTTTTTTTGCTTTTTGTTTCTTTTTTTATTTTATTTCTTTATTTCTTTATTTTTTTGAGAATTTTATGCTTTTTAGGTGTCACTCCATTGACTAGTTTGTAACGAGTGACACCTAAACAAAATCTATTAATTTATGATTTATAAATTTTTATTGATATGGTTGGAGTTCGCCAGATACAAATGCTTCTGCTTGGGAATACTTCTTTGAGTAGGCCCAATTTGTTATTGGCAACTGAGACTGCAGACTCCATTTAAGCACAGACTTTGAGGTCATTTGATATCAGATCACCTAGATCTCATTCAGTTTCAGTTTCCTCCTGGTTTCGACAAGTGCGTTTTGTGTTTGTCATTGAAACATAAAATTTATAATCTCAACATAAAATTTATAATCTCAACATAATATTTATAATGGCAACATAAATTTTATACTGTCAACATAAAACTTATAATGCAAATAAAATTTTTATTTTATTTGAAATTTAAATAAAATGTTTATGTTTTTTGGTTTATGCTTTAGCTTTATTTAGAATTTAAATAAAATGTTTATTTTTCAGTTTTTATTTTAATTATTTTATTTGAAATTCAAATAAAGTGTTTGTTTTGCCGTTTTAAAGTTATTTGAAACAGCAAACAAAATTAAGTTTTAAAATTCTGAGCCCAACAAAAAAATTGCACACCTCAGGCAATGTCAGGTTAGCATCAAAATTGGCAATTAAAACTTTATTAAAATTTTACAAATTATTCACTAATTTAAAAAGTTATTATTTAAAAACTCTAACAAAAGCGATTTTAATAGCACAATTAAAGCATTGGGTTTTACTTTTCTCTTTTTTTTTTCTTGTTAATTCACCTCCCCAAGGCCGAGGAGGCTACTTAATTATAGTTATAACCCTCTCTCAACTCTGAAACACAAACCTTGATGAACAAGGCCACTGCGTAGAGAAACAACTTGAGCAGGGTACTACCATGTATGTAGTGGGGATTGAACTCAGAACCTCTCGCTTATGAAACACTTGAAAAAAGAAACTTATGGATTTTTTTTCTAGTTAAACAATTCATATGTTGTTTCAAACTTAAGATATCTTTAGCATAGAAGTAAAGTTCAAGTCTTTGTTTTGTCATGAGAAACATGGAGTACCAACAAGTTTCCACACAAATCAAATGAAGATAAAAAGTTTCTTCAGCTTCTTCTTTTGTTACCTTGATCTTTTAGTTCTGTTACTATTGGTTACATTTCGATTTTAGTTTTTACCTCAACTCATAAACATACTCGAGTCCATAATACAAATGGAATGAGGGAGGGGGGAAAAAAGAAAGGGAGGGGGAGGAGGAAATTTTACTCCAGATCTAATAAATAGAGGAGGGAGGGGGTTAGAGGGATATTAATAAAAGGAAGAAGAAAAACGTTTTTTTTCTAAACTATATTATCTTGGTGAAAAATAAACCAAAACGCCCCCCTCCTCCATTGTATTAAGGACTCGACAGTAAAATATTGATGAAACTTTCATTTTAGTTTCTTCCTCAATTTATGAACTTAATGTTATTTATGAAAAGTTATTAAGCAAATTAATTTGATCAAAAACAGCCTTTATACAGAATTCTCAACTTTTGAATAACAAACTTTTCAAAAAAAAAATGGTTAAACAAATTATATTTTTAACTAAAAATTACAGAGATAATTTATTTGTTTAATTGTTGCAATCTTGCTTTCATCACTGTTAAAATCTGGGTTTTGACAATTAAAAATAAATGTTTTATTAGTTCATAAAAAATTATTGCAGGTGTTATTTAATGGAAATCCATAAATAAACATATATTACTTGTCATAAATAAACATATATTACTTGTCATAAATAAACATATATTACTTGTCATAAATAAACTACATTACTTGTGAAAATCGTTGAATATAGTACAAACTAATTTTTATAAATTGATAAACACATAATTTCTCATAAAATATTTAACAATTGGTAAATTATATTTTATAATTTTAAAAAGCAATTTTATCAAAAACTAAAGAAATGCAGTTAAATCTTTTAACAATAAATCACTTTTCATTAAAATCAAAAAATTTAATTGGAATTTGGATTATTATATTTAAAATTGCAACTCTTAAATTGCAACTCTATTGTTGCAATACAGTAACTCCAAATAACACATAGTTAAACCGCTGTACTTAAAGTAAAGGTGAAGTGACCAAACCACTGCACAACTATCGCACACCTTGAATAATAAATTTTTTGCATAACAATCAGCTATATATAAATAGCTGTATATATAGCCAACTGTAAATGTAGCCAACTTCATAGTATATCAATAGCTATGTATTTATATACCTGTATTTGTATGTATACCTGTATATGTAGCCAACTGAAAACTTAGTCAACTAAATTAACTGAAAAGTAAATTTTGTTACAAACTTTTCAGTTAAGTTGATTTGAATTTTTAGTTTTTTTTAGGTCACTTTACTAAGATGAATTTTAATCAAACCTAAAATCAAACTTAAATTGTGATTATTACCTGAATTCAATTTTATGATCTTTGGATTCATCTATCCATTTTAACTTTGGTTTTTCAGCTTTCAATATATCTATGTACCTGAATATAATTGATATAACAAAACATAATTTATAAAAATAAATATGCTATATAAAAACATAAAATGTTGTACAAAAATATATATTACGATAATGTAAAAGAAAATACTCCACTTAATTTATATATATATATATATGTATATATATATATATATATATATATATATATATATATATATATATATATATATATATATATATATATATACCCCTTATATATATATATATATATATATATATATATATATATATATATATATATATATATATATATATATATATATATATATATATATATATATATATATATATATATATATATATATATATATATATGTATATATATCTTCAGATATATATATATATATATATATATATATATATATATATATATATATATATATATATAAATATATATATATATATATATATATATATATATCTTAAGGGGTAAACAGATTCTATCGGTTAACCAGCCTCGCACCCCTTCTTCATTTATTAGGCTGGCGCAGATGTATTTTTAATACATTGTTTCCAGTTTAGGATGTTGAACGCTGGATCTTCTTGATTTAGGATGTTGAACGCTGGATCTTCTTCAATTCATGGGTTTTGCTTTTGTCTCTATTTTTATGACTAGGCAACTCATTCTATTATCTTCATATGAGGGTACAGCTCTAAAACTCAGTTTTATGGTTCTGAGGCCGGCTGGAAGTCAGGTTTCCCGATTTCTGTGGTAGCTCTCAGAGAGGCTGATTCCATCAACAGCTGAAAAATATCAGAGTACTAACAGTGCCATGTTGCGCATGGATGGTGTCCCTGTTTGTACTTTTAGTGCGCATTGCCAAGGCCATATTGGAGTCCTTTGTTACGACTTAGGGTTTATTAGTGGAAATGAGGCAATTGCTTGGGCTGTAAGACAGTGTACTGAGTACTATCTATGTTTCGAGTCAAGTTCTTTAACAAATTTTAAAATGAATAAAGTAACAAAAACTATAAAACACGAAAAACCACAGTCATCACCAAGTTCGCTGAACCTATCATTCACTAATATACCTGGTCTTCATAGTAACTTTTCTTCTGTTGAGTTTTATCTCTTGCAAAGTTCACCAGACCTACTTGCTCTTTGTGAGACTAATTTGAGTTCAGCTGTCTCATCTTGTGATCTTAGTGTTAATGGTTATCTTCCTTTAATTCGTAAAGACTCCAATAATCACATGCTTGGCCTAAGCATTTACATTCGTAAGAATTCACCCATTTGTCGGGAAACTAGGTTTGAATTCACAGACTACTCTTTTATGTGCTTTCGTTTAGCACCACTTCACTCTATCACCTTTCAACAGCCAACAACTTTTGCCTTTCTCAATCACTAACTCAAATAGTCAACTTTCCAACTCGCTTTCCAGACAACCCAAATCATTTACCTTCTCTACTCAACTTATGTCTTGTTTCTGATCCTAGTCAGTGCTCAGTTTCTTCACACACACCCTTAGGTGCTTCTGATTATGGTTTGGTCTCTCTAAAACTATTATCTCATTCTTCTTTACCATCAGAATCCCCCTATCATGGTACATCTTACAACTACCTTAAAGCTGACTGGGACTCTTTCCGTGAATTTCTTCGTGATGGCCCCTGGGTAGAAATCTTTCGTCTCCCTGTTGACAAATGTGCTTCTTACACTTCGTGGATTCAGGCTAGCATGGAATCCTTTATTTCCTTTCGACAATTCCAGGTCAAGCCTCACTCTTCTCCATGGTTTTCCTCACATTGTGCTGCTGCAATTGCCAATCGAAACCAATACTTCCATATCTATCAGCAAAATAATTCTATCAGCAAAACAATTCTCTGTAAAAAGGTTTTGTCAAAGCCCGCTATTCTCAGATCATGAAATCTCGTATTTCATCACAAAAAATAGGCTCTTGTGACTTCTGGAGAATCTTTAATAGTATCAATAATAAGGACAAGTCTGTAATTCCACCTCTTTTGTACGGTTCAGACTTTGTCACCTCACCTAAAGACAAAGCTGAAATGTTTGCAAAAACTTTTCATCAATATCATCTCTTGATGCCACTAGTTGCGCTCTACCTGATATAGCCGTCAAACAGGTTGATCCATTGCTCGACATTCGTATCACTCCAGCTTCTGTATCTAAAGTGATTTCCCGCTTAAACTCTTCTACAGCTTGCGGCCAGGACAACATACCTGTTATAGTCTTGCAGAAGTGTTCTCTGGAGCTGTCATCTATCCTTTCAAAACTATTTAACAAGTGCTTATCAGAGTCTTGTTTTTCAGCCTGCTGGAAAGCAGCTTCTGTTATCCCTATTTTTAAAAATTCTGGAGAGCGATCTGATTCCTCTAACTACTGTCCCATTAGTCTTCTTCCTATCATAAGCAAGGTTTTTGAATCTTTAATTAACAAACACTTAATCTCTCGTCTCGAATCTCATAACCTACTTTCTGATCTATATGGATTTTGATCTTCTTCTTCTACGACTGATTTGCTATCAGTAACAACTGATAGGTTTTATCGCGCATTAGATAAAGGTGGAGAGGTTAAGGCTATTGCTTTTGACATTTCTAAAGCGTTTGATAAAGTTTGGCATGCTGGTTTTCTCCATAAGCTTTCTTCTTATGGTGTATCTGGAAACATCTTTAAGATTATTGAATCCTTCCTTTCCAATCGTAGTATAAAAGTTGTCCTTGATGGACAGCACTTTTCTTCTTATTCTGTAACCTCAGGGGTTCCTCAAGGTTTAATCCTTGGCCCTATACTCTTTTTAATTTACATTAACCAGGCTTGGTCGGGAAGCGGGAGCGATTGCTCTCGATTGCTGACCACGTAAATAATATTTAGTTGCGAAAAGCTGGCCAGATTTTTAGTCGTTTTGAGAACATTTTAAAAAGCAAAAAAAAAAAAAGCGACGAAGATTAATTGGACCGATGAGAGACAATTACAAAAAAAATAAAATTATGCGATGTTTTTTATATAAAGTAACAACTTACGATTGTTTAAAAGGGAAATAAATATTCTTTATTTAACTAAGTTTGCAAGTTTTAGTTTTACTTAATCTAAATTATTTTATAAATAAAAAAGTTAATTTTTTTAATACCTATTTTATGTTTCGCGTAGTTTGAAAAGTTTAACATATTTGAAGCGATTCTTCTTAGTAAGATAAACAAATGAAATAATTAAATCATTGAATTACTATAGGAATTAAATTATCAAGATAGAAATCAACTAAAAAGGTTAAAAATACTTTATGACCAGGAAGCGAAACTGCTTCACAATATCGCTTATGTGCTGATTAGTGAGTGGGCTTTTTAATTTTAATAAGTATTTAAAGCAGCAAAAAGTATAACGAGTTTTAAGAATGGCAATTTAAGCGAAAATATTTAGAGTTAGTAAACCTATATCTAAAAACTTTTCTTTAAATCTAATTATTTGCTATATATATTTGTGTTTTGTCGTGACCTCAGGCGCGATGCTTGTTCATCCGCGAGTTACTTTGTATGCGTTGTTTGTGTTTAGTAACCAGAAACTTCTCATATGTTTGTTACATAATTAGTTTTATTAACTTTAACGATTATAACTTCATTGAAAACGCAATTATTTTTGTAAGTCTTTGTTTAAATCATGAAAATTGCTTTAAAAGATACATTATGATAAAAAACAAATACACAAATTTACATTTACATAAAGAATACAATCTCTTTTAAAATAAAAAATAATAATATACTAATAAAATCTATGATTTATAATAAACTTTTAAAATTTTGACAACTTAATATATATTTAAAACATTTATTTTTGTAAACAAATAATAAATATTTTTAAAACAATTTATGCTAGAAATCTCAAAACGTAACAAATCGTGAATTAAAACATTTCAACAGAATACTCTAGAACTTTATTTCGCTTAATCAGCGTATTTTTTGAACCAATAGAATTAGTTTGTTCGTTAATTTGGCGGGTTTTTAGTGTTCGCAAATATTCTTTTTATTCTTGCGCTCAAAGATGTTTTGAGAACATTCAAGTTTTTTATGTTTCCATGTATGTCCGTAAAACAAAAATTTTTTGTTTCGTACATAAACTTAAATGTTCTCAAAACGACTAAAAACCCTGGCCAGTTTTACGCAACTAAATATAATTTCCGTGGTCAGTATTCGAGAGCGATCGCTCCCGCTTCCCGACCAAGCCTGATTAACGATCTTCCAGATATTCTCACATCTAAGGTGGCATTGTTCGCTGATGATACTACCATTTATTCTTGTCACAATAAGAAGCCAACTCCCTCTGATTGCTTGCAGGGGGCATCTGAGCTTGAAAAGGATCTCACTTCTGCTACAGCATGGGGCTCGCAGTGGCTGGTGAACTTTAATTCAGATAAAACTCAATTTTTTTCGGCCAATCGTTATCGCAATAGTGTAGACCTTCCTATATTTATGAAACTCTTGATCATTGTAGGGTGCTCAATATAAAAGAAATTTTCAAAAACAAAGTATTTTATACTTAAATTTAGAAAAAACAACTTTTAATGAAACTTAAAGTTCATGCTTATTGGCAATCACCAGCCACGAAGTACAAAATCAAAAATATAAAAAATCGTATAAAAATTACAAACTATGAGTATTTATATGTATTGTATATATAATATATAATAATGTAATATATAATAATGTGTATATATATATGTAATATATGTATATATATATATATATATATATATATATATATATATATATATATATATATAAATATATATATATATATATATATATATATATATATATATATATATATATATATATATATATATATATATATATATATATATATATATATATATATATATATATTTACCTATATATTTATACACACACACATATATATACACACACATATATATATAGTGTATATATCATAACATGTATATATACACACACATATATATAGTGTATATATACATAACACACACATATATATATATATATATATATATATATATATATATATATATATATATATATATATATATATATATATATATATATATATATATAGGCCTTAGCAGAAGTAAATGAGTGCACAAGCGGTGAACTGTTCGTCTAAAACAGATTTGGCCAGCGACATGTGCAAAAAGCATTTTGTTGGCTTTTTTGATATTTAAAAAAGCTCATGGATAAGTTAAAATTGATTATGCTAAGTTAATAAAAATACACTGAAATACACTGAAATACACTGAAAAAAGCTAAGCAAGAGAGCAAGTAGTTATAAGAAAAGGCTTTTGTAATTAAAATGGAGTTTCTTCTTATTTTCATATTTTAAAAGTTCATTTGTTACTCTTTTTCTTTGTGAAATATTTTTTTTAATCTGAAATGTTTAAAAATTACCCTGAAAACTAAACTAAAATAGCTCCAAGGGAAGAAAAAGTATAAGAAATTATAAGATTTAAATATAAATTTATTAATTATAAAGAAAAGAGTTTTAATTAAAACTTAAATGAGTTTGATATTTATAAAATAGTTTTTGTGTTACATAAAATAATGTAAGAGAAAAATTTTTTAATACTGTTTGTTAAATAAAGATTTAAATTATGTTTTAAATAAGCGTGTATCTATTTATTATGCATGTATTTATTATTTTCACTATTATTTTCACTATTATTTTCACTATTTCTATTTCACTATTTTCACTTTGATCAAGTTTTAAAGATAAAATTTTAGATAAGTTAAAAACTATTAAAGTTGATAAATTTTACTAAAAGTTTTTAACTAACAATATAAAAATTGTAATTTTGCTTTATTTCGCCTGTGTAATTAAACTTATATGGGTGGAAGGCAGGTGCGTCATTTTTGATGAGGCCTGTATATATAACTATATATCAGCCCTGATATATAATTATATATACAGGGTTTCAAATAAAATTTAAAATGGCAAAATAAAACATTTATTCGGCCATTTTTTAATTTATATAAAGTAGCAAATTTTAAAATTGCAGTTGTAAATCGGTTAAAAATCTTTGCAGTAAGATAGGAATGGTGAAACTTTTAGCGATTTGCAGATAAATATTGAGATGTTAATCAAAAAAATATATATCAGTCAAAATCAAAACTCTAATATTTGTTTAATGGCTTTATCTTAATATATTTAAAGGAAGAGTTTCCTTATAATGCAAGTTGTTAGTGGTGATGACAGGGTTAGGGACAACTATATTAGATTAAATACAGATATAAACTCAAATAAACTTATTCTCAAATACAAATTCAAACACAAATATATATATAATAAGAGTTAATAAATAAACACAGATACATATGAGCGTTTTCTAAATACCAATACAAATATTTGAACCTGTAATTTCGAAAAGGGCACAAGTCTATTTATTAAAATTTTCCAAAATCAAAAAAAATAAATTTAAATAATATCTACGCTGGGAAAGAAACTAAACATAGAAGTAGATAAATAAAGAACATATATAACTTATGTAACTTTTATTTTTTATAAAAAAAACATAAATTATACAGAAATTTTTAATTTAAATTTATAAACAAACTGTTAAAAGTTTTAAACTTGTGTCCTTTTCGAAATGACAGGTTCATTTGTATTTTAAGTTAAAAAAAATTCAAATATTTTCAACTTATTTCTTAATTTGTTAAGTTTATCACAAAAGATCAACTTTTATTAAATTTATAACTTAAATCTTCAATTAGCTAATTTTTGTTCATTCTATTAAACTATGTCTATTAAATAACATCTTTATTTTATTGTAAAAATTTGAAGAAAACTGTTTATATTTCAAAAACGTTTCTATCAAAAAAAAATATATACATATGTTACTTTTAGTGTTACTGTGTTTTAGAAGGAAAATTTTTTTATTATTTTTTTTTTTTTATTGTATTTTTATTATTTATTTTTAACTAAGTTTTTATTTTTATTTATAGTTAAGAAGTATTTAAAGAAGTATTAATAAAACTATTTGATAAAATAAAATAGAAGAATAAAAACATGTATTTTTACAAATATCACTTAAGAACAAATTTTTAATTTTTGTTACAAAAAAAAAAAAAAAAAACCTCTTGGTTTTCTTCACAAAAAATCAATTACCTAGTTTATGAAACTACAAATACATTTCAATCAATAATTTCTTTATTCATTGTAACATTTTCTAGAAAATTATTAATGAGAACATTTGACCTAACATTTCTTTCCTATTTTAATATACAGTTAATAAAACCGCACTTTAAAAGTTAATAAAACCACATTTTAAAAATTAATAAAACCACACTTTAAAAGTTAATAAAACTACACTGAAATTCTAAGCAAGAGAGCAAGTAATTATAAGAAAAGACTTTTGTACCTAAAATTTGTTTGAATGAGTTTCATACTTTCTAAATTGTTTTTAGGTTAACAAACATATTTTATAAAAATATACTTTAAGTTATTAAAAATATATATATATATTGTTTTTACTTTGATGGTAATTTTTTGTTTTTAATTCTGATTTGCTCCCAACAAAGCTGCAAGCAATCGCTATTAAGTTGGGAGTTACTAGAAAATAAAGAATACAGTTAAGGAGCAAGAAAACCGTGACAGAAGACTTAAAAAATTATAGGTTGTATGATTGAGGAAAACATGAAGATGGGAGAGATTTTATAGAGAGTTCAAAACAAAAGATGGGAGAGAGAGGGTGGAAATACAGGGAGAAAAAACAAAGTAAAAAGTTTTAAAGTATTCTGGGACAAATATAGTAAAAGAATGAGACTTTGCTGAATGGAGAATTAAGCAAGAATGAGATTTGTAGAGGTAGAGAATGGAATCAAAATAAAGATAATGCTAAGCACAATAAAGAGAACAGAGAACAGCAACCTTAGTGGGTGCTAACTTGATATTATTTGATGAATTGATTTTATATATAGTTTCCATGAAAGGTGAGTAGTGATCAATAATCCAAAAAAACAAATGACTCGGTGAGAGGGTTGCTATTCATTAATGTAGGAATATCAATAATTTCAATAAATTTTATAGTTTTTTCTTTACAGTTTTTTTACATTATAGTATTCAATGAAATTCTTATAATGGTCATTTGAACTTAGCAAGTTAATTTACAAATACTTATGATAAAAAAAAACTAAAAAAAAAACTTCAATAACTAACTTTTTTTACTTTTAAAAAACATTTTTTTCATTTATTTTTTTAAAAGAAAGCCAAATCTATTCATGCTTTTGTATTTTTGTACTTTACATCACCTTTATTTTGCCTGTGTAAACTAACTTACGCAGGTGTAGAGGTAGGCATGGGTACCTGCTTGCTTTTTTTGTCAAATCTAAATATCACAGCTAATGAACCATTATATATAAAATGTGTAGTTCTTTAGCTGTAGTAAATTGCCTTTGCCGTAGCTATAGACCATTATCTGCCCCACCATAGGATTAGTATAATGAAATGACCAAGTTTTTTCTATTTAAGGATAACAAATATATCAAAAATAAAAATTCAATAAAAAAATAAATACAACAAAACTTACACGATTCCGTAAAAAACAAAAAGAACTTACGCATTTCCAACAATAGCTAAAAAAAATCATACTTAATAATAAGAAAATAAGAAATGTGAACAATTTTATTTTGTATTTTACAATAGTTCAAAATTTCTTTACTTAAAAAAATTTTTAAAAACTAAAAATTATAAATTTCATTGAAGGCATTTAATGTTACTTCACCCAGGTCAGTATATTTTAGGTCAGCATTTTTAATTCATCAAGGGCCATATCTCAGATTTTATTGTTTTTTAGTTTTTACTCAACGAAAAAAGAATTCAGCTTCGAGTAAAAAAACTCTTAACAGATCCTGAAATTTGAATATTACTTTTACCAGATATTCCCCAATCTTGTCCTCTCAGAATTTCAATATTTAGATTTTAGTTTTAGTCTATAACTAAAACTAAAAATAAATGTAAACCTATAATGGCTTTTCACAAAATTTCACAACACAAATTTATTTTTAAATATTGTTCTTTTTACTTAAAAATTCATACCAAGCTATTTTCTTTGGTAACCAAACTTTCTAAATTATCATTAATTACTGCAATAATTATCACCTATTAAATTTATCATTTTTTTTAGTTTTGTATTAAAATGTGGTTGATGGCTTTAATAATAACAGATTGACTACAGTTAATTCAATCAGAAACGCAATAAAAATGTCTTCACAAAGAATATATATAATTTTGGAAAACGCTAAATGATATGTTAATATTAAAAATATATATATATATATATATATATATATATATATATATATATATATATATATATATATATATATATATATATATATATATATATATATATATATATATATATATATATATATATATATATATTTACCATAAACTAGTAGAAAGATTCAATTATCATAAAGATTTAAGAAAAGAATAAACTATATGATGATGAAAGTTCCTTCTTAAAAAAAATATTTTAGGTTTCAAGAAGCAAACAAAATGTTGTAATTTAATGAATAAACATATATTAAAAAGAAAAGCAAATAAAGGTAAAAAATTGCTGAATTGTTTTCAAAGGTAAACATAGGTAACCACTAAGAACTTTTTTAAAAAGAACTTTTAAAAAGCATACAAACTAAAGGAAACAAAGGTTCACTAAAAAAAGAAATTTTCTGAAATAACATCAAGTCAATATAAACAACAATAAACAAGTTAACAGCCCATTCCTACATTATGTCAGGCAAGATATCTAAAGCAACAAAACCTACAAAATGTCAGGCAAGATATCTAAAGCAACAAAAAAAAAAAAAAAAAGTCAATAAATAACTGCTGTTTTGGATGACTTGGTACAGAACTACATGTTTATAATTCAAGATAAAATTCAAAGTTACTAGAGTTGTTGGAGCAAAAGTTAGTGTAAATTTGAAGATATCAAAAATACTAAACACCGATAAAAAATTTTCAGAAATTTAAAAAACCACAACATACTTTTAAACAATTTTTTTTTATTTCAAACTTTATGCTAAATTTTTTGAGTAACAAAATTTATAGTTAAATATTTGGCTTTTTAAGTTGTTTTTTTATGTAAATCAAGGCATCTTTGTTTGACTACTAAAAAAAAGTAACAAATAAATAAACTTCAAAATGTTATTTGAATAAAAAAAAAGTGGGCCAATGCAGTTCAGCTGACTTGTTAAACAGACCTAAATTTTTGTATTATAGTAGATTTAAAAAAAAATCCAGAGTTATTTCGTTTTGCCATTTCAGCAATATCTCACCTTTTTTTCAAATAAAACTCACATCAACTGACCTAACATCAATCTAATACCTTTTACCACACCAAAACTTTTACCACACTAACACTTTCACCACGCTAACATTTTATGTATTTAAAATGATTTAATAAATAAGAAAATAAAAATAGTAATAAATAAGTAACAAAAAATAATAACACATAAATTAGTATCAAAAAACGATAATAATTAAATAACAAACAAATAAAATAAATAACAACAAAAAATAATAACTAAATACAACTAACAATTATAATAAATAAACATAAAAATATATACAATAAAAAACAAAGCAAAAATAATAATGACAAGTAATATGATGACAAACAATTATTCATCAACAATTATATAGAAGTGTATAGGTCCCAACATGAAACATTTTTTTAATTAATATTCTGATTCTCTCGCATATTATTTAATTCACTCCCAACAAAGCTGCAAGAAACAAGTTATGAGTTACTAGAAAAAAGAATATTGAGTTATAGAGCAAGGAAATGATTAAGAAGACTTAAAAAGTTTATAATTGTTTTAAATACAAAAAAATATCAAATCTTATTAACTTTATTATAAAACTTTAAGAATTTTTTTGCTGTAAAAATCTGATCAATATAAAATTAAAAGAAAAAATAGAAATTTGATAACATTTCATTTTATTTAAATTTGATTATAAACAAAGAAAAATTAAAAATAAATGCAAACTTGAAAAACCAGATGATAAAATTTAAAAAAATTAGCAAAAAACAATGTTTTTAAAGAGAAAAAATTAAATGAATTTATGCAAATTTTATAAACAAGAAAACAGGGGAAATAATGAAATAATTATTCAAAAAATGTCTAACTTTAAAAACATGGCAAGCCTAAAAATTTTCTCATTGCACAGAACAAAAGTCATACATACAGAATCTCAATAATTTTAAATAATTTTAATAACTTTAATTTTTTACCAAGATTGTCCCAAAAAACCACTAAATCCATCTTAGATTCTAAAATGACTTTATTTCATTTTTTGTCATAACAAACAGCCAGCCATTCTGATGCACAGATTTGTACTTTTAAAAGTTCTCTGAAGTAAGGTGCAATTCTATAGTTAACAATGAGCTACTTAATTGAGTTGCATATTTCAATGGATAATTCAGTGGCTTTAGTTTAATCTTTAATCTTTTTGTAAGAAAAAAGTTTTTTTGTAAGAAATCATCTAAAAGTTAAAAAGTCTTTAGTTTATGTTAGCCAAGTACATTATGCAATAAACTACTTCAACTACTTACAAACTCATGAAAACTTCATTTTGATTCATTTTGACTTTTTTTAGGTTTTTAGGTTTTTTTAGGTTTTTAAGTTTTTTTAGGTTTTGAGGTTTTAGGTTTTTTTTATATTACTTAATTTTAGTTATAATGATCAAAATGTGTTAAATTTTTAAATTTTAATTGCACACCAGAATATTCAAGAAAATAATTAACAGCTCTATAACATTTAAAATAAACAAAAAACACAAAAGTTTCACAATATTATAAATGCTAATTACTTATGTATTCAAATTTAAGCTTTTATTTAAAATTTATTCAAATTTATTCAAATTATTTAAATTATTCAAATTTTTCAAAATTATTCAAATTTATTCAAATTATTCAAAAATTTATTCAAATTTAAGCTTTTATTTATTAGTTCATCAATTAGTGTTGTTGATTTTGTTTTCTTATTTATTAGTGTTATTATTCAATTTGTGTTGTTCATCAAGTTGAGAATAATCTGATTAATTCTGCTTTTTCCACATTATCAAAGTAAAAACATTAAGTTAATCTTTTAACTACCCCTCAGAGTTAGGAATCTTCTAACTAACCCTCAGAGTTAGAATCTTCTAACTAACCCTCAGAGTTAGGAATCTTCTAACTAGCCCTCAGAGTTAGGAAAAATGTGGTTGGCAAAAAAAAATTTCTGTTCATGAACCATCTTTTTGTGAGTTCTAAACTTTGCATGATTCTTTAGTACCAAAATGCCTATGCTGCTCAATGCATCAACTTTGTTGCTCAATATGTTGCTCAATATCACTTTGTTAAGTCTACATCTTGCTTAAGTGTCCACTGGACTTTTATATATTTATGAACTAAGTTCAGAACACAGCCATCTTTAAAATATGTTTTTTTTTAGACATTTGAAAACAAACAAAATGAATGTTTTAAAACAATACCAATCGAGTCTACATTTTTTGTATAAAACAAAAGAATTTTTTTTATAATAAATTATTATTTAATAACTTTTATACAACTTAAGGTTAATACATAAATATAATTTATGTGCTATCAATCAAGAAAGTGTAAAATATATTAAGAGATAAAAATATAAACAAAAATATATTTTTTTTTAATAATTTTAGATACAAAAAAAGAATTAAAAATGTGAAATCTTTAAAAAATTGAAATATTTATAAAAAATAAGAGGTAATAATTAGGAATATAATAAAGTTTTAAAATTATTTAAAATACTAATTTAGAAATGATTGACAAAAAAGTTTGATGAACATTACATTATAATTTTATAAAATTAATAATGTAAAATAAAAAACTTTAGAAATACTAGTAATAAAAAGTCTATAAAACTTTATAATTAAAATTATTAAATTTAATATTTTAGTATACAAAAAATTTTGAATTTGAAATATTTTTTTAATTCCTGACTTACTAAGAGAAAAACCAACTGTTTTCCCTGACGTAAATTCCCTGACTTTCCCTGACCCAGTTAAACCTGTAGACCATATAAACCCTGCAAGTTGTTAAAAGGTAAGATGTTTACTAAAAAGCTTATGTTGAAAAGAAACAAATATTTTTTACTAAGTACCAAAAATCATAATGAAAAAATACTTACGCATGGCACCACTATTTTCTTTATACAAGTATCCATAAAAGTTCAGACCAATTAATATCTTTTTGCGTGAACTGTTTTTAATTGGAACTAAGGTTTTCACGCATTTTTCAATCCAGTCATATGGTGAAACAGAACCGGGCCTGCATATGGAAAAACATAACTCGTAGTGAACTGTAAAAAACACAATTCATAAAATAATTTAAAAAACTTTAAAAATTAAGGTAGGTGGCTACTCAAGGTAAAGAAAACTTTAATATAAACTCCCTCACTCATTTGTAGGTAAGATTGGATACACCTACAGATAAGGGTAGGATGCGCCTTAGATGGCAAAAAAAAATTTTTTTTTTTTATTTTCAACAAAAATACTCCTGATATGATAAACAGGTTAATGCCAGGAAAAAATGTCAGGAAAGAAATCCAGTAGTAAAGAACAGCTATACATCTCTTTGTCAAATTTGAATAAAAAAACAAGAAAACCTGCTTAAACCAAACAGGACATTAAACAAATTTTAGAAATAAAAAAGTTGAAAATTAGCATAAATTAATTTTAAAAGTTAAATTTATATATAAAACTATTATTATTTATCTATTATAATAAAAGCAATAGAAACGATTGTTGTTTAAACTTTATATGTCTTCTTGAAAAAAAAAAATAGTAAAGAATATCCTTAGATAAATGTTTTGCCAAATGTCACCCAAGAAATCATCTGAAAGTAAAAAAAGTCTTTATAAATTTATGTTAGCCAAGTACATTATACAATAAACTACTTTAACTACTTACAGACACATGTAAACTTAATCGTTTTGACTTTTAATTTGATATTTTAGTCATAATGATCAAAATGTATTAAATTAGTGATTGAAAAATAGATTGAATTAATGATTTAAAAAATTAAAAGACTTTTGATCTTACTTTTGGTAAACATGGAAGTCAAAAAAGAGATTGAAATAAATAAAAAAGTTAGCTGTTTTGGCAATACATTATGATCTGGTTTGCCTGAGCCTTCTTTGAAACTAGGCTGAGAGGTCTTCTATATAAAAATATTCTTATGTTTATATTTTGTATGCATTCAAATTTATCCTATGTTTTTTCTTTAAATATTCTTTTAATTATATTATGTATGCATTCAAATTTATCCTAAATTTGAATGCATACATAATATAATTATGTATGCATTCAAATTTAGGCTTTTATTTATTAGCTCATTAATTTGTGTTGTTGATTTCGTTTTTTTATTTATTAGTGTAATAATTCGTTTTTTTTTGTTTATTAGTAATAATTCTGCTTTTTCCACATTATCAAAATAAAAACATTAAAATTAATCTTCTAACTAGCCCTCAGAGTTAGGAAAAATATGGTTGGTAAAAAACTGCCAACTGGTAGAGGTTGGCATCAGGTAGGCAAAACAAATTCGACACAAAAGGTTTACCACAAAACATAGAATTGAGGTCTGCAATATTTTGCTGTCCTCAAACACTTTTAGGTTGCTAGTTAGGCGGCCATCACCAAATGCTAACATAACTAATTATGAGGGCTTCAAATCTAAAACTAAAAATTTGTTCTTCATTATCTTTTTATTGATTTTCCTTTAAACATAAATGGATAGCTGGAAATCAAAAAAATATTACTAATTTAGTAAAATACATTCTTTAAAAACTATTTGCCTTTTGTTAGTTTGCATACAACTTTTCCAACAAATTAAACTTTTCCAACAAATAAAATTTTTTTTTATATGAAAATTATGAGCACTAAATATAAACAATGCTACCCAATTTTATCTGCACTTGTGAACACAATATTTTCTGTTGCACTTTATGAGGGAGTACATCTGATATGCAATTAGAAATGAAACATAAGAATTCTCTATAACATTTAAATATAATAACATTGCTTGTAATTGATAAATGTTAATTTGATATATATATATATATATATATACATATGTATGTGTATATATATATATATATATATATATATACATATACATATGTATGTGTGTATATATATATATATATATATATATATATATATATATATATATATATATATATATATATATATATATACATACATATATATATAAATATATATACATATATACATACATATATATATATATATATATATATATATATATATATATATATATATATATATATATATATATATATATATATATATATATATATATATATATATATATATATATATATATATATATATATATATATATATATATATATATATATATATATATATATATATATATATATATATATATATATATATATATATATATATATATATATATATATATATATATATATATATATATATATATATATATATATATATATATATATATATATATATATATATATATATATATATATATATACAGTTAAAGGGATCCCAAACTCCCCACACATGTTGTGTTCATATTAAAGATAATGTTAAAAAAAAAGGTTTGAACCAAATTTTTTTGATTAAAAATAAATAATAAATGCATACCGTGAAAAACAAATGTTGTTGTTTTTGCCGAAGCTCGTCTTCTCCATTTTTTTTAACTACTTGGATTCTTCAAATTATGCGTCGCAATCTACAGACTTTGGCAACTCCTTTGAAGCGCGTTTAATTCATAAAAGTTTTAGTATTTGACGTCACGGTAGACTTTTAACAAAAGAAACTCTAGAAATATTTTTATTTATTTTTAGTCAAAGTTTTTTTGGTTATTTGTTTAGTTTTTTTTTTTCAACTTTATTATTTAAAAAGATATTAAAAACCTTAATCATTTTATGCTGGTTTGCTGCTATAAATTGTTATTGCGCCATATATTTAATGTTTATAAATTATGAATATTTATTATCTCAATCAAGACTCAGATAAAAAAATGTTTTACATTAATTACCCATATAAAATTATTATCTCAATTATAAGACTCTGATAAATAAATGTTTTACATTAATTACCAGTATAAAATTTGTAACAACATTTTTATTTGGTTAGACGATATTTTGTCTCAATTTGCTTGGGGAAGTCAAACGAAAAAAAATAGTTTGAATAATCATGTCAAAATATATTTAAAACAAATTATTTAAATGACGGGGGTACTAAAGTCTTTTTATAACAAAAGTAGGTAAAAAATAAATAACTAAATAAAAAGTTCAACATTAAACATCTTTTTTTTGTTATATTGCATCTGTAATTATTGAAATATTAACTTTAACTATATTTACTTATTATTTAGAACGACTTAGCAATAAATAAAAAGCCCCTAAAATTATGCGATATTGTGTTAATTTACTCTAAGATCAGAAAAGGCCCTAGGAACGTATTTGTTCCTATAGTATGTAAAATATGCTAGAGTAAAAACAAAATTTTATTGTGTGACATTCAGAACTACCCGAATTTTGCGCGAGAAAGTCAGACGTCTATTGTTTATTAAAATTTTCATTAGGTGTTTTCACAAATTACCGCACATAAATTGGGAAATACCAAATATAATGTTTTTTAACGCGCATTGCGATATTTTAACAATTTAAATTACTATCCGTCTTGAGTTGTTGCCATTAATTAATTCGGTCATTATTGCGTTAATTAATAATAATTTGTCTGTATTTTTGATAAATGTTAATTGTATAAAATGGGCAAAAATATATGTACTTCATGTTTTCAATTTGATGGTTATAAAGTATTGAACAGTAAACTTATTATTTAAAATTCATAATGCCGGCTTGTGCTGTTATTGCTGTTATTTATTTTTGACGCATTAGCCATAATAACATTAAAATTTTCATATCTGATACTACTGACAACTGTATTGTTTGGTGTGTTCTTGTTCTTTTTTTTCATAACCTTAACAGGTTCTAATTGGTATGGAGTTGCCGACATTTCAAAATCGAAAAACTATTAAGATATCTGTAAAAAACAAGTTGCTCCTATAAAATTAAAATAATTTATCATTTTTTCTTTTTACAAATTTTTTTTTGCGATGTTTAGAGAAATAATGCAAATAAATTTGTTTTGCTGTATGTTAAAAAAATACTACAGTAGAAAAACGCAGCTTAGTTTAATTACACTTTTTTTTGTTAAAAGTCTACCGTGACGTCAAATACTAAAACTTTTATGAATTAAACGCGCTTCAAAGGAATTGCCAAAGTCTGTAGATTGCGACGCACGACGAGCTTCGGCAAAAATAACATTTGTTTTTCACGGTATGCATTCATTATTTATTTTTAATCAAAAAAATTTTGTTCAAACCTTTTTTTTTTAACATTATCTTTAATATGAACACAACATGCGTTGGGAGTTTGGGATCCCTTTAAATCCTCTCAAATCAATTACGGATTTTATTTTCTTAATTGCTCAAACTTTTATTATCTCAATACATTTATTGTGTGGTTTATTGTATGGTGCGACTACAACCTTTATAAAATTAAAACTTGGTAATTTACTTTCTTAGTAAAGTTTAAATATTCAAAATCAGATTAGAATTATTTTGTGAATGTTTATTACTTGTAATAACCGAAAATAATCGAAAAGTACTATTATTTTTGATTCAGTGAAAAATAAAACAAACAAATTTAATTTCACGGTAAATGAAAATAAAATACATTAATGTACTTAAAAAATTATTTTGCTAAAAAAAATTTTAAACCAAAAAACTGCTTGTTATTTTTGATTAATTTTAAAAATGTCGAATTTTAAAAATGTCGTAATAATTTTCATTTTAATTTTCTTTTATTTGATTTGTATAACATTATTTTTATTTTAAAAATAAAAATTAGACTTAAAAAGTGTTAATTATTGCTTGTGATTTTTTATTAGGTTATTATACATTTTATAGAAGGTTGAATAGAATAGTATTCTTCACAAAACTTTACTGCAAAAGTGAAAACCCAAATATAACATTACATTTATAACTCAAACAACTTTTTGTATTGGCATTGTTTATTAACTACAAAAATGCATTCATCAGACCAGTTAAATTTTTTTTTTTTTTAAATCAAAGAGTTGAAACCTACCTTCAAGAGAAAAAAAAATGATGTTACAAATTATGAAATTTTTCGTTAATATCTTGATAAATAATTTGTTTTGAAAAGTTTTTAACAAGAAACTTATTTTTTAACGATTATTTAAGATATGAACATAACTTGTCTTGGCAATTTTGGATTCTTTTGAAAGTTCCAGCCTTCGACCTTTTAAATGAAAGGATTGCAGCTGCAACTTAGTTTTTCTCATGAGAAAACTTTCATCAAGTAGAACTAGAGGAATTATAGCCAAGTCCAAGTGATAAGTTTGCTAAAGTGAATCAAGCACAGCATCAACTGCTTCTTGTTTAAAATAAATACTTCGGCATTGATGAGTCTACTGAGACACTGATAAGCCAAATAGATTGCTTTCATATAAAGATAGAACATCAGCTTTAGATATTAAATAGCTTTAGCAAGTAACATCACCCTGATTTTAAAATCAGAAAGATTTTTACGTAGATTATTCGTATCTAACTTAGCCAGATCTCAACAATATTGACATCTACCTTCTTCTATAATTCCTCTTCTTACTACATATTCTTTGCAAAAGTTCAGAGAACCTAAAGCAGCTTTTTTAAATAAATTCTTTTACATTCTTTTTTACATTCTTCTCTCCAGCGGTAATTTTTCTCTTCCAGTAACTTCCAACACTAATTAGTGGTTGCTTGCAGCCATGTTGGAAGCGAAGATAATTAAAAAAAAAAAAAATGTGGTAGTGGTATAATGGTAGAGCACTCTCTTTATAAGTGAGAGATTCTGAGTTCAATCCCCACCAATAACTTGTTTCTCTGTGCAGTAGCCTTGTTCATTAAGGTTCGTGTTTAGGAGGTATAGAGTTGAGAGAGGGTTATAACCACAATTGTGTAGTGGGTTATAGAGTAGAGGGTTAAAACCTTGTGTTTAGTGGCCTTCTCGACTTTGGGGAGGTGAAATATTTAAAAAAAAAAGGTTGCAACCAAGTATAGATTAGATGTAGCATAACTAAATTAAGCTCTTAAATTTTTTAAACAATAGCAATAATAATTAGTTTTCTAGTCATTTTTAGATGTTTCCAAAACCTTTGCAACTCTGATATAAGATGTTAAAACCTTTTATTAACTAAACTTACTAAAACTTGAAACTATTAAAAATTACATACAACATTATATACAACACTTTTTCATTAAATTTGATAAAATTTGATCATTTATTAAACAATCATTAGAAGCAATTTATTACTTAATTTAAAATATTTATTACTTAATTTAAAATATTTATTACTTAATTTAAAATATTTATTACTTAATTTAAAAGCGTTTTGCATAACTTTAATAAAACGTTTAAAAAAATAAGTTTTAATAACATTTATTTCAATTAAATACGTAACAAAATGTTTCGCTTCGAGTTTAATTTTATTTTTTTATTTTAGTGCTTATATAATTTCTTTTTCATAATAAATTTTTTTTCTTTTCTTTTTTGGTTAGGAATTTTTTTTTCAATAGTTTTTTATTTAAACTTCTTTTTCTAGTTTAAGTTCAGCTTTTAAGTTACAGTTCAGCGTTTTTTTTAAGTTACAGTTCAGCGTTTCTACATTCACCGCATTTCTGAAATGTTTAAATCATCAAAACATATAAACAACTGTGGTCAAATTGTCAAAAAATAAAACCATTTGCGTGGTCAACAATAGCGCTCGATTGCACGCCATTCCTGTCCAAGCCTGCATATATATACATATGTACATGTATATATATGCATATATGTTTATTTAAAAATAACTTACTTTCCATAGTTAGGGTAGTCATATGTCATCATACTAAAACTATCAACCATGGGTGCAATCATGTCAAAGTCTTCTTTAGTGAACATCCCAGGCGTGTCTCTAATAGACAAATTTATTAAAATTTCAAATAAATAAAACTAAACTAATTTGAATTTGAATAATAATTACAATAGTAAAACATTTTTCATCACAATTTTTGTAGGTATGTATTTCTAACATATACATACATTATCGTATATATTTACATGTACATTATATAAACATTTATATTCACAGTATCAATCAAAACTATTCAAATATAAGTGAAAAATGTGCTAAGAGTAATTCATTTTAATTTAAAATACTGAGTAGTTTTTAACTTTAATAGCTAGCAGAATATTGCTAAAGATTTTCAGACCAGTAAATAGAATGAATCCTGTCTAATATTTGATTTTTAATTTTTCATTATCTGGTAATTGAAACTTTGTATTGTTTTTAGTATATAACGGTAGATGATAGAATCAAAAACCGATTCCGATGTTTGAAGTTTTGTGTAAATCAATTACCAGATAATAAAATATTGTTTTTTAATAATTGTGTAGCCTAAAAAACAAAGTATATATTAAAAATTTACTTCGATATAGATATGTTCAGTGCAGTTGTACGGCTTACAGTTTTGCCTTGTTGCCTGGTGATGAGTGATCGACTCCTCTTGAGCGCTTACATTTTTTGTACTTTTGTTATATTTTAGTTATTTTAGTATTTAGTTCTAGTTTTATGCGTAATGTTAATAAAAAGTTGTATTGTTTATAAAATGTTACCTATTATAAATATTAGGAAGTGTGTACACATAGAATAAACATGTAGAACAGGTAGACATACATTGACTGATTAAATAGGTAGAACATGCAGGGTGTGTACATACATCAACAAATGGTTTCGGCTTGGGCAGGCAAGTTAAAAAAATAGTTTTTGTTAAAAAGTGTTTAAAAATCAATGCAAACACTTATTTTGTTGTATTCATCAATTCAAAACTTCAAACGTCAGGTTTTTGATTCTATCATATACCGTTTATAACATTGTAACTTATTATGTGTTTTTTGTTCATTATTCATTTAATCCTAACAATTGCATTGTTCTTCATTTTCTTTCTTTTAACAATATTGTCAATAAAGATATTATTACTGTATCAACTATCATTTATTTAATTTCTGTTTGAGTCACACCATCATAACTAATAATTTGCATACTACAGTGTTGTACCAGTGATGGTTTAGGTGGTGAACTTCTCCCAGAAATATTCCCCAAGATAACAACTGACAGACAACTTAAAAGATTGCAAATTATATGAACCAGGAAAACAAGATGAAGGAACAAATTTCAAAGATCTGATGTTCGAGGAAAAAAACTAGAAAAGTAAGAATTTTTGGAACACTAAGGAACACAGTAAAAGGATGAGACTTAATTGAATGATGAGTAACTCCAGAATAAATTTTAGTAGATGGCACAAGAGACACTAGTACTTTAGAGCAGTGCCCATTATAGTATTAAAAAAAAGTCTTAAGTTAAACTAAAATGCAAACATTTTTTTAATGGGAAAATCCTAATCTAATTGTGAAATTGTTTGAAAATCGTTTAAAAAACGTACATTCATTATTCAAACCAGATTTACAACAAAAAATAATAAGTTTCTATTAACCTCTTAACCTGAAGTATAATGGAAAAACAATAAAACCTTTTTTGTAAATATCTCAATAAATTGATTTGGTAATTTTAATTAACATTATTATTTTAATAAACATTATTTCACAATTATTTTATAATTTAAATACATACATACATTTTTTAATAGTCTTGGTGAATAAAAAAGCAACAGCTTTTTTATTCACCAAGACTATTAAAAAAAATTTTATTCACCTTTTTTTATTTTTTACTCAGCAATTTTCAAGTAATTGCTCAGCTATACGTAAATAAAATTTTTAGGGATTTTGCTAAAATTTTTATTCACTTAAAGCTAAGCAACTACTCTAATTTGCCTCAGCAACTGGGAATCCCTGTAATAATAAATAAACGGGTACAAATAAGAAAAAATGATTTGTACAAATAATGCCCCACCTAAGTAAAATATAGCATAAAGTAATTGATGAACGATTTTTTGACAAAAAAAATAATTTTAACTTCTATGTCCAGAAAACTATTTGGATATCCAAAAAAAATAAAAATTTATAAAAATATGCGGAATTCCAGAAATATCTGGAAAAAGATAACCCCTGCGATTAGCTGAAAAAAATTGAGTTTTATCTGAGTTAAAGTTCACCTGCCACTGTAACCTCCATGCTGTAGCAGAAGTGAGATCCTTTTCAAGTTCAAATGCCCTTACCAAGAAATCAGAGAGTGTTGGCTTCTTATTATAACAAGAATAAAACACTGTTAAATAGAAGCAGTATCATCAGATAGTACTGAATTCATAGTATAAATCCATAACAGTCTTACTACTATATATATATATTTAGATATTCAAAAACGCTCCCTTCATTGCTATGTTGTGTTTCTTTATGACTACTCTTTTTCAATAAATTTTCATAGCTTAAATTGTTAAAATCACTTAGTATAATATCATGGACACATATAAGTAGATTAACTCTTGGTTTATAGTTGTAAATTCCTTGGACACTTGATTTTTCCTCTTATACCTACTTTTAGGTCCTACAGGACATAAAACATGGCATTGCAATTGAATGTTGAAATTGGTGTAGCAAAAAAGTACTCCTCTAAAGAGCAAAAATTGTTTTTAAGATCAAATGCACTTCTGCCTTTATTTTGTTTGTTTTTTTTTCCACAGTATAACTTGTAAAAGTTATACTGTGTAAAAGTGCACCATTTATATGAACAAGATGTACATTTGATTTTCAAACTGTGTGAAAATCCTATTCTCCTTGAATCACCATTTTGTATGGTTACTTCTTTTTTACAATCTGGGCAGCTACCAATGTGCATCAAAAATTTTCATTCAGTTTAAATTTGCTAAGCCTTTTAGTACTACATAATTTTTTTGTTAAGTTAATTTTACTATATCAGTATCATTTGCTTTTTTGAACTTATGTTACTACTTACCAGAGTTGTTAGTCCTTGGCATGGCCTTAAGGCTAAAAATTGAGGACTTGGCCTTGGTCTTGGCCTTAAAACTGTTGGCCTTGGCCTTGATTGTTTTGGCCTTGGCCTTAAAAAAATACATTTTCTTATTGATTTTGTTGAATTCTGCGCATAATCTTGATCTATTTTTACAAAATGTGGTTTAATTGTCACAGCACTTGCTATATACAGTTTTAATATTTGGCCTTAACGTAAGGCAAAAATTGAAATTTTGAAAATGTTTGCGTAGGTTTTGGCCTTGAAACTCTTAGCCTTGACCTTAAAACTCTTGGCCTTGGCCTTGTAACTTTTGGCCTTGGTCTTGTAGCGTGTGGCATTGGCCAAACGCTACAAGACCAAAGACTTTTGGCCTTGTTAACAACTCTGCTACTTTAAACTTAACCAGAGAATTTTTTCTCTTAAATTTTTTCTCATACTATCTCATACAAGAGAATGTTCTCTTAACTTTTCTCATACAATTTGTTTTTTTCCATAGCTAAAATTAAACAACTAAAGAATCGAAATCCATAAACAACTTCATTAATAAATCTACATATTAAGTTTTATCACTTATTTATCTCTAGAGATAAATAAGTGTTCTAAAGAGCATAACACTAAAAGTAAATGCTTATTTTATTTTAATCTATAGTGTAGAACAGAGTTGGCCATCAAACTTTAACTTAAGTAATTGAAAAGTATACCAAGTACACAAAAATTAGTCCAAAACATGAGAGAAAACTGTAGGGTCTGTTGCTAAACGAACTATGTTTAACCACCTTTCTTAAATCTTAAACTAAACATTTTGTGTTTATTATACTAAAAAACAGGTTTCAGAAATGAATTCAGTGGTTATTAGATAACTCAAAACAATCTATACTAAAAATTTCAAAAATATCAACTTTATTTTGTGGCAAACCACCTTAAATTTAAATAAATATAGTTCTATACTTGTATATAAAGTACAAGTAAGCAATATTGATAAAGTTCACCACTATACTGCCTGATATAATGTGAATTAGTTCAAAGTGGATTAAATTTTAAAAAATTAAGGCTAAATCTTTTATCAGACAGTTTTATTGTTGTGAAGTCATGCTACTATTCAAGTAAATAAAATTTAAAAAGAATGGAAATCAGATTTACATAAATTATTCCTAGGTGGTTACCAGTCCCCAGGATACTCTTAAGAAGCAAGACAGCATTACACCATCACTTGGAAGTATTTTTACTTAGCTCTGAGAAGTATTTTTAATTAGCTGTATTTTTAATCACTTTGAAGTACTAGAATACTAAAAAAGCAGCTGCATCAATAGGTCAAAATTTACATTTTAACCAAACCTATGACTTTGTAAATAGATCTAAGCTACAAAAAAATGTGATAGTAAGTGATAAGATTTATATAAGATTTAGCCTCTCAAAAGTAAAATTGAGAAAGAGACAGGAATTTTTCTGAATCCTGATCTAAGGTTTTTTAGTTAACAAAGAATTGAAAATTATTATTTTATATTTGGCTTATAGAAAGAACTATTGGTATTAAAAACTTTTGTAGTATGTCAAAGACATTGTACAACACCTATGTGTCAAAGAGAATATTAACTTATGAAGTACATTCTATTAAATAGGATGCAACTACTTTAGAACTAAGAATGAAACTGAATTGAATTTAACTTTGAAGGAACCACTTATAGTGTGTCAAAGTTAAAGCAAGTACTAAATATCTTTGGTTACATTTTAACTAGAATCCATCAATGAATCACACAGCATTTTACTCCTTACATCAAAATAATGATTATTATGCATTAGCTCAAGCACCCATTTCTTCTCAAACAAAATTGTTACAATTTTAATAAAATTAATTCCAAAAGTTTGGAGAAAGGTTTATTTTATTTTTATAAAATTAATTCTAATAGTTTGGAGAAACCGCTTTGACTGTAGTGGTCTCTCTCTCAGCCTCCCCGAGGAGGCCGATAAGGCCACTTTAGTTGCTACAACCCTCTCTTAATTCTTTAACACCAAAACACAAACCTTAACAAATTTGAACACTAATAAAACTCTGTTGGTTACTACTAATAACTATCACAATATATTGTAGTTACTTCCATATTTACACTAAACTTATACTATATTATAAACTTATATTATATTTACACTACTTTACATCTTTTTATATTATTCTTTTTTAATCGTTACAAGCAAGCTTTAAAGCACAATTAAAAATAAATATTTGGAAAACATAAAATTACTTTTGACTTACATAGCAGCCATTGGTGGGGGAATGACAAGTATTAGCTTTTGTTGCCGCATCATCATGGCCTCACTGAGTTCTTTTATAATACCAATGACTAAACTAAAAAATAATATGCAGAAAAAGTTGCTTAAAATAATGCACTAGACCGGAAAATAACAATTGTCTAAAAAAAACAAATGCAAAGATAAAGATTAAAGAAAAAAAAATTGAAGATAAGTAAAAGTTGGGAGAACTGCTAGGAAACCACCACAATATTAGTATAATAACCAACAACAGCATAATAAAAAATGATCAAACCATAAGTATAACAACCTGCAAATCCTAGATATACAGATTGAAAATTTTTTGTCCTACAAAGTTATTCAACTCAGATATAAAATAAAATTATTGTAAAGGTTGCCTTAGAACTTGACTTAAGAAAATTATGAAAAATAGCTAGTTAAGAAAATTATGAAAAATATGATAAAGTATGAGATATAAGTGAGTGAGATAAAATATATTTGATGAGATAAAAGATACTTAATGAGATAAGTACTTACTTTTTATAGTGAGCAAATTGGCTCCATATTTCCAGCACAATTCCATCCAAGTCATGAAGCTCAATAAAGTCAACAATTTTTGTAACAAGCAAATGAAGATTTTCTTCTTTGCTAAACAAAGCTTGAAGATCTGAGACAGACCACTCTTCAAACAACATTCTTGGTAATACTTTTGAAAGACCTCCACTTAATCTTTTTACATCTTTAATCCAATTATTATCTATATCATGTGCCCCTGTAATAAAATATTTACCAGGAGAAGAAGTTCTGATTTGCAACCAAACAGGAGATATGTGAGTGAACTTTGGAAAAATTTTTGCTACATCGTAGCCATGACTGTTCCACTAAATAAGAGATTAATAAGGTATAATATAAATAAAATACTTTATTTTATAAATAACGTTTAACATATTTTTAACATATAAATTTTATCATATATTAACTTTAACATATATTTTTAACATATATCAATTAAAATTAGTATTTAATAAACTTTTTAACAATTTTAAAAATATTAATTTCATATATGAAAAATTATCTCTTTAAAACAATATTATAAATATTCTACAATTTTTGAAATCTAAATAAAAATTTAATGTCAAATTAAGGTTGAAATTTTTTCAGTAAAATGATGTCAGTAAATTTCAGGAAATCTTGATTTTCTAACAATTGTCAAAAAAAAATAAAACATGATTGCTGATTTAATTTTCCATCTCTCATTCATGGGACTGATCTTATTACCTCTCCCAAGGATAAGGCAGAACTATTTGCAAAGAACTTTTTTTCTAATTCCACTCTTGAATCTTATGAACATTTTCTTCCTTCCATTCCAGTCAAACAGGTTGACCCATTGTTAGACAATTCTCTCTAAACTATTTAACAAGTGTTTGACTGAGTCTTGTTTTCCTGCTTGTTGGAAAATGGCATCTGAAGTTCCAATATTCAAAAACTCTGGAGAAAATTCTGACCCCTCCAATTATCGTCCGATCAGTCTTCTTTCTGTTATTAGCGAGGTCTTTGAGTCTTTGATCAACAAATTCCTCACATCTCATCTTGAGTCAAATAAACTGCTGTCAGACAATCAATACGGTTTTCGATCCTCTCGCTCTACGGCCGACTTGCTAACTGCTGTAACTGAAAGATTTTATCGTGCATTAGATGGAGGCGGTGAGGCTAGGGCTATTGCTCTCGACATATCTAAAGCTTTCAACAAACTTTGGCATGCTGGTCTCCTCCATAAGCTTGCTTCATATGGTGTTTCTGGGAAAGTTTTTGAGATTATCAAATCATTTCTTTCTAACCGGTTTATTAAAGTCATCATTGAAGGCCAACACTCTTTATTTCCAGTAACTTCTGGGGTTCCCCAAGGTTCCATTCTGGGCCCTGTTTTGTTTCTTATCTACATAAACGATCTTCCTGACAACCTTTCATCTAAAGTAGCTCTTTTTGCTGATGACTCGACTTTATACTCCTGTCTTGACAAAAAGTCCTCTCTTTTCGATCGCCTAGAACAAGCAGCTGATCTTGAATACGATCTCACTTCAGTAATAGATTGGGGTTCACAGTGGCTTGTGAATTTCAACTCTAAAAAAACCCAGTTGCTTACTGCAAACAACTACCGTAATATGGTCAACATTCCTATATTAAAGAATGGCAATCCTCTTACTGAGTCGTCCTCTTTACGTCTTCTTGGATTATCGCTTACTACTTACCTTTCATGGAAACCATATATACAATCGATTGCTAAATTAGCTTCTGCTAAGGTTGCTTCTCTTTATGGTGCTCGCCATTTCCTTACTTCTGATTCCATTCTCTACCTTTACAAATCTCTTATTCGTCCCTGTATGGAATACTGTTGTCATATTTGGGCTGGTTCTTCTAACAATTCACTTTCTCTTCTTGACAAGGTCCAAAAACGCATTGTAAATGTTGTTGGACCTGGACTATCTGCTAAGCTTGAACCTCTTTCCCATCGTTGTAAAGTTGCATCTCTTTCTCTTTTCTACAAATACTATCATGGTCACTGCTCAAAGGAGTTATCATCTCTAGTTTCATCAACTAAAATTCATTCTCGTTTTACTCGTCATTCAGCTAAGTCTCATTCGTTTACTGTATCTGTCCCTGCATGCTCTAAAAACTTTTATTCATCTAGTTTTTTTCCCCGCACTTCAATCCTTTGGAACTCTCTCCCATCTTTATGTTTTCCTGACTCATACAATCTTCAACTTTTCAAGTTTTCTGTCAACCGTTTCCTTGCTCTATAACTCTGTTCTTTTTTTTCCTAGTCACTCCCAACTTGATAGTGGTTGCTTGCAGCCTTGTTGGGAGTGAATGCAAATAAAAAAAAAAAAAATATGTATAATGTAAAATTATGAAGGTTCAATTAAACCTTCATATTTATTATTCAGCAACTATGAGGTGAACTCCAGGGATTATATTTTTAGGAAATATCCGGGAAAAAAAACTGAAATATGAATGCATTTATGTAACTAAAGGTTGGGTTAAGTAAGACAACTTTTATTATGATTAAGATGCTAAAAAAATACAGAAAGTAATAATTAAGAAAAGCAATTATTTATGAATAAGTATTTCAGTTAAAATATTTTATTTTAGAAAAATTTTATTATTCATAATGGCAGCAAAACAGCAACAAGTGCCTGATGCAATTTTACACGCTCTAGTGGAAAACCCTAATTTGTCAAATCAAATATAAAAACAGTTGTATGATTATAAAAGCACTGTGATTAGAATTTTAAATACTTAATATAATAAAAGAAAGCCTGAAAGCAAAAAAACTGAAAACAAATGTTTTGGCAAAAATATGGGCAAATCCTGAGATTTCTGAGAAAGATTTTGCACTAAAATGCAAAACTAGCAGAAATCAAGTCCTTCAAGATGTATAAAGCCCCAGATCGCAATGGGGAAGAAAATTTAGTGGAAAAAAGTTGTACAGGAAAATTATAAAAACTATTGTGTAAAAAAAAAAGTATAAATTTGGATGATGAAACTTATGTGAAACTAAATTTCAAAACAATTCCAGGACATTTTTATATCGGGATCTTTAGGAAAAAGGTAAAGGCTAAATTTAAAGCAATAAAACTAAAAAATTTCCCAAAAAAGTTATGGTTTAGCAAGCCATAATTCAAAGTGGATTGAAAACACAAAGTTTCAAAACCTGACCTAGCATCATCTCATTATTCCAAATCTATGTTAAACTTCTACTATGCCAATAGTATACATTTCATACCTAGAACACACAATCCTACATATTGTCCTGAACTTAAGTTAATTAAGCAATATTGAGTAATTATTAAAACCAAATTATATAAGAAGTTTAGGAGAGCAAAATAAACTGACTTTAAGAAGAAGTGAGATAAAACCACCACAGAGTATGAATAGTGCAAAGCTAGTGCAAAATCTTATGACTCCCATCAAGAGAAAAATTCGAAAATTTTATTGTACTGAAAAAACTTTTTTCTTTATTCATTTTTGTTCTATACTTAATAAATGTTCAATAAAAAAAAATCAACTTTGTAGCTCATTCCAATCTTTTTAATTCAAGATATAAAAAGTGTCAGTTTTACTTTACCCAACCTTTAAGAATATTTAATGTGCTTGAAAAGAAACTTCTCAAAGACTTAATTAAGGAATCTTTTTCAAAAGCTAATACTTGTCATTTTACAAAGAGAGATCAGCATTTTAAACATAATTGACAACAGTTGTTTTTTATGTGAAATTTTTAAGGATGACTTTATTACTGCAAGTAAAGAGAAATGATTTATAAACTTTTTAATATGGTTCTAACACTTTTCTAATTGGTAGTTGATTACTCGACTTTATGACAAATTTTACTCCTATCAGCTAGTTGATTTTTGTTTTGTCTCAGACTCACATTTGTGCTTCGACTTTCTTTGTTCTTCTTTAGGTGATTCAGAATATACTATGATATCACTAAAACTTATGTCTTGCGCCTTTTCTTCTTTATCAAAGTCAAGCCTTCTTTATCAAAGTCAAGCCTTACTCTACGTCATGGTTTCTACTTTATGTCATGGTTTCTACTCTACGCCATGGTTTTCTCCTTTTTGTGCAACTGCTATTTTTAATTTTAATTTTAAAATATGAATTCAAAGAAAATCATTAATTAAAAATGTTAATTCTTAGAACAAACATTAATTTATTATTGCAAGAAATCAATGCAATAAAAGGTATTGTCAAAGATAACATTCCATGGGTCCAAGGATGTGGAGTCTGGATTCCTTATTTTAGCTCGGAGTCTGGAATCTCAGGAGTCCATAAAAATTTTGGGACTCTTTGTTTTAGTTATTAATGCTTCAAAAGTTTTTTTAATTATTAGTTTATTTTAGTTATTAGAGCTTCAAAAAGACATGGTCTTGTTATAAAACACAGCATTTAACCAGAAATTTTTTTCTTTTACCAATTTAGTTCATTTTGCCATATTATATTTGCGGAATTTGTCTATAATTTTGCAATATAAAGTCAAACTTAAGAGATAGGCAATTGGTAAAAAATGTACTACCTCAACAAAATCTTTTGAGCAACAATTCCTTTCACGGAAGAACTTACTTATAATTTTAATACATTTTCCTAAACTTTTTTTGATATAATTTAACATATTAGAAAAAATAACATGAAACATATTCAAAATTTTGTTTTAACAATGTGATCAGTTTATAACTAGTCATGATAATGATTTTCCTAAATATGTTTTCACAGGTTGTTATACAAATAATTAATTTTTTGAAGAGTATATAACTTTATATTCATATTTGCTATTTATGTACTTGCGACAATCTTGACCAGAAATGGCCACTAACTAAGCATATGATCTACAGACATTTTCATCAAACAAATAAAATTTCGATTGGATTTTTGTATGCTTTAAATGTCTTGATGATGCCTTTATAAGGTCTTGTCAATACTTATCTAGAAAACACCCAGAACTCTTTATAAAGTTAGAAAAAAAAAATTAGAAAAGAAGAAAAGAAGAAGCAAAAATATATAGCCATCAATGGCAGCACTTCACAGCAATATTAAAGAATTTTGTAACGCAGAAAATTAATTTTCACATAGTAAAAGATGAGTTTCTAGAAGTTTTAAACCAGCTGCACAGTGGGGTAATTGATTAATTTAGGCGGCCAAAAATATTTAATAATCTTTGATTGAAAAAGTTTAACTTTTTTTAGGAAAAGCTGGTAGAAAAACCAAATAAAAAGAGAAAACAAAAGATTTTGAAAAAATTTAGGGATGATAGACTCCCAATCCCCCCCCCTTCCTTCCCCACAGCTTTTTTTTTTACACTTTAGTAAAGCATAAATGTGATAAG